CTAGTAGAGAGAGAGTAACTCGAGATTTTTCCGGTTTATCCTAAAGTACTATTAATATATATCTATATTAAGAATAATTCCTTAGATACTTAATCTAGATATTCCGAGAAGTATAGGAGATCTATATTTCTATATAACTATATAATAGTTAATACTCTATATCTAGATAGTACTATAGCTATCTATAGTAGTAATTAGAAGTCGATATATATCTTTAGTATTACTAAAATAGTCCTAATATTTATAGAGTCCTAGAATATAGAGAGATATCTAGTTAAGCTTATATATCCTTATAAAATAAAGATTAATTATATTAATACTAGCTCTAGTATTAAAGCTAACTATAACTATATCTTATTAGATCTATATAGCTATCTAGATTATAGAGAGGATCTCTATAATAGACTAAGAAATTAGAGATATAGAGTCTATTCTAACTTATTATTATTTCCTAGAGAATAGATTAGCTCCTCTATAATTTTATTAATCTAGGTATTCTAGCTAGATTTCTATTCTTAAAGATAGCTAGAGAAATAATATCCTTTCTTATTATATTAGAAATAAGTAAGATATAAGTAATCCTTTCGGTCGGAGGATTAATTATATTATAATAATATTCTAAGAGTAATCTAGTTAGGATATATTATCTAGTTAGAAGTATTAGAGGATTTCTATTTTTTAGATAGATCCGATTAGGAGATCGAGATTATAGGACCTCTATAATACTTCTTAGAGTTATATTTAGCTATATAATTAGCTTCTATTCTACTAAAACTATAGCTATCCTAGATATAGATTACTACCGAAACTATATCGGTTCGGTTATTAGATAGATTATTCTAATATAATATCTTAAGTTTATTTTTAAGAAAAGGGTAGAGCTTAGTATAGTATCTAAGAGCTTACTTCTTTTCTTAAAGATATATATAATTTTCGATTAATTAGAGATAGTTATAAAATACTTAGAAGTCTTAGTTAGGAAGCTATTAGATACTATAATATTTTTCTATAATATTAGTATTAGTAAATTAGCCTTCTCGAATAAACTCTAGAGTCTAGTTAATAAAGTTAGACTAGATAAGATAGATATAGAGGAATTTAGTCTTCCGATAGTTAGTCTATTAGGCCTATTAGATAGATTCGAGTATAAAGAACCTAATAGGGATTCGGTACGAATCGTCGGCGAAATAATTAGGACTTACGTTAAAGATATACTTAATTTTATTAAGCTATTAGTTATACTATTCGAGAGAGGAGAAGAAGCTTAACCGATAGGAGATATAATTAAGCTTAATCTCTATACTATATCGAGATCGAGGTATAACTAGGGATTCCGGTTTAGTGATATTCCGCTATAGAAATATTATCTCTTATTCTAGTTAGTAGATCCTAGCTTAGAGTAACTCTAGTATACTAGAATCTCCTAGTATAGGAGATCTAGGACTAGATATAGGAAGAGTAGTCTTACTAGTAGAGCTAAGAGAAGTACTAGTAGAAATCTATAGAGTTAGACTCTTACTAGCTTATAGATTCTATATCTTAATATAGTATTTAGAATATTTAGCGGCTATAAGATAGATAGAATACTAGTAAGTTAGTAGATTAGATATCTCTTTTTTAGATAGCTAAAAAGAAGATTTAGTAATTATTAGGATTAGGATTATAGGATAACTAGGACTATTAACTAGATAAAGAATTAAAGTCTAGAAGGCTTAAATTTAAAGACTAAATCTTAAAGATCGGAGTTCTTCCTCTCTTCTATAATTATTATATATATATTTCCTATATACTAGGCCTATATCCTTAGGGCTATAACCCGGATAGATTTATTAGTATTCTATATATAATCCTCCTATAACTATACCTTAGTAGATTGTACTATAATATACTATAACTAAAATTTTATAACTTTACTATAAAAGAGTAGATAATATATTTAATCCTAATAGAATTTAGAAAAATAGCTAAATATATAACTTTTAGCTATATATAAGAGGCTATACCCTTAGAGGATCCTATTAATTCTACTACTAAGAGAATATCTTTATTTAACTAATATATCTATCTAGTTTATAGGTTATTAGCTAATTAATACTAAGAGGATCGGAAGATACTAATTTAACTACTAAAAATAACTCCGGACTAATTATATAAGATAATATTCTTAGTATACCTAAACTTTATATAGAATTAGTATATTACTTTAGAACGACTACTATAGGCTATAACTTTAAAGATACTACTAGATAAGAATACTACTTTAAGATATTAGCTATAGATTTCTTCTATAGAAGAAATCTCTACCCGAGAAGTAAAAGTTAAAAGAAAAACGGAAATTAAAGAAAGAGAGAAGAAGAATTAATAAGAATTAAGAGTTATACTACTATCCGGATTAACTACTAATTTTATAACCCCTTTAAACTTAAAGAATTAATTATCTTATAAATATTACGAATATTATAAATCCTATAGTATATCTCTAGATCCTATTATAACCGAAAACCCTAAAAATATTAATATCCGAATTTAATAGAACCTATAAAGCTAAAGTAATAATCGAAATCGAAATCTAAATCTAAACCTAAATCGCTAAAAGAATCTAAGATATCTACGGATATATCTATAAATATAATACCTATAAATATAATTTTATTCGAAGCCTATTATAATCCCGGTAATTAAGCTCTCTTAGAGTCTATAGAAGGCTTACCTAAAGTACTTAGTAAAAGAGTTATACTACTACTGCTACTGCTATCTCCGAGACTAGCTTCTTTAATAATACTAATACTAATCTAAGTCTATAGTCTAGAATCGGAGATATAAATACTAAGATATATTATTAGGACTATATCTAAATCTAGAACTCCTAGAGTACTACGGTTTAAAGAAAGAAATATTTCTAAATTTTTAGATAGTTTTAAATAGATATATAAGTACTATAATATAAGAAATAATATAAGAATTCTAGATATCCTTTTAGATTACTATAGATAGCTCTAATATATCTAGATAAAAGAAAATCTTAACTAGTAGATAAAGGATAAGAAAGTATTCTTTAAGGATTTTAAAGAATAATACTAAGATATAGATAGCCTATAGGCTACTAATATCTAGTCTTAGCTATAAAGATTCTATAGGAACTATATTAAGTAGGATAATTTCTATATATACTTAACTAGTTTTTTATCTATTTTATTATATCTAGTAAAAAAAGGAGATATTAGTAAACTAGAGCGGTATACTTAGTTTATTAAAGGACTACTAGAGAAGCTATAATTAAAGTTAATTAAGAAAGAGAAGATTAATATTAATTATCCTTCGAAAAGTAAGAGATAGATCTCTTTCGGCTAGATCGAAAAAGTAGCTAGGAATCTTAACTAAGATTAGAAGGATTATAATCTTATAATAGACTATATTATATCTAATAAAGGAATTTAGATCTATACTAATACTAATATAAATTTAAATTCGAGTAAAAGATCTTCTAAAAAGCTAGTAATAGTAGATACTTCGCGAATTAGTAATCCTCTAGTTAGAAATATAAGTCTCTAAGAAGGATAGGACTTAGAAAGTTTAATAAATACTTTTAATAGTCTTTTAGTAAATATACTAAAAGTTATAGAGGACTAGTAAAAAGCTACTAATAGGACTAGCTACTATCCTTCGGCGAACGATTTTGCTATAGTTTATTAGTATTAGAGATAATTATAAGACTTTAGATAGTCCTAAATCCGGTACTTAGTCTAAACTTTCGGTATACTATCGCGATTTTTTGTTACTAGAGAAGACTCCTTTAGGATAATCGAGTTAGAAGTATAATAGTCGGCTTATATATCCCTTCTCCGTATTAATTCGGCTATAAGATTTAAGTCTAATTAGAGATACTCTTATCGGTCGCGAAAGATAGGACTTATCTACTATTATTAATAAGCTAGATATTCTATTTAGTCGGGACTAGTAGTACGCGTACTAATTAATTTAAGAGTATTGTAATTATATAAGGTAGACCTATCTTCGGTATTTCTAGATAATAGTATAAGAAGAACGGGCGTAGTTTAGTATATATTCCTATTTTCTACGGAAAGAGAAAGAACTATTAGTAACGCTATAGGTTATATAGACTAATAAACCTTTATAAGACTCTTAGAATAGCTAGTAAAATCCTCGAAGGATATAGAAAATTTACTAAGGAACGGTAAATTTCTAGGAGGGATAGTATATAGTAGGGAATCCAGTTATATATATATAGAGCAGATAGTCTATTAAGGTATATATACCTAATAGTGGTCTTACGGTCGGGAGAGGCTATTTAGATATAAGGAGAGGGAGTTAATTAACTTAATAACTATATAGCGGATAACTATACGGATACGAAGGATATAATATAACCATCGGATTAAACGGCTTTAAGGGAGTTTAGTACAGTCTTTACAGTCGGATTCCTTTGTATTATAATGACACACTCTTTTTGATCTTCCTCTTTACCTCCTGACATCCTACGGAGAGGTATTATACGGTCGGGTTAGGAGATCTCTGGACGTACGTGCTGGTGGTTATGGTTTAGTTCCTCTATGACTCGACCTGTCTGGTGAGATCAGACTGCCTTGAGCATTCCCCTCTATAATATATATAAATAGTTAGAGCTTAGTAGCTTCTGGCCGGGATATCTAGTATAAAGGAGGGGATTAATTATTACGGCGCGACTACAAAGAAGGAGATCAATTATCGTAATACAGCCCCGGATAAATCACGTACGGAACACTAACGAATCCTCCCGGGTTATAGCCCTAAGGATACGGGTCCTGCACGTAAGAGATATATCTATAATAATCGCAGAAGGGAGGAAGGACTCCGACTCCTGCAAATACAGCTTTTGGCTGCCGGGTGCTCCTTAGGCCATTGGAATGTTATTTGATGCCCCGACATTGGGGACTCAGAGTGTGATTCCATGATATTCTAAGGGGTCAGTCACGTATTTTGCCCTTTGTAGAAGGCTTCTGCTAAGTCTGTAATGGCTTTGCGTGAATTGTCGAAATGAGCCAATTGCTCCAGTCTGCATCATTAAGAATAGATCTCACACGTGCTTCGAGCCAGTTCGTGTTACCCCAGAATCCCCAGGAGGCCTGGAACCGACACCAATCGACCAGAGCTGTCTCCCAGTGGCGTTTGAAGGAGTCCCATTCATAAAAGTCCGAGCTTTGATCCTGGGTCAAGGTACGGTAGTATTGTTCTAAAAGACGTTTTTCGCCAACTCCCATGTCCAGTCGGTCAGGCAATTGCTCTTTTGAATCGACAAGCTCTGTCATTTGCACAGAACAGGTGAACAGCTTCGCAAGATCACAGACACCCAGGCCTAATCCAACATACTGGAAATCGTAGAATGCGACTCGATCACCGGTAACTGTGGTGAACAGATTCTCAGACTTGACGTCGCCATGTATATATGACTCAGTGGCTCTTCCAGATGGGGTTAAGAACAATGCTGTCATCTCAGCGGCAGACATGGAGGAACCACAATATGGTTGACACAAGAGGTCAGACCATTCCGAATCCGAGTCATCAGCCAGGGAAGCATACTCTCGCCGCCGTGTTGCAAGATATGTATATCCACCGTTCAGCCAAATGCCACGATGGGTGGTCTTTTCTTGGCAGCCATTTTCTTTCGCTCTTTTCCTCTGCTCATCCGTAGGCGGGAGAACATATCGGGTGAGGCTGTCTGGGAGCCAAGTCCACGATCGTCGGTGGAAACGAGCCAGCCAGTCTAGCGCTGCGTGGACCTGCCTCGGATTCAAGGCCCCTCTCTTTCCTCCAGAGACAGGGAACTCAAGCGACAAATCCACCATAAGCGTAGCCAACAGACCCTCTAGCTCCACGGCGCCTTTCTGGCCCTTCATATCCCGCGTCGAGGCAAGACACTTCGCGACCGGAATATCGTCTCCAAGCAAGGGTACAATGTCATTGTAAAAGGCTTGTTCGACCTCATAGCTGAGCATCTTTCGCAAATGGCCCTCATCGTTGAGATCCGAGTTGTTGTTGTTGTTGGCGGGTGGTGAGATGAGCTTCAACACCAGGGGGTAAGTGCTCCCAGCAATACCTGGTTCAAGACCACACAGCTCGCTGAGCTGCTTGGCCGCAATGTCGGTCGTGGCTCGTGCTTGGACCGCGCAGATACTCCCGTACCCTGCCCACAAGGTTTGCAATCTGGTGCAGGAGATCAGGTCGAGCGCGTGCCAGGATAGCATGATGCGCGCGACTTGCTCGGGGTCCTTGGCTAGTGGAGACATTTTCTTCGGCAGTAGAGACAGTTTTCGTCATGTATCTCCACACAAAGAGTCTGTTTATGTTCTCGATCAGCCTGAATTCAGTCTCAAGTTTCTCGGGAGGCATTATCAATCCAGGCGATCACACGGAGTCCCACCTTTGACCGAGTCCAGTCTTTGGACGTCGACACAATCTCCACACACAGTGTTCTACCCCACTTTACTGATACTCGAACGATTCCGCATTTCGGCGGCAGAACATTCAAAATAGATGTACAAGTCTCGAGTCTACACTGATTTGATCAGAAAAAAAAAAAAAAAGACGGACCCTAAGTCACCTGAAATCCTGCCTGGCTAAAGCGGTCTGAGATGGCAGTATGATTATTTAATATTTCCATGTATCTCGCGCTGGCATGTGACGAAAATCGCAGTTCTTCATCACCAGTTGTCAGAATGCAAACATAAATAGATAGATATTTTGTGCCATCATGTAGAGATATGCTGCCCATGGTTCCATGGTTATGAAGCCTCCACTTCCTCTCCTTTCATTCGCGCATTTGCAAGCACTTCTGACTTCACATAATTATGGGGAACTGTTGTTCCGAGCATGACTCGCCACACCCGATATTGATTGCTTTCTCCATGAGTAAAGTGGATTCATTATCATTTAATTATCGGGGTATTCGTCTCTCATATTACTGACAAATGCTCGACTCTCCTCATCCCATCGCTTAAAGTGCTTGCCTGCAATGCTCGTCAGTCCCGTAGGCAAGTCACTCAGCACGGGGAGTATAAGGTCGATGTTTTCCTCCGCAACGTATCGTACACTGCCGTCCTCCACCCTGAACGTTGTGAGAGAACTGGTTAGGCACAGCGGACGCAAAATGAGACAATCACAAGCTAGTTGTGGTCAAGCTCCAGAGGAATAGCGGAGGACTTACAGGACGTGGTAAAAGCTTTGATGGCGACCGGCCTGCAATCGATCAATGCCCATGCGCCGCATCCATTGTTCACCGGCGCCACATTCCCGATCCCAGCCGGTAATAATGGCACGGTAGTGGTATCGACGATGGCGGAAAACTTGGCCCACCATGAACCGAATGTTTTGGTTCTCGCCCGTTCGTCGGCGAACCTGCTTTGGAATCTCGTCGACGGCTCGCATCACATGGAGACTTTCCAGGATGTGCTCATGTTCAAAAAGACCTTGGAAAAGAGGCACAATGTACTGCTCCACCAGAAAGATGTCAGACGGGAAATCGGTCGCAAAGAGTTCCATGAGTAATGGAAGATGATGGCGCAAATCCATGGGCCGCGAGTTCCCCGTCAAGAGCATCGATGACCACAGGGAAGCATACTTGGCACTCACTACATCGACCGACGATGTATGCCCAGGAGCACCCTGAGATGCGGAGTCAATAGACGTCCAAATATTTCGGCTACACCGTTGAACGATCTCAGAGGTTTGCGACGGCCCCAGAAACGCCGCTTGTTCTGTTTCCGAAGCGCCGAGGAAGACAAGTTGGTCGCGTAGGTCGGCGAGCGGAGTTTCGCGGGCGCCTCGAAAGGGGTCCAGATACATTGGAGTCCCGATCTCTCCGCCTGACAGAGCCTCTCCGTTCATATCGAATCCCGGGTTGGGAGTCACGATAACATGTACGTGAAATGGAAATCCACATGGATGGGCATTCAGACCAATTTCCCGAGCCACATAACAATAAATGGCCGCGGAGATCAGTGGCAAGGAGTTGTGTCCTTGACTATTCAAAGCCAAGCCCAAGAAATTATGTTCAAGAGCGTGATATTCTCGACCAATCTCGATTCCGGTGAGATCGTGGTCACGCAACCACGACGAAAGAGAAAGCGCTTGCTGGCGAGGTGTCAACGTGCGTGATTCGGGATCAGCGGCCTGATATTGGATCACGAGGTCGTCCAAGGTGTGCTTGATCTAGGGGTTCCAGTCAGCCTGGCAACAGGTACACAAGGCGTGTCCCCAAAGGGAGAGTATATCGCTGGCCGCGCCCCAACTCACCTCGTCCAAATCACCATATCCACTTTCCGGAATGAAGAGGTCAAAAGCACCCAGCGCACGTTCCAGCGAAACTGGTTCACCGCGTCTGAGCTTAGCCCATTCGGGTACAGCGATGCTCCGGTGAAGACACGTTAAGAGGGCTCGCGCGTAGTACCTATTGAGAGTGACGATAAGAGATGGATCAGCATGGGCCACACATAGACCGAGAGCGACAGTGCACGTAAACGTCAGCAGGGGAGTCAAACCTCCTCGCCAGGTAGTCCTCCCCCGACTCTACCTCACTATGTCGCACGAGCGTATCCTTCGCATCGTAACCAAAATCGATGACGGCGCGGAATTTTTCAATGCGCCCGGTTTGACTGGCGAGGATACTATCCAGAAGCCGAGTCACAGCTCGATCCGTCTCTGACCTTAACACAAACAGCGCCTTCCAATTCACCTCTGATGGGGGCGCGACGATTTTGTGAAGAATATCATGTTTTCTGTCCCACGACTTGAAATGCGATGCGCAGTAGTGACGCCATAGCAAAGGGACCGATGTCACACTCTTGAACCGGCGACTCGTTTGCTCCAAGGCTGCGGCGGAGCGCGGATGTAAATAGCACAGAATCGCATGAAGAATTTCCTCCGGTAAATGATCCAGAGACATCACCATCCCGGCACGTTGAATGAGGTCGCGTCCTCTCAAAGGCGCCTTTACAAAGCGTGAAGGAGGAACGGATTAGCCACACGATGGTAATCGTGCTCTCCCGCACTTCGTACCTCGGAGCGTGGACGGTCAGTCTTTATTACAAAGCATACAGCGCTGTGTGTCGCCTCAATCGGTAGCGGACCCTCAGGCGTGGGAGTGGCGAGAATGAGGCATGGTTTCCTTGTTCTCGACGCAAAAAGACCAAAAGAAATGACCGTTTGGCGAGATCTCGATCTTACAGCGGAATGATGTACGGAGCAAGCAAGGCACGGCTTCCCGGCAGAAAGGGCGGGGGTGACAAGTGGGAACGGGCGGAGAAAACAAGGTGAAGCTTACGATTTGGGCTCGAGTCAAACTAAGAAAGAATAACAAGTCGTTCTCCATTTGGACCACAGGCCACAGCGGGAAGAAGAGATACAAAAAGGCGGTGCCGAAAAAAATACTCAGTCACAGAATCGGGAACATAAGTGTGGCTATATCCTGTCTGAGACGCAGCGTTCATTTATACACGCCGGACATAATTACGCACACTGCAAATCTCATTCGACGCTTCTGTCCGTGGAACACGATCTCGTCGCGCACTGAGGGTCGTGTGGAAGATATCTGGAGTGTTGATTCCGTGGCGTATTCCCTTGATTCATAGTCAGCGTACTTCGTCAGAATGGGACAATCTCAGTCTTCCAATTCAAAAAGTCAGGACGCTCAAGTGCCTCAGTCGGAGCTAAAGACAGACTATTACGAGCTCTTGGGAATCACACGAGGCGCCACGGACGACGAGTAAGTGATTGCGAGACTCAGATCATTTACTACAACGGCAGAGCGCCCATGCAGATCGAGCTTACATGAATGGATTTTCTCGCGCAGAATCAAGAAGGCATATCGAAGGAAAGCTCTCGAGCTACACCCCGATCGAAACTATGGAAACGTCGAGGAGGCGACACGGTTGTTCGCCGAGGTGCAATCCGCCTACGAAGTCCTTGCCGATCCCCAGGAACGTGCATGGTACGATTCGCATAAAGAGGTTTTCTTAGGCACGAACGGGTCATCCGAGGATCAGCACTCGTACGACATTCGTCTGACCACAGCGGAGGATGTGCTCAAAGTCTTCTCCAAGTTCAGCCCTCGCATGGAATTCTCTGACGCGCCAACGGGATTCTTCGGTGGCCTGCAAGAACAGTTCGCTCAGTTGGCACTCGAGGAGCGCCTGGCGTGCCAGTGGGAGAACCAGGAGATGGTCGACTACCCAAGTTTTGGATCTCGTGACGACGATTACGAGTCCGTGGTCCGACCGTTCTATGCGGCCTGGAGTGGCTTCTCGACCTGCAAGTCCTTTGCGTGGAAGGACGCCTATCGGTTATCAGAGGCTCCGGATCGTCGCGTGCGCAGGATGATGGAGAAAGAGAACCGACGTCTGCGAGAAGACGCCATCCGAGAATTCAACGACGCAGTCAGGTCGTTAGTGGCTTTTGTTAAGAAACGGGACCCGCGATACAAAGCCAATGTGCAGAATGATGCCCAGCGTCAGGAGGCGCTTCGTCAGTCGGTGGCCGCGCAAGCCGCCAGGTCACGCGCCCAGAATCAAGCGAAGATGGCAGATTTTGTCCTTCCAGAGTGGGCCCGATCCGAAGAACCCTTGGAGGAGGAGGACGAAGAGGAGAGCGAGCAGATTGAAGCGGAGAGCTTTGAGTGCATCGTCTGTGACAAGCAGTTCAAGAGTCAAAAGCAGTTCGAAGCTCATGAAAGGAGCAAGAAGCACGTCAAGGCCGTCAAAGAGCTCCGTCGATTCATGCAACAGGAAGACGACGAACTACAACTGAACCTGGAAACTGTTGGTTCGGTTGGTTCCCCCTTGTGATCGCGGAGGGCGCCAGTGATGGAGACCTCCACGACGAGATCGGCCGTGGAGTCGTGTCACCTCAGCCTGAGCAGAAACGCTCCAAGAGAGACGGCTTCAATTCCACGGTGGATAACAGCGACGAGGACAAGGACGACGATGCGCCTCTTGGAAATGCGAGAGGCAAGCATTTTCCATTGCAAAACTCTACAGAATCCCTTGACGAAGACTATGCTTCCAGAGAAGCCGTCGAGAACAGATTCCGCTCGGATCTTGATTCAAACTCCAGCGGTGATCCTATCACTCCGCTGACCGAACAATTATCCACCGCCGATATCAACGATCAACCACCCGTGTCGTCGAAACCTGGCAAGGCGAAACAAAGACGAGCGAAAAAGGCGGCTCGTGAACAGGTAGAGTCCAGCGAGTTTTCTTGCACGAACTGTCATGCAGAGTTCGCCTCCAAGACGAAATTATTTGCTCACTTGAAAGATCATCCGGATCATGCACAATTACGAAAGGCTCCTGCGAGGAGCAGGAAACGATGAGCCACGCCCGTCATCTGATAGACTAATGATATAACGCTGTGCATGTCAAGTTCTTCTTTTCTTGGACATTCTATTTGACACCCGTTGGGTTTCTATGGTAATGGATGCAAGAAATCTTTATAGTGTAAAGTAAGAGTCACACTCCCTCTCCATGTTGAGTACAAATTCTGTAACGTATCCACAAAGAATGTGCTTCTCCGGAAAGTGACGACTCAAGAAAATGCAGAAGTGGAGGAGGTCCAAAATGCAAAGGAGGGAGAAAAGAAATCAAAACAGCAAGTCTAAGAACCTCACAAAAAAGCGCCTTAGCCAAGACCGGTGCGAGAATTTTTCACCACGTGAGCGACGGGTTGCAAGATTCCCTTATTATTCAATGCACCGAGGGCAGTGCCACTACTCCAGCCCATCTTCTCCAGCATGGCACGTCCTCGGTTCTCGACTCCAATTTCTGGAGCGGTACCGCCAACGACATCACCATCCATATAGGTCACGGCGCCACCAGCTCCGCCTCCTCCTCGCTTGACCTTCGCGGGTTTGCTGTATTTGGCCGCGTCTGAGCCCCATGACTGATAGAGACGCCGGTTCAGCTTCTTGCCACACAGAAGATCATCCACTTGCACGATGGTTCTGCGGGTGTATGTCGGAGTACGAGAGGTCTTGAGCAACATGGGGAACCGTGAGGGGCCTTTGCCCTTGGATTGTGATTTGAGGTTCATCACATTCGCTAGTTCGTGAATTGTTTTGCGACGATGCTTTGTCATCGCGGGGAGTGACAGACTGGAAAATGCGTGGTCAGTGTTGGTTGCTTGATATTACTGATGGTGTACAAAGCTGCGCAGCCCTTGGTAGTGGGCTAGCAGGGGGGAAAATCACAAAAGGCAAGAAAAACATCCTCAGAGCAACGGGGATAACATACCTCGTATTAGGCGAGAGCATAAACGACCGGATCTCAGTCATCAGTTCCTCGAAATTGATTCCTTTGGAATACTTGATCTTGAGGTCTGCATATCTGGAATCTCTGCCCAGTAAGCCCTGCTTGCGAAGCTCCTCCCGCTCCTGCTTCTTGGCCTTTTTCTTCTTCCGGTCGACTTGCCAGACGTCATGCAAATGGGCTTCCATGTCGCTGTCAGAAAGCATCAGGTCCAAGCCGGGTGGCTTTTTGCCTTTGCCCTTCTTCTGAAGACTGGGACGAGTGAAGTCCATCATGTCGAGGCCGTAATACGGGTCATCCTCGAGAGCATCTGCGAACGCGGTAGCTGATGCGAATGGCGACTTTCCAGATCGGGCTCCCTTCTTTCCCTTTCGTTCGGCGAGGTAGTTCAAGGCCATGTCCTCGAGAAGCTCTGTATCCAAGTCTCCGTCAGAGTCCAGATTGAACTCATCCATGAGATCCAGGTTGATTCTCAAGTCATCATCATCATCATCATCCTCCTCCTCGTCATCATCCTCGTCGTCATCATCGTCATCCTCCTCATCGTCCTCATCCTCGTTGTTTTCATTGTTTGAGTCGTCGTCAGACTCAAGAACAATATCGGGGTTCGCTTCAAGACGCATTCGTGAGAAGCCTGGACCTTCCATGTTAGTTAGTGTTGTACGACTCCAAGAAAAATGGTTCTCTTTACCATCGTCAATCGAGTTTCGACTGGAAACCTCCTTGGCATCGCCGGTCAGCATGGCACGGAACTCTGCGGATATGATAGAGGCAGCTCCATCCTCGTCCGAAGATGAGTCGTCGGGTGAAGGCGGAGTTTCTTTCCCGCGTCCAGATCCTCTCTGGACACCCAATGCTTCCAGGTAATCGCTATCCATGTTTGCAATATAATCAGCCAGCATATCGTCCTCGTCATTTCGAGTCCATCCCCGCGTATCTCGCTTGTTTTTCTGGGATCGTTGCTGACTTCGTTTCGGCTTGGGTCTTTCACTCAAGGATATATCGCTCAAGGGCACCGGAGCGGGTTCCACAAATTTAACGGATGTTGCGTGATTTGGGAACATGAGATCCAGCTCCGCTTGGCTGGTCTCGATGACGACTGGCCTCGCTGTGTTCCGTCCAGTGAAAACCACTTCGTCTTCGCTCGAATCACTCGACTCGCTCGGCTCGCTCGGGTCGCTTGGCAGTGAATCCACGGCGGGAGAGCTTGTAAGCTCCGGCTCATCGACGAGTTCGATCAAAGAGGGTACAGCCTTAACCTCTGCCGGTACCTGTAACCCTGCCGGGTGTGGTGAATTGGATCCCGACATTGCCGCCGTCGGTTCATCGTCCACGAGGACATCACCATCTTCTTCGGCAGTCTCAAGTGTCTCAAGTTCACTTCGTTGTAGAATGCCCGCCTTTACAAATTGCACTGCTTTGTGTCTCAGATTGCTGCTGGTTCGCCAATCTCGAACATGACCTTCGGTGTGTCTGGCCTCTTCTTGCATGGTCAATCGATGTGGCGACTCTGATTGCGGGGACTGTCAGCGAGGTGCGTATGAGCAGTATCGTCGAAAGACCATACTTATAGGAGCCTTCTTGGGTGCCTTTTTGGCCCAGGCCTTGGATTTCCCATGGCGGGCCATAAGCGTGGAGGTGCGCCTGACGAAGTCTCTGTCGATGAGATAGATGAAGGAGGATCAATGTCTCAAGCAAAAGCGCACAAGAGAGAACAAGAGAGAAGGCGGAGTAGGTGGAACTTTTGGCACGTTTGGGACTTCCAGGGTGGGGCCGGGCGGTGGGCCTCTTTTCCAGCAGATCAATCGAACTCGGCAAGGGAAAGTCCAGCGATCACTGAGGCGATCTTCAACCCTTTCTCGATATGGTTTGGGCACTCGTAGGAACTTTAGGAAGAATGTGAGTCCTTGTCGGAGTGTATGTGGGTACTTTAGATTGTTTCGCCTCGTATCGGTGATCAAGTGAGTCTAACGTAATTGACCTTCAAAGTATTGTAGATGTTACGACTACGAAGAGTACAGTAGAGAGCTAGCTCAGGCTTGTATCTGGTTTTGATTCTGATCTCTGCCGATTCCCCATCTTTTTTTCTACTGAATCCAGTGATCGTAATTTCTTGCAACAGTCGAGCTGGTTTTGTGAGCATACACGTGTATGTAGTATGTACACTTGTACAGTATAGGGTCTGGACTTTGGAATCTATGAATATTGACAACCCGGCGGTCGCCAGTTCGCGAGCTGATCGACGCCCTGACGTCGTGACAGCCGCCCGTGACCTCCGCCGTCTCTCATTCACCTCCTTCTCTCATGTGCGAGAGCTTTCCTCTTCTTTTTGCTTACGTGAGTCTTGACTTGATCATCAACGGCTTTTGATATCTTTGCTTTGATATCTTTGCTTCGATATCTTTCATCATCCAGTCAAGCTCTCGCCTGACACATCTTGAAAGATCTGTGATTTCCGTACATATTTCGGCAGAGCAAGATAGACCGTTCATGGTTGACATATATTTGATTTGAGATCCCGCAGCTCAGCTCCACCTCCCCTCACGCTCCACATAACGCGATAACAAGCAGCTGTCCCTGTCCCTCTCTCACTCTCTCTTCTTACTCTCCGGCATCGTGTACGCAAGGTCGAAAATCGTGGCGATGACAGGGGTGGATCTGGAAAAATGCAAGCGGATTGTTCAATACTTCTGGGATCCAGAGCCCCAGAATGACGCCGCACCAGCGGTCGCCATCTGGTGTCTCGGCCAACAATATACCCCCGCACAGGCAATGAAATCGCCAGAACCAAGTACGTCGCTCGCGTTGAGCATCAATCAACGGATCTCCTTGCATCATTTCCCTCCTCCGTGTCTTGATCACACCCCGTAAATCCCAAAAAGAAGAAGACAGAATGCAAGAAAACACAAGGCCACGCCTGACACTTATCAGTAGGATCTCCAGATGAGACCAGCAAAGCCGCAGCAGCAGACAAGGGTCACGACACAGGCAGTGCCTGGCCCGAAGCCTTCCTTGCGGACTTTGAGTCGCGTATATGGATGACATATCGCTCCCATTTTCCACCCATCCCGCGCAGTACCAAACCGCAAGCGACCTCGTCGATGACGCTGGGCGTCCGCTTGCGCAGTCAGTTGATGGATCCACAGGGCTTCACGTCCGACACGGGATGGGGTTGTATGATCCGATCGGGACAGAGTCTACTGGCAAATACTCTTTCTATCCTGCAGCTCGGCCGAGGCAAGACGCTCCCCGTGAATGAGACTACACATATTGCAATCCCACGACAACGCTGACTATCATACCAGACTGGCGGAGAGGTAGCAAGGGCGAGGACGAATCCAAACTGCTGGCACTGTTTGCGGATCACCCTGATGCTCCCTTCTCAATCCATCGCTTTGTCCAGTGTGGTGCCGAGTCCTGTGACAAGTATCCCGGAGAATGGTTTGGGCCATCCGCCACGGCCCGATGTATCCAGTACGTCTTATCAACTACAATCAGACATGTCCGCCATGGCAAATATTAACAGACCCAATCATATAGGACGCTTCTGAGCTCACGAGATCCGCCATTGCTTCGAGTGTATGTGACCAAGGATACGTCGGATGTATATGAGGACCAGTTCATTCGAATTGCCAGTGATCAGAACGGGTCAATACAACCGACCTTGATTCTCATGGGGGTTCGATTCGGTATTGATCATGTCACGTCGGTCTATTGGGAAGGACTACAAGCCGCGCTGCAATATCCACAGTCTGTTGGAATCGCTGGGTAAGTGCGAGCCCTTTGACTACTCAGTTTGCAACTATCAAGGACTCCACGTCAAGCTAACCAAAACCCACATAGCGGCCGCCCGTCCGCATCACACTACTTTGTGGGCGTGCAAGACTCCCATCTCTTCTTCCTCGATCCGCATTTCACCCGTCCAGCCCTACCGTATCGACCTGGGGGCGGATATAGCGCGGAGGAACTGGATAGGTGCCATACCCGTCGACTGCGGCGCATCCACATTAAGGATATGGATCCCAGCATGCTGATCGGATTCCTGATCAAGGATGATGCAGATTGGGTGGACTGGAAGAATCGCCTGCAGTCCACGCCGGGCAATCCGATTGTCCAATTGACCACGGAGGAGCCTCCTATGCATGCTGTTCATGGTCGGATGGAGGCGCTGGATGAAGTCGAGGTGCTAGATGACAGTGATTCCGGCTCTGAAGTGCTGGTGTAATCATGTGCAAACAGTACAGAGTGAATGCTTCCTGCCGAAATCAGTTCGCAGCTTTGAGCGCGCGCGCGAAAAACAATGACACCTTGTTTTCGAGGCGGACGCGCGCGGAAACAGAACAGCCACAAGGCGATTGACAAACCACCCGGAAAGATGTTCCAAACTCCAGAGCCATAAGCAAAGTCGAAAGTAAGCAAATTTGAAAGTATTGTGATAATGCTATTGAGCATTTTGGTATTTCGCGTACTAGTAAGGGGAAGGTTAAACCATGCAACCAACCCCAGACCCAAGTTGCTATGTTACACCACGCGTATCGAGTGATAACCGTTCAGAAAAAGTCGCCCATCTTGGGGGAAAAGAAAATTGATACCATCCCATGACACATTAGAAAACCCGCAAAACACCCATAACCGAGCCGCCTCCGAGAACCCAGGAAAAGATCAGGAGGCAGGAAGAAAACATGACAGAGCAAAGTCGCAGAGGAATCGAGCTGGAGTGAAAAGAAGAAAGCCAAGAAATCAAGTCGCAGCCGACCGCTTATTTGGCGGAGGAAGAGTACTTGGTGACGGCCTTGGTACCCTCAGAGACGGCGTGCTTGGCCAGCTCACCGGGGAGGATGAGGCGGACGGAAGTCTGGATCTCTCGGGAAGAGATGGTGGACTTCTTGTTGTAGGCAGCAAGCTTGGAGGCCTCGGTGGCGACACGCTCGAAGATGTCTGATAGGGATTGAAGGTTAGATCTTGGAAACACGAACGGAAAAAAGACGCGCCATCGAGACGCGTCAAGGGACAACCAAAACATACCGTTGACGAAGGAGTTCAGGATGGACATGGCACGAGTGGAGATACCAGTGTCGGGGTGAACCTGCTTGAGGACTAGAAACATAAAACGATCATGTTAGATACGCGACGCGTCAAGAATTGGGAGATTGAGATCTGAACTTCAACCCGGATCGGAATTTGATTTGAGACTCACCCTTGTAGATGTAGGAGGAGTAGGTCTCCTTGCGGGTCTTGCCACGCTTCTTCTTGTCACCAGTGGCGGCAGAAGTCTTCTTGCCAGCCTCCTTCTTCTCAGCGGGGGCCTTGCCTCCAACGGGAGCCTTGCCGGCAGTGGAGGGCTTCTTCTCAGCAGCCTTGGGGGGAGCCATTTTTGATGATGGGAAATTTGGTTTTGTGAGTTCGAGAAATAAGTGTGAGAGACAGCGACAATAAAGTCGAAGTGTGTGAAAGTTGGATGGAAGCGTGAAAGGTGAGAGACGTAGATGAGGAGAGAGGAAACAAGAGCGCGAAAGATGGAGGGGGGGCTAGCGGTCTTATATACGCGACCGCTCCTGGGCGGTTGATCCAGAAGAACACAAAAGAGCTGGAATTTCAATACCGTCAGAGCAGCGTCTGATCTGTATGATTAGAGGGGGGGTCGACGCGTCCAACTGTGGGGATACCATAGTCAAGGGGGATGGTCTGTCCTGGTCAGATCACGTATGGGTCGGTAACGCGTAATCTATTGTGCACCATTCCTGATCTGGACGACACCTGTCGATCAACGCGCCGCGGATTGGCCGTGATCCCGCAGTATCATTGGCCAACTTCATTAAGCGAGAGCGTGATCTAGAGTCCCCGTGGTTGATGCCCGCCCAACGTCACCTCAGCGCGTCGGTCTTTAAATATCCCCTCTACCTCCATCTTGAATCGCCCCCCCCTTCTTATCACGTACAACCAGGTTCCAGCTCTCTCAACTCAACTCTCTCAACCTTCCAACTCATACCACCTTTTCAACCCCTTTTTTTCCACTTCACTCACATTCAAAATGACTGGCGGAAAGTCCGGCGGCAAGGCCAGCGGTTCCAAGAACGCGCAATCGTAAGTTACTTCCTGTTCTGGTGATCTCTCGTTGATGTTCGGGTGTTGTGGAAATCGCGTCTTGGTCGCGCTACCTTCTTTGACATTCGACATCATGTTTTTGCATGGCCTCCGTTGGTAATTCAAGGTATGCTAATGACATTCGCTTCCACAGCCGTTCCTCTAAGGCTGGTCTCGCCTTCCCCGTTGGTCGTGTCCACCGTCTGCTCCGCAAGGGCAACTACGCTCAGCGTGTTGGTGCCGGTGCTCCCGTCTACCTGGCTGCCGTCCTTGAGTATCTCGCTGCTGAGATTCTCGAGTTGGCTGGTAACGCCGCCCGTGACAACAAGAAGACCCGTATCATTCCTCGTCACCTCCAGCTCGCCATCCGTAACGATGAGGAGCTGAACAAGCTTTTGGGCCACGTCACCATCGCCCAGGGTGGTGTCCTCCCCAACATTCACCAGAGTATGTTTTTCTTTATGCTCCGTGCTCTTTTTCCTGGGAGGTCCCGTTCCACTTTGACTAACCTTGGTCCCTACTTTCTTTCCAGACCTTCTCCCTAAGAAGACCCCCAAGGCCGGCAAGGCCAGCCAGGAGCTTTAAACGGTTTCTCTCTTCTTATGGGTTTTATTTTCACTTCCTCTATTGTTTTTCTGGCGTGGGTTGGTTCATTGACACGATAATGGGGTTATGGGACGGGCACGTTATGGCTCTGCGTTTTCTCTTTTCAATTTCCAGGTTGTACATTATGCCCACGGGCATGAGATGATACCGGCGAACGTCAACCTTGTTCGATGGATTTCACTTTTTTTTTGTTGGACTATTAGTGACGGACAGATGTCCGAATTCAATGAAAGCTTCAAGTCCTACTTTATTTCCAGCCTGTACATGTAGCAGCTTTTGTCTTGCTAGCTTTGTTCGTACAAGTCATGTTTATTGCGCTGCGTGCTGGGGCACGCGATCATTTCTCTGGTGAGCTGGATCTTGACTATCTAGGCACTATATGCCATTCCTCTGGTATTCATATCAAAGTTTATACTTCACATCTCGCGTGTGTGGTTTGAGTCAGTAGCGTACTCTTTGTATGAATCCATTCTTTTTGAATTTTCGTGAAACTCCCCATCTTCTGCTGTGTGTATTGGATCGATCGGCGCGAATAAGTCAGGTGCTTAGTTTGATAGGTGCGGTAGTAGGCACGTACCGTACTATGTAGCAAATGATGGGTCCCCTGGGGCATACTCTCACTTGGTCTACGCGTGACCTTCATTTGAGTCCTTAACCTTTTGTCGTTCTGCGTCCGCGGCTTTTGGTTACGGGTCTGGAGTCTGATGCTGGTTTATCGGGGCAATTTCAAGTCCAATTCAGGTATATGTACCATGCAATTCCATCTACTGCCTTGTCGTTCAAGTTGGTAATGACTTGGATGGGTGCCCGTAGCCCGGTAGCAGGATTAACACGGGGTTCAGCGCTAGAGTGGCTGGGTACGAATATATATACTCACCCGCCGTCACCTTGACTCAAGCCATTGGCCAACTTCAACACAAGAACCAAAACAACATCAAAAATATGCTTTAATCAACGAGAATAATAAATTGAAGCACTAGATAAATCAACGACGAGATATTTCAACCATATGAAATCCAAAGAAAGGCTGGCAAACGGTCAAGATCACGATCGCCCTCGGCGACCTTTAAATCATCACGTGACACAATGGAGCTCTTGTTCAATGGGGGTTCAACTGGGGATCAACCCAACCCGTCAAAGTTGAACCCCCAGTTGAACAGGCCCCCCCCCCCCCCGCCGGCCAGCCGCCGAAATAGCGTCGACTTGACAGGTGATCGGAGAAAAAGAAACCGTGATCCCAGCACACATACTTGTTTGCTGATTTGCACCACTCTCTCCAGGAACAAAAGACCGCGAAACTTGATATACCGAACAATGAAGTTGCTCGACTGCGAGAATCACCCGATACGAGGACATTCGGTCTCAAGTTGATGAGCCGATCCATGCAACTACAGCCTTTCCTTTCATGGCCTCACTACTTTCACCACGGCCATCAGCCATCGAAGCAAAAGACGAAGGAACCTACGACTGCAAAAAAAAGGGAGGAGTATCCGAAAATAGTGTCTCGTATCCACTGTATCTACACAAGTCCACAAATGGGACCGGGGAAAGACCCCCCAAAATAAAAAGCTCGCAATGAATATCAATTTGCAACCACTCAAGGGTAGCTATGCTCATACACCTGATTGATTTCCCAGCACCTAGTGAGCACCGGGAGGCGCAGCGTCTGCAGAATATAGAATCAAGAGTCAGCCTGACATCAACATCGGACGGATCGGATCCGCATCGCAGCGAGGGGTGGCACATACACGGCAGAATTGGGGCAGGCAGGTTGCGCTCCCACTTGTTTCCTATTAACAAGCATCAGTACCAAGCAGAAGACACCATCATCATTTGCTCGAAACGTACCACCGGGCGCCGTGGGAGGTCGGTAGGGGTCAGGATGCTTCCACTCATTCAGCAACTTCTCCGTCTCCCGCAACAAGATCTAGATAGAGAAATGCACCGTCAGAACTCAAGGGCGGACTCGTATATTTCAAGCCGTAAGTCGCACCTGCTGCTGGCGAGGATCCCGGATATCCTTGTTGGCATCAAAGAGAGAGCGAATGTAGACGGCCTGACCGCGCCAGAGGGATCGCTGCACGGCCCAGTCCAGCGACTGCTTCAGGGCCCGTCGGTATAATGACCTGGCCAAAAGGGCGCATTAGCGAACGCACATCTTCCAATCGCACCTTGCGGATCACCGTTCCGAAGACCGTGGTGAAGAGCTGGTAAATGAGCTGATAATGCGCCGGAGATGGTGCATGGCAATGGACTCACGTCACGGTAGTCTGAGACATTCTTGATTCTTGTGCAGCTCAATTGGCGCGAAGTGAAGAGAAAACCAGGGAGATATGATCTTGCTTCGAGCCAGAAGAATGGCTATTGTGAACGTAAAGAGTCGTGTGTGTTCCGAATCACCTCCGAGAACAGTTCAAGATTGCGGGTTGATTGCACCCTGCAACTAATCTCGGACAATCCATTCGCGAGCCAAAAAGTGCCATATTGGCCGACACCGCCCGCTGGAGACAGTCCGCTCCGAGGCCGTAACATCTGCCGGTCATTGGAAACCAATGAGACGGAGCACATCGGTATATACATTACAAGACAGCCGTGTTACCGAAAAAACACGACTGCGAAAACTGCCGAAAAGGCATGTTTAACGGGAGGAAGAGTTCATTACATACGTAAGGACACCCTTCATACAGATCAAGCTCACTGATGTCCGCGTCCCAGTTTCAAGACGTAAGAATATTCCTCCGTGCCGGTCGTCCTCGAAGTTCCCGCATGTCGGCTTCGGGAGCTTTTGGCTTCGGCTACGTAACAGCAACAAGGCTATTCTATTCTCGTGAGGCCTTTTCGTGCATCTTTTTCCTTGACCTCCCCCCTCCGTATTTGACTGCTCTCCCTTTCTTTCCCCCCTCCCTTCCATAACCCGGGGGACTGCTTTGATACTTGCTTCTTTATTCTCCGATTCCCTCCACACATCATGTCCGCTCGTCTTCCTCTTGCGCGCCTTTCTGGTCAGCGCCTAACGACCTTGTCCCGGGCCACTCGGACGACCAGCCGGTTGAGCGGAGCCCAGGGTCTGTCAACTCTGACGCGCACCAATGCCTTCCCAAGAGCCTCTGGCTTGTTGCAGGTGTCCTCGGGGTACGAAAAGTCTCTTCCCTTAGAGGAGAAAAACAGAAAAATCATAAACCTCATTACTAACGGGACGCTACATGATCAACAGCAACAATGTTTCGCGCAACCTTGCTCCCTTCGTGGGCTCCCAAATCCGCACATATGGTACCGTCGACCACCCATCATACTCTGTCGCCAGCAGAGCATATCTGCGGAGAGAATATTCAAAAAGGCGAACGAGCCAACTAATGTCCTATGCGAACTAGCCGACTCTATCGTCAAGGTCCCCCAGATGGCCGAATCGATCACAGAGGGTACTTTGAAGCAGTTCTCCAAACGTATGTTCGCGCACTCCAGCGCAGCGGGCTAAGCCTCTATCAAAGCCTAGTTCAAGATGCTGACACTGTTTACTTTAGAGGTTGGCGACTACGTTGAGCGCGACGAGGAAATTGCTACCATCGAGACCGACAAGGTACAATTAACTTTTTACTTCGGAGACCGAAAATATCTTTCTCTCTTTGATCTACGTTTCAATTCACACGACGCTGACCTCGGCATTTCGCGATATACAGATTGACGTCTCCGTGAACGCCCCCGAGGCTGGTACCATCAAGGAGCTCCTTGTGAATGAGGAGGACACCGTGACCGTCGGTCAGGACCTGGTCAAGCTGGAGGTCGGCGGTGCCGCTCCCGAGGCCAAGAAGGAGGAGTCTGCTTCCCAGGAGCCCAAGGCGCCTGCCTCCACCGAGAACGAGAAGCCCAAGGAGGCTGAGAAGCCTAAGGAGACCCCCAAGGAAGCTCCCAAGGAGTCCTCTAAGCCCGCCCCTCCCAAGAAGGAGTCTTCTCCCAGCAAGCCCGAGTCTTCCAAGTCCTCCCAATCCGAGTCCAAGCCCGCCATTGGCGGTCGCGAGGAGCGTCGCGTACGTATTTCAGCCGGGCTACCCCATGTCTTCACAGGCTATCTCTCGGATTTTCAGCCCATTGACTCGTCACAGCCGGAACACTGATCGGCTAACCATGGTTTTCTTTTTACAATCAATAGGTCAAGATGAACCGCATGCGTCTGCGTATCGCCGAGCGTCTGAAGCAGTCCCAGAACACTGCTGCCTCGCTGACCACCTTCAACGAGGTTGACATGTCCTCCCTCATGGAGTTCCGCAAGCTCTACAAGGACGAGATCCTCAAGAAGACTGGTGTCAAGCTTGGATTCATGAGCGCCTTCTCCCGTGCTTGTGTTCTGGCCATGAAGGATGTTCCCGCCGTCAACGCCTCCATCGAGGGCCCCAACGGCGGTGATACCATTGTCTACCGCGACTACGTTGACATCAGTGTTGCCGTCGCGACCGAGAAGGGTCTGGTTACCCCCGTAGTTCGCAACACTGAGACCATGGATCTGGTTGGCATTGAGCAGGCTATCGCCGATTTGGGCAAGAAGGTGAGAACTTTGGCCCCGAAAGCAGCCAAACCAGGCGAAAATATACTGACAATTTGTGCACTGCCAGGCTCGCGACAACAAGCTGACCATCGAGGATATGGCCGGTGGTACCTTCACTATCAGCAACGTATGTCTCATTTATTCTTGACTGAGTATTGGCATGGGCCTTGACTGAGCTGACTTCTCTCCGATAGGGTGGTGTCTTTGGTTCCCTGATGGGCACACCCATCATCAACTTGCCCCAGACCGGTAAGTCCTAAAGCCTCGATCACCCGTACTGTTACCGTCCCCCATGCTCACATTTGAAAAACACTGCAGCTGTCCTGGGTCTCCACGCTATCAAGGAGAAGCCCGTTGCCATCAACGGCAAGGTTGAGATTCGCCCGGTAAGAATAGTGATATTCTTGTTGAGTCTCCTAATTGTGAGCAGTTAGAACTGACCATTTTTCACGATCTAGATGATGTACCTTGCCCTCACCTATGACCACCGTCTTCTTGATGGTCGTGAGGCCGTTACTTTCCTTGTCAAGGTACGTTGAACCCGGAGCATAAGCGCCCCAAAGACAATAATGTTCCCCCGGAAGCTTTTGTATTATCGATCTCTAACAGTGTCTACAGGTCAAGGAATACATTGAGGACCCCCGCCGCATGCTTCTCGGCTAAACGTCGGGGTTTGATTCTGTATCCCGCCTCATCTCCATCACGATTCGTCGCATTTGGTGTTTGAAACCGCCATCTGCAGTAATTTAAAGCCGCCCATCACCTTTTGCGACCTCCTTATGTAGATTATTCGAATCTTCTTTTTTTTTGTGACCATTTGTTTTCTTCCCAATTATGGCATTTTGCTTTCTCTTCGAGCTATGACGACGCTACCGATGCCGTAAATCGGAACAGAAACAGGCCTTGTACACGAACGGACGTCGAGTGTGCTGACTTGAGTCTTGATCTATTTCGCAGCGACCATCACTTCACATTGAACGAGGAGAAAAAATTGATCAGATTAAAATATGAGAAATTAGAATGTCGGGTCCAGTGATAACTGTGCACGCCCTCGGAGAAATCGACCTTTGCTCAGAAGATGGTCTGCCCTCGTCCGCCCTCGAGGGATCAATCGCGATATGATGAAATCAATGTCGGTGTTAGAAAATAAAAAGGCCTGAATTCGACTATCCGCTTCTTCAACCCGCCACACCTTCAACTTCCAGCCCCCCCCTCCAATTCAGCGCATTCCAATCCGTTCCTTCAACTCGCGCGTCTCAGCCTCCGTCAAACTACCCAGCTTGCCACACTCCAATTGCAGCAGCACCGGCGGATCAAGGGTATCCATCAGATCATCGACGAACGCAATCACCATGCTCCTGAATTTGTCAAAGGGGTTCTCATCTTTCAATTGCTCCCACATCGCGTTGCGCTCATCTCCGTCCTCAAGCTCGTAAATGTTCGCACGTAGGACATACTGACCCTGCATTGCCACCCACTTCGGCTTCAAGTCAGGGTTCCGAGGAAGCCACTGGAACAACTCTGCAGCTCTGCTGGACATTCCATCGTGACATGTGGGGTAGTCCTCCAATTCAGACTGGACGACAAATCGGGCACCGAGGTCAAACCAGCGTGTAGGGGAGACTTTTGCACTTGCACGGTCGCACAGCTCTAGAAAGTCGAGGCCAATGGTACCTAGGGGGAGTTGGAGTGATTGAGGATTTGTTGAGCTTGTTTTGAAGTCATCACTGGTATTCTGATCCATGGCCTGAGCTGAGGTTTTGCTCGGATCCTGATTTGAATTCGATGCCGTGTTTCGGGAAGAACTTTTTGGCGGACCTGGGTGATTCCAGAATTCATTGACAAATTCCAGGATCTGGAGTTTGATCTCAAGGTCGGACGACGTTGCAATGTCCTCACATGCAGTCATCATGTTTGCATGAAACACTACCATCAAAATGCTTCGATCAGATAGTGCCACATCAAGTCGCTATGAAGTTCGCCAGAGAGAAATCTCTAGACCCGGCCACGACGCCAAGACAGGCCTTCATATCAAGAGCCTAAGAGGTTGTGTTGGCTTCTTGTTCTCTTAGTTTTTAACTCACCTTTAACCGTTCGAACCTGCCAATCCACCTCCTCTTCCAGCCTTGGGGTCTTGGTCGGATTTCCTGCGGCCGTGAGCACCCTTCCAATGGCAAGAGTGGCCAAGTAGTCCAAGACCATAAGGTCCACGTCGGCGCGGACATCAGGATCAGCTTTGGTAGCCATCATCTTTGAGGGTGTGCTGTAATTGCCTTGCTCGGACACGAGTAGCTAGCTAGCTAGCTTCCCTTTCAAATTTCTGAGCGGATCGTCTCTCTGATAAGGCGGACTTTCAACGAAGGAGCTAGAATCAATGTCTGATAATTGAATATCCCAGAAGATGAACAGACAGGGTGAAAGAATCTGTGTCTGTGGGTCGGTATGTCCCGATATTCTTCTTTGTTGCGTGCAAGATGAGGACGCCCAATCGGGCGAATTCAGGCCCAGATCATATGTTGGCGGTGATGATGATACTCTGAAGCTTTTGGGTTCTTTAAGCATGTCATGGGAGACCGAGAGAGAAAAATTGAGAAGTAAGGATTTGACTCCCAAGACCAAGGCAAAGTGAGATCCAAGTGAGGTTGGACTTGAAGGTCTTGCAAACTGTTTGATATCTCGAGGGCCGGGTCAAGTCAGGTGATATGCTGATGGACTGTTCACTGGAAGGGCATGTGAATACTTGAAATCCAGTTGATAATCAACGAGGCAAACAGGCAGCTTGCGCTCATGCAGTGCGTCTTGTGATAGTTACACTGACAAGCGTACAAGTGTATAATGGAATAGTACCGCGCCTTTCATTTGGTCCGTTGCACTTTCTCTCAAATTGTTGTAACCATGGACAACAAGTGGACTCCTTGTTACCTACTAGTTAACTAGCGAAAATGAATTACATAATACATACACGCTGGCCGGGGGGGGGGGGGAACATCGGTCCCGGTGAGGACTGGGGCCTTTGCGACTCTTAGAATGCAAGAATAGCATACAGTCATACACTACATTTGAAGCTACAGTATTGAGTATACAGTGTACAGTATACACTATACAGAACTATATTGGACCAATCCTCCAGGTTGATTAGTGTATAGACACGACTACCACAACCTGGGACATCTCTTCTTGAATTTCAAAATAGCTCATAATTACAGTATCGCAGTGGAACACTTGTGCAAGTATTAAGATTGGGATCTCGGGGGATCAGTAATCATAGCGCTGGAGAGGTGATCCCTATTGGAAGGATGTTCATAGGTTGCTTGTGGCTAATGACTTGAGGCTGGTCGATATACTGTCCACTCACAGTACAAGATCGTAAAGAATACCGTACTGCTTCACCTAGCTCTCGCGTAATTTGGGAGCGGAGGAGCATAAATTACATGACCGGAACCGTAGCGCTAGGACAAAATAGGTCTAACCTCCACGACCCACTTCAAGTATTATCTTGGAGGGCAGAGTACAACTGTTCAAGTATATTCTTGATCACGGCATCTATACACCTCAGTGACCTCACACTCAAAACGCCACTTGCTGTTTGCAGAGCGTTCGCCCTGTGAGCCTGAAACTCTTGGAAATCATATGAATGGTAATTTTACGTCAGCAGTTTCTACAGAGCAGTAATCAATCGAATAATGTGAACTTCGGTACTCCACTATTGTAACATCGATAACATCAATCCTATACTCCCCAAGCTCCGTCACGTGGAGCACATCTCCGACCAGATGGCGTCACGTTCCAGTCACACTTTCTTCCTCAAACCACCAAATTGGATTTTGCCTCTGAACGACCTCATTCCGCATCACTCGAATCATCTCCCCCGTAGTGTCTGCTCCTCACATGGAGTTCAACTGGAAGCACTTTCCATCATTCTTGCCGTAACCTTATTCTTATTCCCACATCCCATATCCCACAGGAAGAACTCGACAGCAGAATCAGAGCTGTATATGCTTGTTAGACGACACAAAGCTCAATTCCCAAGACTCACCTCCATTCCCGTCTCCATCCAGCCTCCATCTAGACTCAAAACTCACAGCATGGCGTGGTACTGTTCCGGATCCACCAACACCGAGTTGGTCGAGAACCTCTTCAAGGCCGAATTGATCAAGAATGAACGTGTCAAGGAGGCCATGCTAGGTGTATGTGCTATAATTTCACCTTTATTCTTTCCCCTCAGCCAGCCAGACAGACAGTCACGAAAAAAAAAAAAAAAAAACCAAACAAACCTCGCTCACAGCTTGCAACCAGGTCGATCGAGCCCACTACGCCCCCTCCCGCCCATACTTCGATTCCCCACAATCCATCGGCCACGGCGCCACCATCTCCGCTCCACACATGCACGGACACGCCTGCGAGTATCTCATCGACCATCTCTACCCCGGCGCACGCGTGCTCGACATCGGGTCCGGATCGGGCTATCTCACGCACGTCCTGGCTAACCTAGTCATCAAGCCCGGACAGACAGGCCAGGACCCGAATCAAGGCCGCGTGATCGGGATCGACCACATCCCCGAACTTGTCGATCTCGCTCGCTCCAACATGAACAAGTCCAAGGAGGGTCAACGACTGCAACAGCTTGGACTCGTCCAGTTTATCACGGGAGACGGCCGACTCGGGTGGGAGGCCGAGGCGCCGTATGATGCGATACATGTTGGCGCGGCGGCGGAGGAGATGCATCCTGTGCTGATTGAACAGTTGCGAGCGCCGGGCCGGTTGTTTATCCCGGTGGAATCGGAGTATACTGCGACTGAGACGGCTCTGAGTTACCTGGGAATTGGGCATGGAGGGCAGTGGATCTGGGTGGTGGATAAGAAGGCGGATGGATCGGTGCAGAAGGAGAAGGTCTTTCAGGTGAGATATGTGCCATTGACGGATGCGCCACGGTAGGAATAGGCGAGAGAAAGCGGAGATCTAGTATTCATGGGTTGAGACTGAAAGGGGGAGTTGGAAGCCATGGCCATGGCTAGACAGACTCAGGACTAATCTACAAGCGGTCTTACGTTGAGTCCAAGATTGACAACACCGATGATGGTCACAGAGGATGAAAGGATGAGCAATTGATTCGAACAATACTAGACACAATCACAGGACCACTGGAAAATCTGGACGTCTTTAAAAACCAAAACAAAAAGATCAAGTAATATCACCGAAATCAGCGAAAACGACAGGCTTGGCATCGCTTATTATACTCCTAGAAACAATATGCACATGACACCAGTGAAGTAGATTCACCACGAGGGATGGTGATTCCCGGTATGACCAAGTTTCCCAGCGAAAATAGACCTTGCAACACCCGAGCGAGCGGATGCGAGACTCTGAGACGAAGAGACCTGCAACAAAAAAGTAAAGAGTAAAGCGATACACAGGGTAAAAGTGAAAAGATGGTAAACGCTATCACTGGAATGGATGGAATCCTCCGAATCCACCACCACCGCCACCACCAAATTTGAACTGACGACCACCCTGCGGGAAGAAGAATTGCTGTCCACCAGGATGCCCAAATGGACTACCCTGCTGGAAGGGATTTCCACGCTGCTGCGACTCGGGGTCGTTAGGGTCATCGCCGTTATCATAGCGCGTCCGCAATTCTCCGTCCGACAGGACTTCATAGGCCTCGTTGATCGCCGCCATCTTCTTTTCGGCCTCCTCCTTGGACACACCCTGTGCATGCGCCTTGTCCGGATGATGTTGTTTCATCAATTGGCGATAGGCCCGCTTGATGGTGCGTTCGTCGGCATCACGACTCACGCCCAGAACCTTGTAGTAGTCTTTTTGCTTGGATCGCTTGAGCAGGGCTTGGGCCTTTTGAAGAAGAGTTTGAATTTCTTGTGAGTGTGGGTGGTGCTCTCTAGCGGTGTTGAGTGTGCGGACGGCCTCTTCGAATTGATCATTGTCGAGTTGTGTCTGAGCTTGATAGAGGAGACCGTGGAGGGAGTGAGGAATTGCTTGAAGCGCTTCGATACAGTAAGGACCAGCCTTTTTGACCATGCGCATCTGTTTAACGAGGAAAGAAAAATAACAAATCAGAATCAGCACAAGTTATTTTCCAATGAACCAGTACGTTGGAAATCATCAGGAAGGGAAACTCACCTCTCGATATGCCTCACACGACTTTTCGATCAAGAAATTGTAGAGATGATTCGACGCAGCCGGGTGAATGTGACCCGCCTTCTTTGCCTCTGCGACATCGTTCTTCACGTCGGTGATCAAGCCCGGTTCCACACCGTCGTCCACCATCAACTTGACCGCATTACTAAACTTGCGCGCCTCCAACGCACTCCGCACCTTGTTCAATGTCTTAGCCAGCTGTCGCTCGCGCTTATACAGACGGTTGCAGGCCTTGGCATCGGGATCCGTATGTAAACACTTGCGGATCTGCGCCAGTCCCCGATCATTATCACCCAGCGCGTAGAACAACATCGCCGACATCTGCAGATGCGGCTCCACCAGGTTGGGCGAGATCTGAAGCACATGAGCCAAGTCGCTCACACCTTCTTCAATCTCCCCCTCTCGAATCGACAGTGCGCGCGAGTCTGTCGCAACGCCAAGTCCGTATTCGCTTTGAGGATCGCCACACCAGCCTGCATCACACACGCCTCCCAGTCCTTTTTCTTTTCCGCCGCCATGGCCAACCCGGCCGCATCCCGCGCCGCGCGCAATTCCTCATACTCGGCGGAATTCTTCTTGCCCGCCTTTTCGAGGTCCTTCAGCGCCTCTTTCCACTGGGCCGAGCGCGCATGCAGACGCGAGCGTTGCAGCAGTGCGCCTTCAAAATCGGGCTTCAATTTCAACACCCGATTGAAGTCCTCCGAGGCCTGGCTGTTTTTGCCAATGGACAGGTAGGCTGCGCCACGTTGGTAGAGAGTGATGTAGTTGGATGGGTCGCGGGAGACGGCGGCGTCAAAGTAAGGCAGTGCATCGCGCGGAGATCCCTTGGCCAGGTGGGCTTTGGCGGAGGAGATCAGTTCGGAGAGTGGCGTGTCGGCCTGGATTTGGAGAGCTGAGCCAGTGGAGAGGCAGGCCAAGACGGCTGTGACGGTCTCGAATGAGATACGCATGTTGTTTGAGAGGAATGCCAATATCACACGCCAGAAATTCCAAGCGTCAAGATTCAACTGTCAAGCTGTTCAGTGCGGTGGGAGAGGAAGACAGATGTTTTGCGATGCGATGCGATGCGATGCTTTTAGCTTAGTGGAGGGCCGCAGGCATGATTCTAAGCACTTTGTGTAGAGTCGCCTGCGGGGGAATAGGGTAAAGATTGTAAAGATCAGCGAACTGGAGAAAAGAGAGTAGTTTGCTAAATAGGACACAAAGGCCGCTGAAGAGGGGAAGAGAGAAGAAGGAGAAGCAGAGCCACTAGCGTCAATTAATGGGTTCAAAGACACGCAGAAGACAAGTTGATCGGAGTTGGGGTAAACTTCCAAAAGGACAAGTCAGCGATGGAATGCAAGTCGAAGACGCTCGAAGCTCGTTGAGTGGCCTTTACGTGTGTTGTATTTACTGTACTTGTATTGATCAACGGGTCCAAGGTTGACTATTGTAAATGTAATGTAATCTGTTTCGTTCGAAATTACTACTGTAAGCTTGTAACAGTACAGCACTCGAAAGATACGTAATCAGATCAAAGTTACAGCTTATCTCGGGCTGGAGAGCGGAAAAAGAGTCTCAAGCCAATCTCCTCATCGAGCTTCACTGACATTCTCCGCAACAGAAGGATGCTCCAATGCAGTCGATTATTCTGGCGACCTGCTAGAAGAGTTCTGGGCAGGGCGCTGCATCCGCTGCACTCAGGTATGCACTTCCCTCTCAATTGCCAAAACAACTGGACTCTGTCCCTTTCTTCTGTCCGTTTGTATACCGAAGAGCTCTCTCCGCTAATTTTCGGGAACCACAGCCGCTAGCGATTCGGGTCTATCCCCAGTCCTCCTCACTCGAGCGCGTCTCCTCGCCGACGAGCACACAAAATTATCCGATAAGATCGCAGAGACCTTTGACGCCAAAATCGCCAAACGAGTTGGTGAAATTGCGCCAGTCACACAAGTCCTCAGAGAATGGGACAGTGCCAACGAATCCATCACCGAACTCGAATCTCTCCTCGAACAACCCGAAACCGACGATGAGCTTCGGTCTCTCGCGATCGAAGACCTCCAAACCAGTCATGAGTCCCTGCCCATCATTTCAGACCGGCTCAAGAAGGCCTTGATCCCGCGGCACCCGTTCGCAGATCTGCCATGTCTGGTGGAGATTCGGCCGGGCGCAGGAGGCGACGAGGCAGGCCTCTTTGCCTTTGAATTAATGCGAATGTACACATCCTTTTGCTCGCGACGAGGGTTACGACCGACCATCCTGAAACAAGATGTCGAGGACGGAGCGTCCGAGGACCGTCTCACCGAAGCCGTGATCGAGATCGAAGCCGATGGCGCCTACGATATCCTACGGACGGAGTCGGGAGTCCACCGCGTCCAAAGAGTGCCCGCTACAGAGACCAAAGGCCGAACACATACCAGTGCTGTCAGCGTCATGGTACTGCCGAGTTTTCCCGAGTCGGGCAGCGGCAGCGCAGACAATGCGCTCAACTTTGAGGACCCCACGAGCGATTACTACATCGATCCGCAGGAAGTGCGGGTGGAGAAGATGCGGGCGAGCGGCGCAGGTGGTCAACACGTTAACAAGACCGAGTCGGCCATTCGATTGACCCATATTCCCACGGGGACCGTGGTGTCCATGCAAGACGAGCGATCCCAACATTCGAACCGTCGAAGAGCATGGCAGGTGCTGCGTGCGAAGATCGCCGAAATTCGCCAGGAAGCCCGGGAGCAGGAGCTGATGCAGCTCCGTCGAGGCGCAATGGGTGGCGTGGCGCGAATGGGCCGAGGCGACAAGATCCGAACGTATAATTTCGGACAGAGTCGCTGCACTGATCACCGAAGTGGCATCACCATTCACAACCTAGATGGCGTTCTGGATGGTGGGGATGGTCTGGAGACTGTCATGGAGAGCGTGCGCACTTGGATGGCTGACCGCGACGTCGAGGGCATGCTTGCGGAAGAAATGGCCAAGGCGGAGTTGGAGCAGAAGAAGAAATGAATGCATGAACAAGTACAGAACGGACGCAACTGGATGAGCTCTACATTGGTCAACAGCTGAAAGAGATGAGCATCGCTGCTCCGATGTCAACACTGTACACCAAGAAATGATACCATATTTGTATATATTTTTTTTTACATCACCTGATGTTCATGTACTTCAAAAATCACTCAGGGTAATCCATTTGTCTATATCGCAAGTAGGGCCACTGTGGGACCAGGTGGCTATTCTTGAAAGTCCGATTTTGTTTTAAATGTACTTGCGCTCAGGGTCCGCCAGATCCATCAATTCCATCGATTTCTCGTACCTGCCAACTGTTAGTATACAAAGCATAACCGCTCACGACCTTACAACCGGGTATAGGGATATCTCAACTCACATCGTAAACACGATTCCACCGCTCAGAATCAGCCGGGCTAATCGGGGCATCGCACCGGACCAGAATGTCAAGACACCTTCATCCTTGAAGATGCGAGCGGCGCAGACAAAGCTGTTCTTGTAGTTCTTGCTCGCCTCGAGAGATTGCATTCTACATGACGGACGACATGTCAATACCTCCTGAGCCACGATGCTGCTAGTCCGTTGTGAGTACATACCTTGTCTTCACCGTGTCAAGAGGTTGGGTCACATAACTAAATCAGGAAAACATAGCTTGTTAGTGATGTCCGCCATTGTATCACGAGCCATGTGAGAGAAAACACATACACTGTGATGATACCGGCCAAACCACCAATTCCAAAGGTAGCGAGTGTACCAAGCTTCTCTCCAGGTGCCACATAACCCTCAGCCAACTGCTTGATAGTGGTGTAACTCGTGAACCGGGTCGCAGAGTTTGCAGCCTGACGAGCTGTCGTCGGCACGAAGCCTTGGAAAAAGCCCCGGATACCGCGCTCCTGGAAAATGATTTTACTACCGTGCAAGAAGCCATTCATTCGAGGCTTCGCCGCCTTTCGATCGTCGATCCTGATCAAAGCATGTTGATTAGTAAGCTGTTCACGAAGTCATTGCCGTGGACTCGTTTCCTCGCCATAGGGCAAGTCCGGAACGGAACGAAGACCGAAAGACCAACGTACAATTGAGTCTTGATACTCTCGAAAGGAGTCACCGCAAGTAAAGACTCAGTGACACCAGCACCAAATCCAGCAACAACCGTTCTCGGCCCCGAAATCTTGCCATTCTCATCCTGCAGGGCCGCCTTGATTGCATCGAACGCAACGAAGCCTGTGATCACGACGAGCACACATCAGCACGAGCTGTCTAACAAAGGCCATAGGGCACAATCATCTTAACACAGCCAGGATGGTATACGCACGAATTCCAGCCTTCAATGAATTCCCAATGATCAAGGTCGTGCATCCGGCATACCATTGCTTGCCGAAGGGTGGCCACGGGAGCTTCTGGCCCTCTGCTAGTCGGCGATTCAATTGCGTCCTCGTCTTCGCGACTACGCCGAGATGTTAGTTTTCGCAATCCGCAGGGAGACATGGGAATTGCAAATTCGCATACACTCAGCTGGATAGGTGATTGCTAGAGCAGAAAAGTCGAGTGTTAGCTGGCATGATTCACCCGTGAACGTGTGTCATGGTGCGGGCAACTTACCGATCTCCACGGCTCCGGCAGTGGAGCCCGCAATGATGGAGCGCAAAGCGCTGGGCTATGCAGTCTGGTTAGAATAGTTGGAGAAATGAAAATGCCCAGATTAGAAGCCTCACCTTTGCCGTTGGGTCCCTACTCGCCGCAGCCATTGTTGATCTAGCACCTGGATGGGTTGTAAGAGTCACTGGACCTCCGGGGCCTCTTGATGATCACATTTACGGCCGCCCATAGCCCCACTTAATGCAGCTGCATTGACTGCGGGTCTCCGACCTCGGCAATACCGTTGGAAAGTCGAAGTCTTCATCGAGTGGCTTGAGATCAACAAAGCAATACCTACTTCGATTAACGAAGTTACTACGCGTTGAGACATCAATACAATGTGCGATACTCAAGTCCGACGGACACTACGGATATTTGGGGATTCTATTTCTAGGTTGGAAGCAAAAGTCTCGAAGGGAGGGAATTGTCATTTCACAAGATGCTACGTAGTTCATGAACATCTTATGCTCCTCCGAGAAGGATTTTTTGTTTGTTTTTTTTGAGTCACGAGGAGTCTGAGGTTTGCGAGGTTTGCGGGGATCTGTGAGATTTCTGAGACTTTCAAGGACCTCGAAGTCCTCGTGAGGGTCAAGAGAGTTGGTGATGATAGTGGTCGGAAGCACGGAGAGGAACGGAAGGTTGTCGACAGGCGTCCGATAAGGATATGCACCTCGAAATGGTAGGATGCCGAGATCAACAGACCCCCAGGGCGATAGAAACGATGGCATGGAGATGGCGAAATCGAGAGTCAAGCTGGAAGTAGAGTCATGTTGTTACTCCAACAGCAAGGGCACAGAACAAAGGAAGTGCCAGACTTGGGTATCGCAAATCAGAGAAGAAGCTCAAATGTGTCGAAGGACGGGGGTTGTAGTTCCTCGATGAGCAGCGGATAGGGCATGGAAGAGATAAGGAGTCGTAGCCAGAGAAACAAGAATCACAGAGACCATCACCATGTCCAGTTCCGTCGACGCCACCCGAAAACGCCAGGTAAGTCATGAAATCAGAAACGCCGCCAGCCCTGCAACCCATTGAAGCATCATGGCGGTGAACCGAAGTATATACACCTTGCATAAAATGAGATCAAGAACGGCAGGAGTTTGCGCCACACCAAGGAATGCAGCATGCGAGGGACTCGTTGGGAGAAGGTATGACTCCTACTATCATCTCGGAGGGCCGAAGAGATCGAGGGATGTCACGAGAAGATATGAGGGAAGAGATTATGATACATGAATCACACCAGCACCGTAGCGTCGTGAAGAAGTAAAAGAAAAGGAGGTATGCAAGCTTCTACAGCAACGAAAGCTTATCGCTTTGCTGTCGTAGGCTGCTGCAAGAGAGGAGTTCTGATCTAGAACGTGCACAAGAAGAGTAAGAACGGAAAGGCGGGAGGAGAGGAAGAAGGTTGCGAATTAGACGAGTAACGAGAGGGTTGTGCCAGGGATGTCCAAAAGACGAGCCAGACTAGGACATCGGCGCTGGAGGCTTGGGGCCAACTTGGCTCGGTGCGAGAGCTACGTTTGTAGCATCGTGCTGCTGCGGTCCACGTCGGGGACCCTGACCACGACCACCGCGATAGGCACCACCGCGACCCCGGTTGTTGTTGCCATTGTAGTAATGGCCGCCGTTCTGGTGATGATGTTGCTGGCGGCGAGGCTGGCGATCACCAAGGCCAGGTTGCTGGGGGCCCGCGATCATCGGCTGGGCGGGATTCGAGATTGGGCGAGGGATGTTCTCAGGAGAGTCGTACACGTAGAGCTTCTTGTCGATGTTCTGAGGGATGGGCTGGATCTCAGTGCCCAGCTCCTGCTCGATCTTGTACAGATTGAAACGATCTTCCCAGTTGATCAAGTTGATGGCCAGGCCCAAGTGACCGAAACGACCGGAACGACCGATGCGGTGGAGATAAGTCTCGGCGTTCTTGGGGAAATCGAAATTGATCACGACGTTGACTGCTTGAATATCGATACCACGGGTGAGCAGGTCAGAGCACACCAAGTTGCGACACACGCCATTGCGGAAGTCATGGAACACGCGGTTACGGTGTTGCTGGAGCATCTTGGCGTGCGAGTAGAAGCATGAGTAACCCAGCTCGGTGATTTTCTTTGCGAGGAGTTCGACACGGTTGGTGGAATTGCAGAAGATGATTGACTGGTTGATCTGCAGCTTGGAGAACAGGGTGTTGAGGCAGTGGACCTTCTGTTTCTCTTCCACGAAGGCGTAGTACTGGGTGATACCACGCAAAGTAAGCTCGTCCATCAAATTGATCTCGTAGGGATTGCGCATGTGCTTGTCCTTGAAAGACTTGACGATCATGGGGAAAGTGGCACTGAAGAGCATGACCTGTCGATCCTTGGGGTGGAATGACAACAGCTGCTCGATGACGGGAGTGAATTCGGGAGACAGGAGTTTATCTGCCTCGTCCATCACAAAGGTTGGGCACTCAGACAAGTCGGCAACGCCCTTGGAAGCGAGGTCAAGGACTCGACCAGGGGTGCCAACCAGGATGTGAACAGCGTCGTTGAGCCGGATGATATCATCCATCAGGCCGGTACCGCCAGTAGTAACCATGACATTGATACCCAGATGCTTCCCCAATGTCTTGCACACTTGCGAGGTCTGGAGAGCCAACTCTCGTGTCGGAACGAGGATCAATGCCTGGGTCTTTGTGTTTTTCGGGTTGATGCGCTCCAGTGTGGGGATCACAAAGGCGGCGGTTTTGCCTGTGCCGTTCTTTGCTCGGGCCAGGATGTCTCGGCCAGTGAGAGCAACGGGTATCGTCTCCTCCTGGATGGGGGAGGGCTTTTCGAAACCAGCCTCGAAGATTCCCATCATCAGTTCCCGCTTAATGTAAAAATCCTCAAACTCCAGGCCCTTGGTAGCCGTGACGTCCTACACACCAAGTCAGTCACGAACGCATAGAATTTCCATGTGTTTAAGCTAACAACTTACCTCAGTCTGAGGGCGAGCATCCTTGGGTGGCAGCTTCAGGGTGTCCTGAAGTCTAGCCTCTGGCTTGCCGTCCCTGTGAACGTGAAGTTGTGAGCTCACTGTCTTCTGTATGTCATAGAGATTCTGAATTTTTGTTTACCTGAGAGTGGTATTCTGAAGTTGTGAAGCAAGAGCGTCCGCCATTGTGACGTTTGTTTGGGAAAGGGTGAGGAAAGGTAGAGAGGTATTCGGAATATTCAAGGAAAGCCGGAGAGGTGCGGGGCTGAGAGAAACGGCCGTGTGGGTTTGCCGTAAATGGGTAGGTCTCTCACTTCACTGACAGCTTTGGTGAAGGTGAACTAAGCGCAGTGTGAATCCGTGTTCACCAAGTGGCAGCAGCAGCACAAGCTCTTTGAATATATGAGGAAGTTGAGTTCGAAGATGTGTAGGAGAGGAGAGAAGATTCCAGTTCAAGGCCGCAGAAGTTGGGGTCAGTCAATGTGGGCGGTGAGGTGCGACGGTGGACAGATTGTGTTATGGCCGTAGACAGCGCTGGGAGTGGTTCCAACGAACGAGAAATTTTGAAGAGGGAAGATAAAGTTGAGTAAGGGAGTTTGTGGGTTGAGCAAGGCGAAGGGATTCGTAGAAGTCAAAAGACTTGCGTGGGCGGTCTTTGCTCATGGTCCCGCCGTGATCACATGACACTTGTTTGATTAGGGTGCTCACCACAGGGCACAGAAAGAAGCCCGCGCCAATGTGCCACAGCAATAGTTACTTAGCAGTTGAACGCAATAGAGCTCTCGTCGCAAACACTAGAAAATCTAGTCAATCATAGAAGTTGAAAGGACTCGAGGGAATACCACGAATCATTCAGAAAAAATAATGGGAAAACAAGTAATCATAGTACTCGAATTATAATCACGGGACACTTCTTATCTCAAACACTTTTAACGTTCATTTTCAGTCTAGAACGAATTGTATCTAACGTGAAAGTGACAGGAGATTTGTGGAGGCTCCCGTATAATCCGTTCTCATTTTCAGATCTATGAACTCTCTTGCTTGGATGAGAATTTATTTCAAATATTGTTGCCGCTGACTTCTAATACTATGAACGCTGACTTCATCATCGAATATAACGGATGCTTAACGCGAAAGTGGCAGGAGATCTGCGGGTGCCCTCGTAAAATCCAAGCTCTTGTTTAGATCCGTAAACGCTCAGGTTTAGAAGGAAAGACCACTCTGATATCATGGCCGCTAACTGTCAATCATGCGCACATGGAATTTTAAAATCAAGGCCGCTGACTTTATTTTCTGCCTTGACGCATACCTAACTATAAAATGTCGCGCCCTTTATACCTGATCTCGTATGGATATCTACAAGCGCACGACTTAGGTTTAGATAAACAGTCATTTTTGACATCGTGATCAGTCGCTTCTCGTAGCGAAGACTGACTTTGTAGATCGAGTTTGGCGAATAATACCTAACATGGAAGCAACGGAACATTGAACGATCTCTCATGTGAGGATAACCTCATGTTCAGGCCTAAAGACGCTTACATGAAGACAGAAAGGCATTTTGAATGTAGTATGGCCGCCTACTTCTAGTAGAATGATTGCGAATTTATCATCGAACCAAATGGACGACTACAACAACAGTGCGGGAAAGATTACGAGTGTCCAAATATGATCTGACCGTATATTAAAATATACGGGCACTCACTCTTGAATCAAATTTCATATCTGCTGCTATATGAGCTGATTTCCATCATCAACTATAACAATTGCCGAACTCGGAAGCGAAGGGAGACTTACGGAGGCTTCAGATCAATTGATTGACCTTATATTCAGCCTGAAATTAGAAGTCATTTGCAGGGTCAGACCATGAACGCTCACTGTTTTCGGACTCTTGGACCAAGTGTCATTTCTCATATCACAAAAATTAGCTGACTGATGCCTCATGTAAAAGTCACAGGATGGTTGCGAGGGGTTCTGTATAACCTTGATCGAGATTTCGCCCCTTTGCCTTGTACAAGGCTAGCTTGTGACATTAGAGAACTGCCTTCTCAGTAGGTAATGTCTCTAAAATGCCTGACGCATATAGGTTCAAATGTGACCCATATAATAGGCCGACCGAAGTTCTTGACCGAGTTTTATGGAGAATGGACAGCTCAACTCGACGTGATCCTGGAGTCGAATACGATGGGGGACTAAGATATTTCGCTCGCGTGCAGCACAGTAATGAGTATTCTGATCCAACAGAACCGTACATCGAACATACCCTCAAAGCCCGAGTCATAATTAATGCGGCAATAACTAGGTACGACCCTAATGCAAACCTAGTACGAACATACTTTCAGCAGATGGTTTCGACGGACTTCTGAAGGTACAATGTGATTTGATTGTGCAATCTGGTTATGAGAAGCATCAAGTGAGAGACACAGTCCGCATGAGCTCTGATCACGAGATTCCTCAAGAACAGGCTGTGATGCCTCAAAAGGGAGCAGGACATGGATGATCCAGAGGCAAGGTATGTTTCCCAGATTCATACTGCTCAGGACCGAGCTTTTTGAATCAACGCGGCCTGCAACAGAAAATGTATCCGGGATCAGTATTATGGCCCAGGCAACATTTAACTATCAACTGAGATACAAGTAGTCGAATCCATTGTCAACCAAGAAAATCTCCCATGGTCATGGAAGACTCCTACTTACAATGGCAGGTGAAGACACCGACGAAGAACACCATTCCTGAAACGTGATCAATCCCATTTGCCATGATCTTCACATCAAGGATGCATTATTGATCTTAGAACTCTGATACCGGATCATCTCACTGGGAAATTTGGATATGGTCGACCGGGAGCTTGCGCCTGAAACTTGCGGGGGAGCTTGAAGATGCGTTTTAGGCTTGCTGAAGAAGCGTGTTCGAGATCTTCTTGGTCACTGGCTCACAGTGTCATGGTAGACATGAGACATTATGCGCCAGCTTCCCTCTCGAGAAACTCCACATGCCGTGATAAGTTAATTGTAAACAGAGCTAGAGCCAATAGTTCCTGCCAGGCGTAGCGTCAGCTGAATGTTCATCTTTCAGGTGAAGTTTTTGCAACGCCGGGGTGGAAGCGCTCGTGGCGTTCTCGTGTAACAATCTCGGCCCCCAAAGGGTTTGAAAAAGCCGACTTTTGACCGAACATCATTCACTCGAGAACTTTTTCTTTCTGAATCCAAGAGCTGCGAACTATACCATCATGTCTGATCCGCAGAGAATGAGGCTGTGTGTATGTGATTGCCATGACTCTGGCCAGTGTGTGGTCTCGATGAGGCAGCGAGGGCGACGTCGTTATCGGTGACCACTATCTCAAACTGAAGAAGTGAACGCCGAACCGATTACACTGTTCATTGTGACGCTGGGAGGGATTTGAAAGGAATCGACCTCCCTCTATTTACCTGGCTGGCTTGTTTTCGACTTAGACAGATCGTGTCTTAGGTGTTAAACGGTCGGTCATAGTCAAAGTGCCCGAGACGCGGGATACCCAATTGTGCCACATGAGACCAAGGAGAGAGAGTATTCACAAGATTGGTAGCAATTATGCACGCGGAAAGATCGGGTAAGGTCCTGTGATTCGATTGATCGACGAAAATGCATCAAGCATCGTAGCGCATGACAAGATAGTGTATCTAGGTAAATCGGAAAAAGAGAGGTGCGGAGAAGCCGACAGTACGAGGGGAAGCGAGGTGTATAAGCAGGCAGCAGGCTGATGCTGTTGGAGGGAGAGATTGCACGTATTGAGCTCTCTACTGAAAGCTGGGTAGACCGCCAGCTGAGTGGATCGAGGAATCAACGAGCTGGGCTTCTAGATGATGAGAGTAGAAGTATGTGATTGATCACACTGAAGTTGGCAAGAAGTGAACAGGTTGAATACTCAATGATGGGGGTATTATGCTAATTGTTTGGCAGAATGCAAGTTCCCCTCAGGGGGATATGCTAGATCCAATCCCGGCCTATGTACATGCACGCTCAAGGAATGTCTCTCAGTCTGGAATTCATGCTTATCTTGAAAAAGGCAAGGTTGTCTGACCACGCTCGGGTTCGGCCAACTCCTTGACTCGAACATCCGGGGCAAGAGTAATGTCGGTCTTGGTTCCCGGGGTAATTAAAATGAATTGACGTCCAATGGATCTTCGAGCGGCAATCATCTGGATCGAGAGTCAGGAAAGTTACAGAGAAGTGTAATCGAAACGGTGAACTTACAAGCATATCAATGGCCATTCTTCTGTTGATATGATCCATGTACACATCGCTAGAGCGCAAAAGTTAGTATGACGATATCTTAATATGCAGTGAGAAGATAGTGAAGAACATACAACTCGTCAAGACATCGGATCGGAGACCCCATGGCTTCCCAAAGGGCAAGAAGCAGGCAAATTTGAGAGAACGACTTTTCTCCACCGGAGAGTGTCTTGGCTCCACGGCCTTCGTCATTGTCCTTTGTGATGTCCGGCTCAACCTGAGGGAAAGACCATTAGGTTAGAACAAACATATGGACAGGACCTCGAAGACAGCACTCGGTACTCACCTGAAGATCAAGCAGTTTCTCTTGATGATTCGTGAGCAGTCGACCTCGGAAACTGCGTTCACTCAACAGGTAGGTAAATTGAGCTTTGGCACGGGATGAGATATGCGATCTAAAGATCTCCCATCGCTTCTTGCGATTGGTCAAGGTATCCTTGAAGATCTGCTCAAGAGTCAGGACCGACATTTCCTTCAAAGTGACGCTGGGAAGTGAATATGAGCTACTCAAACTCTTACCTGTGCAAGTGCAGTCGCCTCTTCCACCTGTTTCAGCGCACGCTGGTACTTCGCTTCTGCTGCAGAAGCTTGAATTGCGATTTCCTCTCTAGTTGCACCCAGTCTGCCAAAAAAGGAAATCACCAGTCAGCACGTCTCTATACGTGTTTAGAATCACACGTACCGGTTGCTGTGCCGTTCGAGATCGGCTTTTAGCTTGTCCAACTTCTTGTCCAAACTACTCAAAGTTTCACCCTCGTCAATCGCAACTCGCGGGGTGACCATGCTAGCCTTCTCGATGTCTTGAAGTAATCGAGCCTCGACCTGATCACGCTTGTCTCTGATGCGGTCTCGACTCCTTTTGTAATCTTCAATATGCGATAACGCGAGGTTCTTACTGCTGATGATTTGATGGCGTTTGTCATCGACCTTTTTCTGCTCCTGACGAGCAATCCGAAGGTTATTTTGCAGCTGGCGCAAGTGATCCTCGATCTCTTTCTCCTCTCGTCGTTTGAGCTTCAATTGATTCATTTTCTCGGTTTTGACTCGTCGGCCTTCTGCGAACATGCTTTGATGGTGTTGCAGATCAGCTTGCGCTTTGTCGCGAATGCTGATGAGCGCATCAAGCTGGCCATCCGCTGAATTCTCGAGCGCATCTCTGAGTGATTCGGCATGATCTTCGAGTTGCTGCAATTTCAACATGAGTCTCCCAATCTCCTGACGGTGATTCGCTTGATTTCGTCGACAAGTTTGCAAATGAGCCTCAGCGGCGTCGTACTCTTTCTGAAGGATGTCCAGTTCTTGTTTAAGCTGCTGGACGACCTGTTCCTGGTGGCTGTGGACAGACTACAGTAAGCCACTGAAATGCATGATTCCGTGGTAGATTTGAGCGCCGAACGTACCGAGTTTGAGAAGCGGCATCGGACTTCATGCGAGGGTAGCCTTTGTATGCCGCGACAGGAGACTGACTGGGACCACCTTCCCTATTATAGGACAAGTGAATACCTCGCCGCTGATCGCGCGAATCGATGCTAAAGCAGCGTGCAACATTCTTGAGTCTTTCCCCATTGAACATGAGTGATGTAGCATCCTCAAGCTTTTCAACCAAAAGCATCTTCTCAATTGTGTGTCTGACAATTAGATGGCCACGGATTGAATCGTTCTCGATCTGAAAGGAAGTAGAAGGCAGTCAGTCAGTATAATCTGCGAGGAATAGGCGTTGATGATACATGCCTTTAAAACTCTGAGAACCGTGTCGTATTGACTGTCGGGCTCATAGTTTGATGTATCGATATTTTTGTTGGTTCCGACTAAGATAGGGCAATGACTAAAGCAGCGATCAGCACAAAAGTCCTTGCTGAAGTTCGACGGGAATCGATATAAGACACCTACCAGCCAACCCGCTTCATGACATTACTGAGAATCTTTTGGTCCCGGTGATTCTCAACCACGAAGCTGTTCAGACTTGTACCAAGGGTATTTTCGATGATAGAAGCCCACTTCGGCTTAAGCAGAGTGATATACTTCCCGACTGGTCCGATTGGCCGAGCTCCAAACGATCTCTCTTGTTCAATCGCTCTCAGCAGCGATGGCAACTTGTCAGGAAAGCCGTCCCTGACCCGTGCATTGTCTCTTTTGAGCTCCTGCAACCGGGTTTTGGCTTGGTGGAAATCCATTTGCTTGGCTTTGATCTGGCTATCTGCAGCTCTCACTTTGGCCTCGGCGCTAGAAATGGCTTGATGCAGCGAGGTGTGACCTCTCTCACGAGATTGATATTCATCCCGTGCTGCAGCGGCTTGAGCCTGAGCCTGCTCACACTCCTCCTGTTTCCGAGCGTAACCGCCATTGCTGACCTCAGTCAGGCGATGTTCTTCCTCTTCGATCTTTCTCTCGGCATCTTTCAGCGCAGACTCTGCACCGTCGACTGCGATTTTCATTGCGCGTTCTTCGGCCTATCTCCTGTTAGTGAGTGTACCATGTTTGAAAGTAGTATCCGCGTTTCTTGCGCTTACAAGGACATTGTTGGTCTCTCCCGTCAGAGCCTTCGTTTCCTCGATCACAACTTCTCTGTCTCTTTGACGATCCTCCACTGAGCGTAACGCACGGTTGAGAAGCTCAGTAGCTGTCTCAAGCTCGACGTCCACAGCCTGAAGAGCATCATCAAAGCGGACAAGCTCGGCCTCTGCTAGGGCTATCACATCATCCGCCTTGACAATTTCGTTGGTGAGGGAGTCCCTGATCTGTGTTCCTTTTTGTCAACATGGTCACACTGCCGAAATGGAAAGGGCTTGCACTGACTCGCTCATGGTCCTCGACCTCGGCCCAGACCATTTGATTCCTGTAGTTCCTGATGCGCTCTCTGAGGGTGTCTTGTTGATCAGAAAGCTCCAGCTTCTTTCTAGCAAGATTTCTCTGATTCTCCAACAACTGCAGATTCGGCGCCTGAGATCGGAGCTTCTCCTCAGTCTGGTCGACACACTCTTCGATCAAGCGATAGTCCTGATCCAACTGCTCCAGTTGCACACCCTTGACAAAAAACCTGTATTTCTCCGCGGCACTGGAGCTGCTGAGGAATTGGCGAGCCATGTCCTGCGACAAGACATTCATTGGATTGTCGATTTGAAGAGAGAAGTAGTCGGTGATGGCGTCCAGCTCAGCCTTTCGTGTCGAGACGATCCGCCCTTGCTCGTTCTTGATCTTAAAGCCACTGGAGCCGCTCTTTGTAAAATGACGCTCGACAATGATAGATTTCCCGTAGTCATCAGGCATGTAGGCGCCATCGCCCTGGTTTTTGATGCGCACGATGATGGACGCATTCTCTTTGCCTTCTTTGATAAAGCTTTTGAGACTTTGGCCACGATTCGTCGCAGATGCTTTACCACCCAGACACAATGTAATTGCAGTCAGGATCGCGCTCTTGCCACTGCCGTTCTTTCCGACAATGAAATTGATCAAGGGTCCGAGCTCGACGGAGAAGTGATTGTGGCACATGAAGTTGAAGCATTCAACGCGCTCGAGAATGCCATGCTCAGCGGGTACATTCGCTTCGTCGATTTGTTGCGCGTATTTCTCTTGGATGATCTGAGTCTGGCGAAGCTCAAGGTCTGCCTCATCCTCCTCGTCTTCGGGCAGGCCATCGTCGCGGGAGGGGGAGCGGGTCGGAGATGGAGAACCGGCGGGACTGGTTCCTGGCGCATCCAAAGTGAGTAGTGCAGAGCTGCGCGCTCGTTTTCTCTATTTACCAAATCAGTTGTCAATGTTCACTCGGAGAGTCAGTCATTGTTGAGGTGCGCATACCGAGTGCGATGCGGGGTCTGAAGAAGCAGGAATCTCAGAGTCCCCGTCGCTCTGGAGCTTAGAGTCCGAAAACTCCGAGGAGCGTTTCAAGGATGGCATTCTGCGGACGCCTTTACACCAAGACTGGGCGGCTACAGCGCATCGCGATATCGATGCACTGGGGCTTGGTCAATCAATTTACGCGAAGAGTATGGGCGACCGCGCCGGCGCGCTTTTTCGCGTCAAAGGCGGGTGAGTCCCCCGGTCGCGGGTAGTGGATGAGTAAGCGGAAATAGCCATCAGTGACCGTACTGCAGCCTGGAAGGTGGCACATGCACGGGCTGCTTTAACCGGTCCACTACAATACATCTCCCAATCGGGAAAAATGTTTACGAACTAGAGTTGCTTCCGTGATGCAAGAAGCCGTGACTTACCTGGCTGTTGGAGTATCTCTACCTGCCTCCAGCTACGGATCGAGTGATTTCATATCCCAAGTACACGCACATCTGAGCACATACTGTATTTGGGTCAGATCTAGGGCCTCTAGTAGTCCAGAATTTCAGATACATAATTTTCATTCCAGATACGGAAATCATCATTTCGAGTTTCGCAAGGATAAAAGCTCTTCAGGATCTACGTCTGCAATGTCTCAGTCTACAACGAGGGACCCAGAGCTGACTCATTCTTTGAAGAGAATTAAACATTGAAATCTCTCTTCAGTAATAGAACACTGATTGATCGGACATGGCGCGAATAGGTCAAGAGTTCACGCCAGAACAAATTCAGTCATGTAGAGGCCTTTCCCCAATTCGTTCCGGTGAAAATGATGGCGCCAAGCCTCTACTGGGTCATGGGCTCCTCAGCCACATAGTGCAGGTAGGCGCCAAGCAGCTTGGTACCCTCGATGTAGTTTCTGCGGTCAAGTTTTTCGTTCGCCGAGTGAGCGGCGTCGGTGGAGCTACCCATGGGCAGCAGAAGGACGTTCTTGCCGGTGGCCTGCTCGAAAGTCAGGGTAACGGGGATACTGTTGGATGGATTTTAGTGTCGCGTTCGCAGAGTCAGTGGTGGAGAGGAAGAAGCGTGAAGACATACCTGCCACCCTCACGGGTCATATCCGGCTCAACGCCAAACACCTGCTCGACAGCCTTGCTGGCGGCGCTGAAGTTCCAGTGCTTGGGGCTGGCGACCCACCACTTGCCGTCGTGCTGCAGAGACACATCCAGCTTGTTCTTGCTGTTGAGCTTGGCGAACTCGGCCTTGACATGGTCAAAGACCAGCTTGTTGACATCCTCGCTCTCCATGTTGGGGACGGTACGGATAGAGAACTTGCCGATAACCTTGGCGGGGATGACAGTCTTGGCACCAGGAGCAGAGTAAGCGCCCTCGATACCGTGGAGGGACAGAGAGGGGTACCGCCAGCGGGCCATCAGAGTGCGCTCCTTGTTGGGGTGGATCCCAGTCTCGCTGCCCAGAGACTCGTGGAGGTCGTCCATGGTGTAGCTGATGTTGGGGTACAGGGCCTTCTCTTCCTCGGTCACAGGAGCGACCAGATCCATCAGGCCGGGGATCAGGATGTTACCCTGAGGATCGACCAGCTTGGACATCACCTGGACCAGGTCGGTCATGGGCTCGTGGGCCGAGCCACCGAAGACACCGCTGTGAAGGTCCTGAGCGGGACCGGACACGCTGATGGAGTAGTAGTTGCATCCACGCAGACCGTAGGTCAGGCAGGGCTTCTCGGTACCGAGCCAGTAGTTGTCAGAGATACAGACCGCGTCGGTGTCCTTGAAGTACTTCTTGGCCTCAGCGTTAATGAAGTCATCCAGACCCTCAGATCCGTACTCCTCCATACCCTCAAAGCAGCAAAGCAGGTTGACGGGCAGCTCGACACCAGCCTTGCGGTGAGCCTCGATGACGTTGATCCAGCCCAGAACGGGGCCCTTATCATCAGTAGAGCCACGGCCGTACATGCGGCCCTTGTCGTCGATTGTCAGCTCGAACGGCTCGGTAGCCCAGCCGTCCTCCTTCTGAGCAGGCTGCACATCGTAGTGACCATACACCAGGATAGTCTTCTTGTTCTTGTCGTTACCGTAGCGGGCAACCACGACAGGAGGCAGGTCGAGGTGCTCCTTGCCGGGCTGCTTGCCGAGGGGCCTTTGCTCGACCTCTGCACCCAGCGCGGTCAATTCGTCGGTAAGGAATTGGGCCATCTTCGCCGTGTTAGTCTCAAATGTCTTCATCCTGTTCATCTTCTTTTACCCGACCAGGCGATGCAGCAGTAACTCACGCGGACCACATCCTTGCGGTTCTCATCCTGAGCGGAGATTGAAGGAATAGCAACGGCCTTGCGCAGACCTACAAGTATAAAACCTCGATTAGCACCTATCTCGGAGTATCTCTAGCTCACCTCGGCGCATTGCCGCCGAGGCCGGCCAAAGGACTCAAAATTCAATTGGTAGTCTCGCATGACATACGGTCAATGAAGTGCTCCGCCGAGGTGTCGACCCTTGAAAAGCGAGCGTGTCAGATGGTTGCAATTTTTTTTTTTTTTTCCCTCTCTGCCTTCATACACTCCCGCGTGGAGTGGGTCCACTGCGAAGATAATGCACCTACTGCTTGAAAAATGGCTCGAGTTGAGGCGCCATGTTGGTATCACTGATATGTCCGTAAAAGAAACGACGGGGGACGAAAGGATGAGCCGATGGACGACACTTGGAAAGGAAAGATTGACCAGATCTGGCGAGCGAGGGGAAGCGGAGGGGAAAGAGGGGCAGCATTTGCAAAAGGTGCAGCACCACTTGTCGCACCGACAGGGTATCTTTTCACGTAATTAATACCTCCTTACCCTCCAGCCTGGAGAGTCGTCTGGCACTTTGCAGGGTGCAACCGCTGGAGTTCCGCCGGTAGCCGCCCCAATTTTGTCTGGTGCTGCCGTTTTGGGCTTGCGGTTTGGGCGGCTGTCTTTGTGGAGGTTGGACCCGCGGGTGCTTATCGATTGGCGGCGACGGCTCTGGAGCGGAATAAAAACTGCATGGAGTTAGAACACAACATCGAGGACCCCACAAGTCCACACTTCCTACTAACTTCATGCATTTGGGCCTTGCATTGAGTGACTCGAATTGATGCAGCCTATTCCACAGTTACGAGGGCTGAGGGATGCTACATGAACTTACTGTCAATGGTCAATTTCATAATGCCTTGCCAATGGGTGGATTAACATGATATGGTACATCATGGCGTACGGTACATTTGTACAGAAGCCTTGCACTGTCTGATATCCGTTGTCCTCCTTCGGGTGTCGGAGGACCACTCTTATCGCCTTCGATTTACATGGTCGGACAAGTAGTAACGTATCTAAGTTTACTAGTAAGTCTAGTCATAACTAAGGTACCACTAACTACCTGATTACGACCTGCACCTGAATCTGATACCACATGAGGCCTCGGCCATTCCGATCGCAATGTCAGTATTACTGGTGCATTATACCTGTATATGCATATATGTACATACATTAGAGGTACAACGCTATTCGCACGTGGTCACTCGCAATAAGTTACAGTAATCTTCCACTTATTATGCTGACTGGTACAACATCATGCTGTGGACTGTCGAGTGTTAATAGATGAGGACTGGTGGAACCCTTCTCTTGAAGTCACAGTTCTTGGGGGGGGGGGGGGGGGGGGGGGGGGGGGAGCAAATCCCTCGAGTGCCCGATAAAACACAACAAACACTTCAATCTTGACCAGATGCTCGAGCTGGACAGGCAAAGGTACGCGAGATAATGACACTCGATCTTCAGGGGGATCATCGCTCTGGTAGTCGCGTGCAGATTTCCCCATGATTAGCAAGTACTAGAAACATGGAATGCCGAGGCAGATACGAACTGTAGAGCTAGGGCTCTGCGCTTACTGACACTTCTCCCTCTTGGTACCTACGTTACGAGGCAGATATGCGCAACGTACCAGGTACTAAGTACTCACGTAGGTACTCAGGAAAACCAGAAGATCCCAGATCATCATACTCTTCTCACATGATAGCGTGGTCATCGTTTAAGAGAACACTAGGCGACAATTCATTGAGGAAATCGGAGCCCACAACCAAAGGCCCAGGAAGTATGGAGAAAACAAAAATGGATGTGGATATGGTTACCAGATATGAGAGGATGAATGCTAAGTGTTAGAATACAAGTTGTTTTTACACGAGACTGCAGGTCACCCTCGGCCCTTCTTCGGCTTTCGAACGGACGCTTTCTCTCCTGTAAGCCGGGCCGACACCCGTCCCCCGGAGCCTCTGGAGACGGCTCCTCAGCCAAAGTGCTGCCATCAACCGCAAGCCTGATAGATGGCAGTTTTCACTCGTCACGACCCCAAGCCTCCCGGCGCAACTTCCGGTCTTCTCTAGCCATCCGCCGCTTGGGTCCCCATTGTGACTGCACGGCCTCTAGCACCTGCCTTTGCATTTGCTTCTTCTCCGGACTGGCCTCACAGACTAAGGCGATAAAAAGCGGCGAGCACTCGAATCGCTTGGCCAGCTTGTGACGACTCCACGTCATGGGATCACTCATGCGAAGGGTGCGGATCTCCTCGACATCTTTGGGGGTCAAGTGGTACTTTCGCTCTGGGTCGCTGCGGTAGACGTTGGGGAGCTGCTCAACAGCGGTAGCTGAGCCCGAGGTCGCTGGATCTTCGATGCGCATCGACCTGCGGGCATCATTGGGGGGCAAAAACTTGCTGGGTGTGTGGTAGACGGAGGGGGCACTGGAGGGCGGGTTGTAGATGATTTGATCGCGTCCTTGGTGTGAGGAGCCGAAGGACGCATCTGGCTTAACGCGGAGACGTTGCTTTGTGCGTCGGTATGAAGATTGATAACGTCGAGATCCTACCGCAAGGGAGTCGGAACATGATGGGAGCAAGAAGGGCAAGTTGACCAAGGGCCGCTTGAAAGCCGCAATTGATGTGGCCATGTTGGAAGGCGCTCTCAGGATAAACTACAATGGTGCACAGTGAGTCCAGATGCACAATTGGTTAGAAGATTCGTGTTGCAAACATACCGACTGAGGAGGGAGTGTGGAGGTCGAGTATCGGAGCGTGTTGGCTAGACGGGGGCTTGAACCGACGTGTCGAGCCTGAACTTTTTCCAAGTCGCAAGTCTCGTGACTCGGTCCAGATCAGGCACCCAGTAACCGGGTAGCTGTGCCTGCCTGATAATGTATTCTGTAATTTTGTATTCAACTGTAATCACCACCGTTTTTGTTACCGAAACAACAATCACCAACCGTCCGTCACTTACTGCAGTGGGGCGGCTTCCGGTAACGTATCCTGTCACAACATGCGCCCGCCCCACCACTTGGATCACATGGATCGGCGCGCATGTCATCATTGTCTTGTGGTCTAAAGTGAAAGGAAGACACCAAACCTTCTCCTTTTCCATCTTTCTCAAACATTCACTTTCTGCTCGTTGCGATCCAGTTTAATAATCTCTTCTGCTATTGCGAGTAGACTCCAAGGCATATTCCTAGGTCATGGCCCTTGTGTCCTAGACTTCTTGGGCAACAGTTTCCACAGTTGCTCCTTCATCAACCGCCAGAACGTCTGCTTCTACTAAGCCCTACCAGATTCCAACCGCCATGGCTGAAGCAGGGAATGTGCAGGTTGCATCTGGAAATGCGCCACTAGAGATTTCCGCAGATATGTCGTCCACGGTGCAGGGACATGCTGGGTTGGAGGACTCGCCAGGCGAAGCTGAGCCGCTGGTCGGAAAGCCCGCTACTAATGTGCGAGCACCGAAGCCCGCCAGCCTGACGTGGCCGCAAGCTCGACAAGATGATCCTAACCGTCTCGGTCGTCATGGTGAAAGCGCTTATCTCGGAATTGGTGCTGTGGCCAGCGGGCCGGTTTCGCCAACATCACCCAGAGCTTCGTCCGAAGGCTTCCGTTCACCAACCCTCTCAGACCGACAAATGTATGCGCACAGACAGCCATCTTCTCCAGGCGCGGCTTCACAAGTGCCTCGTCTGCACTCTCCAGCTTCTCAGATCTTTGAGCGAAGCGTTCAAGAAGACATGCTTCCCTCGCAAGCTTCTCCATCGATACCTGCGCATCTGCGTACCGAGAATTACATCCCACCTGTGCTCGAAGCATCCTCCGCTGCGATTACCGATGAACATCTGGACCCGGATTCCGTCGAAATACTTACACATAGCATTCATCAGCCTGCTGCGGCGACTATGAACGGCTCATCGACAGCAGATCAGTCCCTGGCGTCCTCTAGCCATCTTGATCAATCGGGATTCCACTCTTTCGAGACTGATGAGGCCTCCTCTGCTCATGCCGTGGCCGATCCAACAGACGTGCGACGTCTGAGTTTCATTTCATTCGCCGACGTCGTCAACGCTGAGCATGCGGAGAGTGGCGACTTGATCTATCGTGAGTCGTCTATGGGAGGTGGCTCTGGCCACTTGGTTGGCGCTGGTCGCTCTCCATCACCCTTACGATCGCCCACTTCCTCGCACGGATTAGGTACATCTCCCCCGACGAGTATTGCAGCCTCCTTCAAGGGAATGGACATGACACCCAACAATGGAACCCGTGGACCGGGAAGTCCACTTCCCATGGCACAGAGTCCGGTCTCTTCCAATTTTGGCGGCGAACTCCAAGTTGAGACTATGCGACAAGCTCTCAGGCGTACCGGTAGTGGTGATCTCAGCGGTTTTGCTACTCAGGCAAGCACTGGTTTTGGCGGCGAAGAGACTCCGGACCGCCATCTTTGATTGCTCGTTAAGGCGCCCGGAATCCATACTGGTCTGTTGCTACCGTCTGTCCTTCCGGAACAAGACGCTCCAGGTACCCCTCGAAGGAAGAGTCACAATCACTTCGGACTGGATATACTCGGCGGTGACAACAGACAATTTATTCTTATGACTCTGACCTACTTTTGTTTTTACGACTTATTACCCCTGGAAATCTACAATGGAGCTGGACATCCTTGATTTTGATGAGACTTGGAGTTTAACTACGTCTTTCGGTCATTTTTATTATCTTTTTGTATATACCGTTTCGAACTGTAGCAAGTCGTCGTGGCTGCAACAACGCTGGCTGTATGTCTAGTATGAATGTAGCGCGCTAAATCATGGTAAGTGACCAGATAAGCAAGGTCTCGGAAGGTTGAGCATGAAGAGGTTTGTTGAAAATGTAGGGGATGTCGTAAATTCATTGCGAGGTTTTTTCCTTTCCTAGGCTTTCACCTTTTCCACTGCCTCCAACGCCTTTTGGAAAAGGCGTCGCAAGTCAGGAAGCTCCTCAAGCCCGACGCTAATTCTGACCAGGTCCGGATCAACGTCATACATTCTCACCTGGGAGCGTCGTGGGATTGTCAGCGCTCTTTGCTCAAGGTCACGGGAGATGTAGGAAACGCTGTGGCTAGGAGTGGGCCATGCTTACCCAGTCTAATTCGAGGTAGTGAGCGAGGACGACGTATGGAGAACTGGAGTTAAGGTCAATGTTAGTTCTCTGTCGGCCCACCTTGGCTGGCCTTAAGGGAGAATACTGACCTGAGGGTAAAGTTGGTGCCGAGGCTGGGTCCCTTGAAGACATCCAGGGTGTCAAAGAACGCAATAGATCGCTCGGTGGAGTGGAAGGTGACAGAGAAGAGGCCTCCATAGCCACCATTGGTAGTCCGCAGTTTGTCGTAATCAGGTCTTGTCGGGCTGTACTTCGGATAATAGACTTCCTTGACTGTGGCATTGAGATTGAAGCGGATTAGATTTTGATCACCCGATGCAGCAAATAGAAAAAAAAGCGAGGCGAACATACCCAAGGGTGATTCCTTTAACATGGCGGTGATCCCTTCGGCATTGGCATTGATCTTGTCAATTCTGCTGATAAAATCACGGCTGTTACGTTCCATGAAGACAGCATCTTCCGCCCAATAGAGATCCTCGTATTCGCGATCCAAGGTCTCCTTCAAAACGCGATAATAAGAGCTGTGTGGGTTGAGCACGGCACTGCCACCCATGACATTGCTGTCACCACTGAAGATCTTTGTCAAGCTGCTCACGACAATGTCGGCATACCGCAGGACGTTGATGTTGAGAAAGTTGCTTATTGTCTCGTCCACAACTACGGCAAAGTCATACTTGTCGGCCAACTCTCGAATCCGAACAAGGTTCGGCGTCTTTAGGAGGGGGTTGCCAGGGGCTTCAGTGAACAGTCCCAAGAATCGTTCACCATTCTTCAGCCGCTCTTCCAGATCATCTAATTCCTCTGATGAGCCATGACCATAGAACTGGCAACCAGGTCCCCATTTCTGCAGGATCTTCAAAGTATCTGTATAGGGAAATCCGAAGCAGATACTCTTGAGTGGACCGCGGGCGGCCAGGAGCGTTTGGTGCGAGTTAAAGATAGCACTCATACCAGCAGGATAGAGGTACACGTCCTGCTCCGAAATACCCGAGATTCGTCCTTCAGCCGAAGTAGCCTCAAGTGCCTCTGGCAATTCCACATCCGCAGTCAGCACACCAGCAATTCGCCTTCGCACAGCGACCTTTGCCTGCTCAGCCAAGACTATACTAAGGTTGCGGCCGAAGCGCTCCTCGATAAAATGAGCATAATCTCGGCCGTCGTCGACACCATTTGTTACTGAGGTGCTCTCGAGTGGCACGGGGGTCGAGGCAGATGAACCGCGTGATGATCCGGCGGCAGATTCCTTGCTTTGATAGCGGCGAGGACCCTTGCATGGTCGTTGCGCTTGCGTCTTCGTCGTTGTAGATTGCTTCTCCTCCACAAGAAAGCCGTCCTCCAATGCGCGATGACAGAACTCTCCTCGTCGGCTAGAAATTCCATTGCCGGAATGTTGCCAGACCTGCTTGGCGATAGGCGCAAACTCCTTCTTATGAATCACAGCCACCAGCGAAGATGTAATTGTGTTCGACCCTTTCTCAGTTTGTTGTGACGGCAAAAATCTCACAATCCGGATTGCTTTTGCTTCCTCGGCGGACACTTTCGACACGATGAACGAGTGGCAAATACGGGCGGTTTTGGGTGTGGGAAATAGGGTGGCAGTCTCCGATTCTGGATCTCCGACGCGACGAACAACCTCTTGGGCGAGCTTCTGAATGCTAGGATGTATGAAGAATCGAGGATAGCCGCATTGCATCTTGCTCACAACCCAATCCTCTCCTTCTTCATAGCCAACATTGGCTCTCCATGTTGGCAGCGACACACTGACGGCCTGGCAAAATTATCAGTATTTCCCAATGAATCTCAATGGCGACGTTTGTGCTCCAGAATATTCCGTGTCCCATATTATGCGTGATGGAGGGGTATATTGCGGGGATGACTGGGGTAAACGAACATGGTCGGTATTGGGAGGAACTGGCCCTCCTAGGGCTTGGAGCATATCGAAAATCACAATAGTAGATGGATAAGATTGAGAGATCCAAAGATTCAACGATAATGGCCAAATTTTTGTGCAAGAAAAGGGAGAATGACTCTTCGAACCCTTCTTGGAAATTGGAGAAGGCGATTGCGACTTCGGCGCCCATGAGCCATGACTCAGCGATAAGCCCGTCGGTGGCGTGACGCGGGTCATTCTCAGTCAAACTCGCCAGTTGGTGGGGCCTCATCTGACCGCCTAGAGCATTGAATGGGAATTCTGCCATGTTCGTTATCGGGTCGGCGATAGCGCCCCAGAAAAAAAAAAATTCGAGGTTATCGCAAGCTTAGCATTGATACAACAGAACCAGGGCGACCACTCGGCCCCGAATTATACTGAAGACGCGCTGCATATTTTTGCAAATTCGAAATGTCCGCACACGCAGTCAAGCGGAGAAGATTGAGTCCTCCGCTGGCAAATGACTCCTCTGCGAACCAAGCCACTCCCAGCGCAGCAACGAACAACGCGAATGCATCCAGCTCAAATACCGGTGCTGCCCCCGTGCGACGAGCTGATCATGCTTCCAAGCCCGGCTCGACGCAAAGAGCCAAGGATGAGCGCACTGCAGAGCTAGCCATGGCCAGTGGTTTCTACAAGTCCGGATTCTTCAAGCTTCAGATCGACGAGTTGGTAAGCGGATTGAGAATCAATTATGCAAAGCGCATCGGCAAAGTTCAGGATGCCCTTCAGAAGATCAAGACCGCGATTGAAGACTTGCCAGAGACAGCGCCAAAGTCAATTGCGGATGCCGAGAAGGATTTGCGCTCTACAGCCGGGATTGCGGTACCGTGGCCGGAACCGCGCCCAAGCAAGGACGTGAAATACACAGTTTCATATGCGAAGCCGTCCAACATCAACGTGGTAGGAAGCTTTGGACTCAGGACGGGGGCTAAAACCGCCGAGTCTCGCCCTGTCGATCTTGCTGTGACCATGCCCAGTTCTTCATTCCAAGAGAAGGACTACGTCAATTACCGCTATTTCCACAAAAGGGCGTACTATATCGCTTGTCTTGCCGCTGGCATTCAAGACACAGCCGATGCTCTTGGCCTCGATGTCAAGTTTCACTTCCAAGACGGAGACAGTCTTCGACCTTTGATTGTCTTGGATCCTCGTACTTCCAAAGATGAAAAGGCGTCCTCGACTCCGCAGATTCGCATCATGACTGCGTTTGACCCGAATTTCTTCCCGCTCAAGCAAACCCTGCCAATGAAGAACAACGTGAGACAGGGAACATCGGCCGACTCTACGGAGAGCGGCGAACCGACGCCGTACTATAATGCCAGTCTTCGGTCTGAAGCCACGGTGTCTCTCTATCACAAGTATCTGTACTCGGCCGCTCAGAAATGCGAAGCCTTCCGCGATGCCTGCATTCTTGGACGGACGTGGCTGCAGCAACGCGGCTTCCGCACATCCTTCCAGAAGGGTGGTTTTGGAGGCTTTGAATGGTGTGCGTTAATTTCGCTTCTCTTTGAAGGAGGTGGCCCTAGCGGCCAGCCCATTCTTTTGCGATCTTACAGCAGCTACCAGATCTTCAAGGCTACGTTGCAATTCCTTGCTGGCCGTGACTTGACCACCCCTCTGCTTCTTTTTACATCTGATATCTCTGTCCCCAGCGGTGGCCCTGTATTGTTTGACGGCCGCAGAGGACTCAACCTTCTCTACAAAATGACACCGTGGTCGTATTCAATCCTCCGTCAGGAAGCCACTGTTACTTTGAAGATGCTCAACGAGTCGCGAGAAGATAACTTCGACAAAGTCTTCATCGTCAAAGTCGACGAGCCAGCATTGAGATTCGATCGTCTGCTGACATTCCCCAAGTCCTTCAGCGGCGACACTCTTCGATCCCTCCAAGAACAGAAGACTTTGCACGACGTACTCTCTCGAGCTCTTGGAGATCGGATCAAGCTCATTTCCCTGACAAGCCGCTCAATCGATGCATGGGCCCTCAAGTCCAAGGCCCCTAACAAAAAGGCCTGCCACGACCTGACTGCGGGTCTCATGCTGAACGGCGAGAATGTCGGAAGAACGGTCGATCATGGACCAGCGGCCGAAGAAAAGGGCGAGGCGGCTTCCTTCCGTGCTTTTGGGGAGAGAAGGCGGAGCTGCGTCGATTTAAAGACGGAAGTATCGTGGAGAGTCTAGTCTGGTCGGATCAGCCCGACGAAGATTCGATTGTTCATCAAATTTTGGCGCATATCCTCCAGCGACATTTCAAGATCGATGAAGATGACTTCTTCTTGCACGGCGATGAATATGATGACATGTTATACGATGAAGGCGACGAGGTCATCGCATACTCAAGCCCTGCTTTCAAGTCCATCAATGAGGCTTTCGCCGAGTTGGAACAGTCTCTTCGAAGCATGGACGATGTTCCACTTTCTATTCGCCATGTGGCTCCTGCCAGTGCGCTGCTTCGTTACACGGCATTGCGAGTACAGAAATCTGATGGTGATAATGAAGCCGCTGATGTGGTTCTTCAATTTGAAAGTTCCTCGCGCTGGCCCGACGACTTTGCTGCCATTCAAATGACTAAGGCCGCTTTCCTCGTCAAGATCGGAGACTCACTCCGAGAAGCTGGCGCAGCATCTTCGTGTCGTGTGGGAATGGAGAATGAGTCCAGCAGTATACTGAACACGTTCTACTTGGACATTGCCCATACTTCCGGGTTCACTTTCCGTCTTCGAATCCATCACGATCGGGAGCAAACTCTTCTAGAACGCCAGCTCAAGAACAAAATGATCAGTCCCCGTGAACGTGAGGAGGCTGCATTTGCACTCTCTTCGTACAAAAAGACCTTCGTGCAACAACCTCGCTTAACACAATCGCTTCGAAGCCTCTGCACTCGCCTACCACTACTGTCGCCCACCGTTCGCTTGGTCAAATACTGGTTTACCTCGCATCTTTTCTCGGCCCAGATCAGCGAGGAATTGATTGAGCTATTGACCACGCGCGTCTTCACTCAACCATACCCATGGGAAACTCCCTCCAGTATCATGACCGGATTCCTACGAACCATCTATTTCATCTCCCGCTGGGACTGGCAACAGGAACCTTTCATCGTCGATCTCAGCGGCGACCTCAACGCCGAAGTGACAGAGACCATCAAAACCCGTTTCGCCGCCTGGCGTAACATCGACCCAGGAATGAATACCATCGCTCTCTTCGTCGCGTCAGACCTCGACACCGAAGGCGTCACATGGACACAGTACGAAATGCCCACCAAGGTCGTCGCCGGCCGGATGACAGCCCTCGCCAAGGCAGCAGTCAACCTCCTACGCAAGGAACATGACGAACTAGACGTCGCTGAACTTTTCCGCACGTCTCTCGCACCGTACGATTTCGTCGCATATCTCCGCCCCAAGCTTCTCGAAGACGGGACCAATTCCTCGTCCAAATACAAGAACCTCGCCGAGGTCAATGCCCATGGTCGCACGGAGAAACTCGCAATTATCAAGTCATTCGTGAAGGATGTCCAAGCTTGTTATCACCAGAGCCTGCTCCTATTCCACGGCGACGAACGCTCGGGGGTCGTGGCGGGACTCTGGAATCCCCAGATGCTGAAACCTAAATCTTGGAACCTGAAAATGGCTTACTCGACTGCTCCTGCTTCTGCGTCTGAGTCTGGGGATAAGGCGGACAGCGTCGTCATCAATCGACCTGCCATTCTGAATGAAATATCCAGACTGGGCGAGGGACTCATTGAGAAGATTGAGGTCTCGGGGAGCAAGCTCTGAATGAGATTGGAGATGGAACGAGGACACTGAACGGACCAAACAGTGGGAGTAGAATGAATGAATACGGTGATTTGTCTCTCAAAGATTGAATTTTTTTTTCTCTCATCCTATTGACGAAATGTACATTACCTACTAGCGCCGCTGCAATGCAAATTGCTTCGAATACTCAATACTCTCACATAAACACAATTCAAGCACGCAATCGACGAGAAACTCCAAGAAACAAGAGGATCAAGGAAGAAAAACAAAACTTGTATATCAAATGGAAAAAGCGCGAATAAAGAAGACCGGCGCCCAGCATGAGCACATCAAATGCCTGAGATTACCGTTACTTTTCATTGTTCATGAACTGCCTCGATCCGACTTGCCCGTTGGAACCTGGGAAGAAAAAGAGCAGTATTTGTCCTTGATCGCGACGACCTCATAGGTGCCCTCATCCGAGGTCTTGATGGCCTTCTTGTGCTCGTAGGAGATATCATGCTTGATGTCGAGGACCTCGGCCTTTCTGCCCTTGCGGGCGTTGGTGCTTCGAATGTAGCTAAAAGGAAGTATAGGGTAAGTAAGAGAACTCCACAGAGCTGATCGAGTAAATAGCAATCCGGGAAGAAAAAGAGAACTAGGGCACTTACGTGAACTCGAATGGTGGCGTGCCCCAGAACTCAAAGTTGAGCTCGGCTTCTCCGCCCTCGTGAATGTCGACCACAGAAACTTGTCCCTGACTGATGCGCACACTTGGCATCTCGTGAATGACCTTGGTGATATCCTTGTGAGCCTTACACTTCCCGCTGGCAGAGTCCCCGACAGCGGTAATAGTGAACTCGCCAGGCCGCTCGGCGATTCGGCGGAAATTCGTGTTCGGCGACGAGGCCTTTCGTTGAACGCCATTGAAGGTATAATATACTTCGAAGGGAGCGTGGCCAGAGAGAGAGAATGACAGGCGCTCGCCGACACAGTAGTCTACCTTGGACTCAAGAGGAATGATTGTAGGAACATCCGATACAGCAACACGGACCGATGAGGCGTCAAACTCGGTGGTCCTTTGACATCCGCGGGAATCACGGACCTTGTGAATGCTGACGACATGCTGGCCCAAATCCAGGTGTCGACGAGGGAGGGCCAGTTTGTGGTGGTTAGTATTGATGTTAGGGATGGTGACAATCTCCGGCTTCGCATTGGACTGGTGCTTGATAACTATCTCCAAGGAGAAGGGAGGAACGCCCTCCAGCGTGATGGGCACAGTCTCCTCGCCGGTCGCGTCCTCCTTGCAGAAACCATAGATGTGTCCGGGAGAATCAAACTTCGCAGAGGGCAACGAGTTGACCTTTTGGGTAACCACAAGACCACTGCTTCGGGGATCGTAGTCGTAGAGATTGTCGCCCACTTCAGAGAATTTGTAGGTGTATTGACCTGGCTCAGAAGTATCCATCTCCATGGATGCCGAATTGAGAGCGGTTTTGATCGTCTTGGCGCGTGCAGATGCCTGTCCACGGTCAGACTTGCGGCGTTGCTCGTATTGGAGACTAAAAGGAGGGCTGCCAGACAAGCGAAGCTCAAGACTGTCATCATCGCCTTGGCAGACCTCAGGCTTCGTGTATTCGCCATTCACCACGGGCGAGCCATCGATGCTAATAATCTTGGGCCGTGGAATCCAAGAGACCTCAAACTCCTTGGCAGACTGATCCACAAAGCCAGAGCAGGAATTATCGTAGATTTCAAGAAGCTCATAAAGGCCCTCACGATCAACAACGAGATTGCTGTTCTCGTTCCAGAAGGTCTTGGTCAAAGGCGAAGGGTTCAGATCCGCATTCTTGTACTTCACGGTCCAGGGCTTCTCGCCGCTGAATCGTAGAGGAATCTCGATTCGAGATCCGGCCAAGGCAGAAACGGTTCGCTTCTTGTCAATCTGACCGAAACCGACATGGGGAGGCTTGGAACGAGCATTGATCTTGATGCTGTCCTTCAGGTTACGCTTGCAATTGGAGACGTCCTTGACACTGGTCAATGCGAGTCGATACTCGCCTCCGCTCACAAGCTTGTCGGTGGTGATGGTTGCGACATCTGTCTCTGATTCCAAAGTGTACTTGGTCCGCTTGCCGTTATGAACAAGCTCGTACTGGAGCGTCCAGGGCGCCTCGCCCAGGAAAGCCAAGTCCACGGAGACTGATTCACCGAAGCAAGCCTTGCGCACGTCCCGGGATCCAAGGAAGTGAGCAGACGCAGGTGGTTTGACATCTTGCTCGAGCACGGGCACCTTGTCGTTGAGGGAGCGAGGCGAGTAAATGGAGTCTTCAACGTCCAGAAAGCGGTACCGATAGAAACCAGCCTCTGAAGGCGTGAAGTCAAGTTGAGAACGTAGACCGTCAACAGTCTTGGTTTGTGTTTGCACACCCTTCGGACCCTCGATGCTGTATCTGACCCGGAACGGCGGTGATCCTGTCAAATCCAAGTCGACCAGGAGACCGACTGCATTATTGGCACATCGATCAAATACCTTTTCAGTCTTGATGGACAGCTCTGGTTCTGGTGGATTGCGGAGGTTGCATGAGGATGGCTCCATGACCTCTCCCGGGCAGTATTGGCTTGAAACGGAAGTCAAGGTATACCAGCCAGGTTCCTTGATGGGCGTTTTCTGATCGAGAGTCCTGAGAGCCACAGTGGTAGTCTCTTCCGCATCCGTTCCCTTTTGCTCAGCGCCATTGGGATTAAACGAATAGGTCACAGTGAAGGGACCGTCACGGTCGTACGGCTTCCCAGTGTTTTGGAAACTGATAGGCAAGTTGGCGCTGTCTCCACGGGCAACTTCAAGAGGACGTTGTTCGTTGCAACCGATCAGCGAAACCTTAGGACGCTCGTGGATCACCAACTGATGCCACTGAGAGGCCGATTTGGTAGATGGGCGTTCTCCGTACTCAAAGATCGAGGTATAGTTGGCGACATTGCCCAGCGCGTCATGGACTTCCTCAATGGCGTAGAACCAGTCTCCATGAACGTTCAGAGATTCATTCAAGGGCACGTTGATTTTCTGACTCTGTGCCCACGAGATGTCCGGCTGGTTGATGCTGAATAGCGCGCCCGTTTGCTTTTGATTCAGCAACGGGGTGCGTAGATTGTCCGGCTGCACGTTCTGCACCGAGACGCCACGATCCTGGAAATTCACCTCTCGACTGTACTTGATCTTCAAGGGAGGCGTGCCTTCAACCTCGAGAAGGATATTCGACAGCTCTCCGCGACATTTGTCCGTGTATGAGTTCTTGATCAACGCCCGAGGGCAGCTGACCACCAGGGCATCCAAAGTCCGCGTGCGAACATCCAATTGCGACTCATCCACTACCCGCTGAAGGCGATAAATTCCTGTCTTGCGCACGGGGAAGTGCAGATCACGATGGGGACTGGAGTCCGAGGGAGCCTGTCTCTTGTCTGCCTGACGCTTAAGCTGTTTGAGTTGTTTGGCCGGGATGGTCAAAGTCTCGTTTTCGCCCGTGTGCAGATCGAGACGTAACACTTCAATCAGGATGGGATCAGTCTGGTTGACACGGATAGGGAGATAAACAGTCGTCTTTTGCGAGTCCAAGCACAAAGGCTCTCGTTCTGGGTTGAGCACAGCGGACCTAGGGACGTGAGCTATGTTTTAGCGTATGATCCATCTCAGACTGGAGCGGCGGACTAACCCTTCGGGTAAGATGTGAACAATTTGCTTTCCAAGAATCAAGGATGCATTGTGAATGATGTCTCCAGGCTTAACCTTTCTCTCTGAGATAGACAATTCGCGATCGTAAGCTACCTTGACCATTCCCGCGAGCCACGCACCCAACGGAATCTGCTTTGACGTCAGCGAGGAAACTTCTCCAAGTAAACAGACTGACCGGTCAATGTGGAACCTATCTGCATCAAGAAGCACACTTACAGGGATGCGGAACATGAGGAAAATGTTGCCAACGACATGCAGCAAGAACAGAGCAAGCGTCGTCGGGAACGCCCACTCCAGCCATGGAATGCGCAGAGCTTGCAACCCAAACAAAAACACCCCGTCGATAGTCACCCATTTCAGGAACAACCAGGTCGAGTCCAGCTCATCGGAGGCATTCCATGATTCGTATATCCGATACGCGTTGAGGGCCAGGTAGAAGGCTACCACGTAGAGGCGTTGCGAGGGCGCATCGATTACGACGGTAGGGATCAGCGGCGCGTTTGTGTTGGATGGAGGTGGCCGCGGCGGCTGCGCTACCTTGGCGGGAGATCTGCTGGCCGATTTGGGTTGCCGTATCTCACGGGGCTCGCGAGGCTGTGATCGTGATGGCGTCTGAAACAATCTCTTTCGCGGGATTGTCGTGGGCGTCTGGGGGAAAGCAGACGGGAGGAGGGGAGTGCCGTTCATGGCATGCTGTTGTCGTTGGAAGCTCCGCAAGAAACAATGTTATCGTATCCACAGGGATGGTGGAGGGCGAGTTTCCAGTGATGCAGTCGAGCAGTAGATCTGAAGTCTGGTTCTGCGACTCACTTGCAGCTTCTGAGCGTCAATGGGAGGTGGGATAGAAAACGTCACCGCGGGTAGATTGTGGATGCGATGAAGAAGAAAAGTTGGAGGCGGCCAAAAGACGCGGGAAGCGCGTTGAAGCTCGGCCCACCGCCGAACATGCCGCTATACATTCTAAGCTACTTCCTGGTACAGGCGCCTCTCCAATTTCTTTGTGTTAGCTGCTTCTTGACTTTGTGACGGTCTTCCTCGAGGCTGCATAGCTGCAGTGTTTTGATTTAATCTCGGAGGACATGTCAGAAGCTACAGCTTGCTGACATTGAATAAAAAAGTCCATTGAGACGATCACCTAAACCTTTGCCTACAGTTTATGCGCTCCATTTTGCGTTCATACTTTGCGCTCAGTGAGCAGAGAAGCGCTAAAGAGACCTTGCGCTCGATTATGCCGCGCTTGCTTTTAGTAAATCGTCACCGGGCTACAAGTTGAGCTTCCGCTTGACGACTCTTTCATCTCTGTTTACACAGACATTATGGCTCCACGCACGAAGCGACAGCGTTTGACCGACCTGTCGGATGATCCCAGCGACTCGGAAATCTACAAGCCCGTCACTCCCGTAGAACGGGAGACATGGAACGGATTTTGCGAAATAGAATCGGAGCCGGTAAGCTGCAAAGAGCATCAGGAAATGGAAGCTAAAGACTGACTCGTCCGATGTTAGGCTTTGTTCAATGTGATGCTGCGGGAGTTTGGCGTTCAGGGTGTAAAAGTTCAGGAGGTCATCTCTTTGGACGAGGAAATGATGGCATTTCTCAAGTACGTGGCTGCACAAACGAGGCTTCGTTGTCTTTTGGATATACTTTTGAGATATGGACCTGTCTGCTAAACTCCGCGACCTGCCAGTAAGCCAATCTACGGATTGATCTTCCTTTTTCGCTGGCGAGAGGACGACGCCCACAAACAAGAGGCGAGCTGTCCCGACGGAATTTGGTTCGCTAACCAGGTACGAACTGGACATTTTCAATGCTGCTTATTTGAACGTGTATGCATTGCTGACATGAGCTTCTCCCCCACGACTAGACTGCCAGCAATGCCTGCGCCAGTGTGGCCTTGTTGAACATTGTCAACAACATCCCTGACATTGACCTTGGGGAGCACCTGCGTCATTTCAAAGCTTTCACAATGCCGTTTACACCAGCGCTGCGAGGGGATGCAATCAACAACTTTGAGTTCGTGAAACGAGTTCACAACTCATTTGCCCGGTGAGCATGCTCAAGTCTACGTGTTTATGCCTGCTACCTCCCAGAGAGATCACTGACCGTGTCTCGTGTTGGAAATTACAGAAAAATGGACATACTCAACTCTGATCTCCAACTTCAAGTAGAATCAAGGAGTCGCAAAAAGGCCTCGTCTAACCAAGACGGTGATGATGATGACTCGTCTTTTCATTTCATTGCTTTTATGCCCGCTCTGGGTCAGGTATGGAAATTTGATGGCTTGGAACGACAGCCTGAGTCAATCGGTAAGTATCATTGGCGCGGGCGAGTCCCGTTCCATCGCTCAGTATTGTGCCCGGGATGAGTTCAATCTGATTTCATTCTTTAGGTCAATGTTCTGAAGATGACTGGCTCGATGTAGTGCGGCCAAACTTGCTGGATCGCATGGCGGCCTACGAGGAGGACCAGATCGAATTCTCCATCTTGGGTTTGGTTCGCGATCCCTTACACGACCTTATTCACGAACTTGCGATGAATGTGAAGGGTTTGGAGATCATCCATGCACGTGTCCCACCTGAGAGCACAGGCACCGCTGCCTCCCCCTTCCTTGAAGGCACCATTCTGGGTCCGGAGCCGTCTCTGGGGTTGACACGAACTGTCCTTGATGCCATAACTGTGCCGGAGAAGACCCGCGCTGAGTATCAGGGTTGTGCTAAGAATCAACTCGATGCAAAGCGGCGGGCTCTGTGTGAGGCACAGAGAGAACTGCGCTCCCGCGTGCGGGAAGAGCAACAGTCACAGCGGGCAGATGACGACTACGCAACCGGACGACGATTCGACTATGGGCCGGCAGTGCGGGCCTGGCTACAATTTCTGGCGCGCAAACAGGCACTGCCAGACTTACTTGAATGAGGTTGTCCGGACTCTGCTCGTGGGATGATTGATTGGTTCACCGAGGTCCTCTGCTGGAGGAGGGGCTTGGGATTTCTGGAGACATGGAGGGACAATACAAATATAGAACGCACGCGCGGGGAGCAAAAGCCATGACCTTCGGGCAGCTGATCGAAGCAGGAATACGAGTAAATGACTTTAGCACATGCTACCCAAATCCTCTGCTATAACCACGGTCCTCGAATTCCTTTCCCAAGGCGATTGTAAACTGCTGAGCAGTCAAGTATCACGCGGAATACAAATGGCGCATCACGACCATTGACATTCTATAAAAGCTGCATGCTAGTAGCTGCATGCTTGTAAGGATCTCAAAGACCGATGTGAGGGCTAGGCACTCGGTTCGAAAAGCGTGGCAGAGTTTTGACCAACTGCCGAAGTCGATACAGCATCCCTAGGTATGACTATGTACTGGATTATACAGTAGTACACTGACCTCCAAACATCTGCTTGTGCACAACTCACCCATCTTCAAGTTAGTAGGTCATGCTATAGATGCACGTCATCAACTAAGTGGACGTCTGTTGACACTTGAGCACTGAGAAGATGCCAATCACAAGCCAAGAACAGTCACTAAGGGGGGTTACGGCGCACTCATTGGATGACAGGACCATAGCCACGTGATTGACCCGACATTCTACATTGCTGGGTCCGCCCCGTAGTCATCGCCAACTTATCGGCATGTTGATGTGCAACTGTACAACTTGTTGACTTTATGCTGCTACTACTACAGCCGTTCGCCAAGAGAGAAGCTTTTAATAGACAGCCATGATTTGTAGCTATGAATATAGGAGTCTTAGGATGGCAATTACGCTTAATCTGGGTGACCATCATGTGTTTTGACTTACGGTCAGTTCAGACTTCCGTCTACAAGACAATTACTTACTCACTAGTAGATAGTGATACTAGTACTGAATCACTGATGCACGTCATTGATTCACCGTTCTCATCAAAAGTACTGTACTAGCACTGTCATCTGACAGTATCCGTCATGTACAGCTGACCTAGGAACCATGACAATTCATGCCAGGCAAGACCAAGTACAAGACCACCTGACCTGGTACATTCATCAAAATACATGTTGTTGTCAGGATACTTGTCCGTACTCTGTAGTGAACCCCTTTCTTATCGGTTTTCGCCAAGCTCGGTATTTCATAGTCGGCTAGTTCACTATCTAATTAGCTAAGAAGGTCACTAATATACTCTTAATCTACCTTGACTTGACCAGATTTCGAGAGAAAATGCACCTCAAAGGAGCCCTTGACTGGAATTCAACCCAACTGTAAGATATCTCATCGACAGTAGTCATCAAACTTCACCCACACTACAATTATAAGGACTCTGGCGCAACTACAAAAGTGAAGGCCATCTTGACAGAAATCCAGTACTCTCCACTTGCAGAGCGCCCTCAACCACATCAGGAGTCCAGACCTCGACTCGGCCGGTTGGTACTCTGCAACCTACATTGCTGATTGCTACATGATCTAACTCCTGTACAGTGTACGTCTAGTAATTCCAATTACCACAAGGCCTTCTTTAGTTGTTGAAGTACTAAAGGCATTCCATTTGAGTTTCAGACTGTAGCCAAGCCACTATCACCTCCATCTAATCGATGGCGCTGGAGAGATAAGAGGTTAGAGTTTGGAAACTTTGTATTACCCGATGTATAATTGTAAAGAAAGACCATATCATGTACAAGTTGTACAATGTATGAATGTACATACATCAGGAACAGGTAAAGGTCGACTGATCTCAGTCCATGCATATTCCATTGGTATTAAATAATATTATAAACTGATACCAAAACAGTTGTACGATCCAGGTGCTTTGTATGTCATCGAAAATTCTACATTTGTATGATCTGATCAATTCTGAGCTTCCCACGTCACTGCTCCGTCTCACCTCCTCATTCAGTACCAATCAGTACCACGTTGGTACATGGAAGACCGCGGGCCATGAGCTCTTCAACGGTGTTATTGAATGTGTCTTTACTGTACTTTACATCTCCACCTTTGCTTCTCCAACAAAAACCCTTAACTTTCTTAGTTTTGGTAAGGCTTTTTCTTGGCCCCGTCTTTATTCCCGCCCCGCTCGAGATTATTATTGTTTCTGAAGTCATTTGCCCTTTCCCCCCTCCTCTGCCTTTCCCCTGGTTTCTTGTCCTCCTGAATCAGATCGCAGAAGACATCTCCAAGGCCCTCTCCAGTCTGCAGTTTCCTTGCTTTCGGCATCTTTGCTCTTTTCCCATATCAAACCAAAGGGTGTGTTTGTACAGTTCTGGTGCCGGCGGCTCTCTCTTCCTGCCTCCGTCGCCCCTTCTAATTCGCCACTCCCGAGTCCCCCCCCCCCCCCCACCCATCCATATCGCCCTCGGAGTACAAAAAGACAGCCTGGTTTCACCGATCCTCCGCTCACCGTGATTGTTGTCTTTGAACTTCTTTGCTTGGGTTCTGGGCTGTTTCAAAACCATGTCAGCCACCGCCGTTCCGGAGAAAACTCCAGATGACTCGTCCAAGTTGAAGACGTTTCTGTCCATTCTGCGAAAGTAGGCCGATCTCCGATCTCCGACCTCCCTCTCTCTCCGCCCGCCAATGTAGTTGTCGGCCTCTCCGCGCCTCCGGAGTCAATGCGATTCAGGGCGCAAGGAGCAGAGAACTTGGAGATCACCAGACAGATAAACAGAACCGGCAGGCTAACATCTCCTAGATTCGTCGGTGTGGCAGATATCGCATCGGTTCGCTTCTCGTTGCCCGCTCAACTGCTCGAGCCCCGACCGAATCTGGGTACGTGGCATCTGTTCAAGACCCCGATCAACAGAGCATGGCTCAGTAAATGGTTATACAACCTGAGATCCCCGAAGCAAGCTAACAGACTCCGTCGTGCAGAATACTGGAACTACCTGGACCGACCAGAGACGTTTGCCAGGTCAGCAGCTGAGCGCACGACTCCCACGATGACGACATATGTACTGACGCGCACTTGATCAGTATCGGCAAATCCGACGATGAGCTGGGACGTATGTTGGAAGTTTTGAGGTTTTGGTTCACCAAGGATCTGGTAATTCTTTGCCGCGCGAAAGACTGTCCAACACAAAAAGAGCGGGATTCGCTGATTGTTGATCCAGAAATACGTCAAGGGAAAGCCGTGCAAGCCGTACAACTCGACTCTGGGCGAATTCTTCCGAGTATGTTCCACCCCTCCATCAGCAAGAAGTCCTCATCTGTCCGCGCCGAGCCACCATTGCAAACCGCGCTGGCCGATCGCTTGAATCATCTGCTAATCAAAGGGTCGCTCTCTCTCTCCTTTGCGTGTTTATAGTGCCACTGGGAAGTCAAAGACTACGTTCCCGAAGAAGTCAATCTCCCCGGAGTACCCGCCACTGCCAACGGCACAACTGTTCAGGACGGAAATGAGAATGTGAAGATCTGCTACCTGACCGAACAGACCTCACACCATCCACCTGTTTCTGCCTTCTACATCGACTGTCCCGAGCGCGGAGTCTCCGCACGTGGGTTTGATCAGATCAGCGCCAAATTCACCGGTACCAGCATCCGTGTCAGCCCCGGACAACACAATTTGGGTATCTTTCTCAACATCGAAAAGCGAGATAACGAGGAATACCAATTGACTCACCCGGACGTACATCTCGGTGGCCTGCTGCGCGGAGCCCTCGCCATTACCGTCTCGGACACATGTTACGTGACGTGTCGCAAGACCCGTATCAAAGCCATCCTGCAATACCTGGAGGAAGGCTGGATCGGCAAAGCCCAGCACAAGCTCGAAGGTGTCATTTTCCGGTACGATCCCGACAACGATAACATCACGCGGTTGAAGGATGTGCCTGAACGGGATGTCCTTGCCCGAGTCAGCGGGTCCTGGCACGGCAAGGTCCACTACACTCCAGCAGGATCCAAGGAGCCCCGACTTTTGATTGATGTGACGCCCCTCCACCCGGTCGAGAAGGCTGTCCCTCCACAGGAGCAACAGCTGCCCAACGAGTCCCTCAAGTTCTGGGGCCAAGTCACCAATGCCATTGTCGACAAGCAATTCACAGAAGCTACCCGACTAAAGCAGGAGATTGAAGAGCGACAGCGCCAGAAAGCCGCTGAACGCAAGGAAAAGAACGAAGAGTGGAAGCCACGCTTCTTTGTTGGTGCCACCAGTCCCTTGGGCAAGCCCGAATTAACCCAGGAGGGCGAGAAGGCTCTCCAGGGCATTCGCTCAGGAGATTACAGGCTGGAAGAAAACAAACTGCTGGGCGCATAGATTCATGTCTTTTCGTTTTTTTTTTTTTTTTTTTTTTGACGGAGAGCCAGGCAGGGTCGAGTTTTGCCTTGTGGATAGATGATTCCATGGGTCTCTCACTAGATACGAAGTTTTCACCAGCATTGGCCGCCCTCCTCCAGGACGATTTCTCCTGATTTCCCATTATTCTGCTCTTGATCTCCTCCCCTTTGCCTGGAATTACTCCCGTCCAGACTACATCCACCCGATTCCGATTGATCTTTTCACCACGTCAGGCGTATCCGGCATACGACCCCCATCTCTCTTGTCCACCTTCTCCTCCCTTTTCTCATCCAGACCACACGGATCCAGGCGTCTTGGGTGTTTCTTGAGAATTTTTTTTTCAATCACTTCTGCTGTTTGTTGTCTGCCATTTCTACCATGGAGACAGTTCCGGCGTTTAGGTACGATTGGAGTTTTTGACCTTGATTGTATGTCTCTGCCTCAGTTTGTCTGTGTCTGTGTCCGTGTCCGTGTCTGTGATTGTGTAATTGTGTGATTGTGTGTACGTCAGTCTTTTCCTCTTTCCAATTATCTAGACTACATACTGTAAGGGGATATTCATTTTATGTTACTTCATCCATGTCCTTCTAAATTGATCCCTCCTTTCTTTCTGTACGACTTCTCAGACACACGATCTCACATGTCAAGCACGCCGTATCGGAAACAAACACTTGTATAAATTCAACATTATTTATAGTCAAGGCTAATAGCCTAAAACCTAATTGAGATTTCAATACGACAAGCTATAAACCTCATGGCGACAGGCGATCAGGCGATCGCGATCAGACGATCACTCCAAGGGGAATGGAAGGATATGTATAACATTCAAGATCAATATTCACAGAATACTATGGCCGATAACAATAAGTCCTTGACTCGGCTTGAAGGGGGTAAAAAGGTTCATAATTGCCGGCCTGTTGTCCCATACATGCGCCACAACCACAATCCCAGTTGAACAGACCCAACACCGCTCCCCTCTCCTCCATCATCCCACACTCTTCGCGCGTTGACCAAAGTGCGCAAGGAGGGGGGGGGACAAAAGACACAAAACAAATATGCTATGAAAAGGTACGAATCAAATTATCACACAGAGGCATGCGCAGGAAAGGAAGTGAAAAAAAAAAAAAAAGAAAATATCAAAGAAGAAACCAGCCAGAGTGGACTTCATCGGCTTTCCGTGGTCACTCGGCAAATTAGAGACTCTGCTGACAGGAACACAGCAGCGGACTTTACGCCGACGCGCTGACCCGTGCAGTGCTGGCCGGTGTACTCGAAGGTGCAGGGGCACTGGCAGCAGGATTTGAGCTCGTGGTCACCTTGTTGAAACCAGCGGCGACGATCTTTGCAATTTCTTCGTTCTTATGCGGCAGCAAAGAGAGGGCATAGGCGACGTCATTCCATTGGCGTTCGGTCTCGCATCGTGGGAGACGAGCGGCGAGTTTCTCGGAAAGTTGACGAGCGTGTTTTTCCTGTAAAAAAGAAAAGTGAAGAGCGCAACATGTCAGCAAACACTTTGACAAGAACGGTGGATACAATCGGGGACAGCAAAACAACGTATATGGCAAACCCTACCTTTTCAACAAAACCAATGAGGAATTTGACGATCCGTCGCAACGAAGCCTCTTCCAGATTGCGCTCCGCACTGAGCAGACTGAACATGTCCACAAAGTGATTATAGACAGCGTTGTCCTTGGTGGCCAACTCGGTGAAGAACATTCGTGCCAGATCGGCAATCTTTTTGTCCTCATCCTCCAGGCACTTGGCCATTTCACCAAGCTGACCCTTGACTTTGACTTGACCGGCAAGAATAAGGAAAGTCAACGTCATCAGACAGGTCCGCTTGACGGAAGCATCATCATCGTTCAGACGTCGATAGAGGAAGTCAGTATTCTCGTCAATCAGATGATTGAAGCAGACGGCCATATCGCCGAGAGCAATGACAGCGTTGCTGCGGACGATTGGGTCTTCGGAGCGCTCCATGATCGTGATCAGAAGCGGCAGGTTCTTCTCACAGTATTCGGCAGACACACACATGAGCTTTGCCATGCAAAGAGTCGCAGACGCCTGGAGGTCTCGATCGGAATACGCAATGTTGTTGGCGCAAATTTCAGCTACCAAGGGACCGAACTTGGCCAGCAAGGAGTTCTCCCCATAAAGAAGCTCCCTCTCTCGAATGTGAGCCATAGCATCCTGGAAATCATCTTCGGTGGTGCCGCCAATGAGATCCAGCTCATCTGCCTCAGCATCACCCTCTTTGGCTGCAGTAGCCTCGGCGGTCTTGGCCTTTTCTTGCTCAGCCTTTCGTCGTTTGAAGTCCAACTCACATAACTCAAGGTGCACAATCTGCTTAATCGCAATATGGCCCACCACATACAAGAGTTGCGACAGCGCCGCCGACGAAGGCTTCAGTTTGGAGGCCGGTTCCTCGCTTGAGTCGGTGGTTCCGTGCCTTTGGTCCTCGCCATCGATGGCTGACCGAGGGGAAGACGACCTTTCCGCCTGAGGTTGGAAAACAAATCTCGTTTTGCGTCGGAGAATATCCGAGCACAGAACATCCGGGTGTTTGGACAAAGCGTAGATGGCGCTGATTGCTTGTTCAGCCACGCCGTACCATTCCTTGCTTTCAGAGACAATCTCCAGGATTGCCGCCAGCTTTACCAATACGGCGTGGTCATTAGCAAGCTTGGGCACGCTGACCACATCCTTGGCCTTGGCCTGGCGTCCAGGTACCATTCGTCGAAGAGCAATACATGTGTACTTGGCGAGCACAAGATCCGATCGGCCCAAAGCACCAAGACCAATGCGCAACATCGCCTCGATTTCCTTCACAACAACCTCAGGATCTGCCAAGGCCAGCATGCCAAGCACAATGATTGAGCCTCGACGTTGAGTCTTGGAGATTTCTTTTCTTGTGACACTGTACACTTGCCAGAGCTTTGCAATGACCGCCTCGGAAATATGGCCAGCTTTCATCATGGTGCTCAAAAGTTGTTCGAGACATGTCAGCTCAGCTGGGGTCGCGCCAAACGTCAAACTGATCATATTGCGAGCAATGTAATTGGCCGCATCGTTCGGGCTAAAAGTGTCTGGCGCGTCGAAGAACAGGCCCTTGTAACAATCAATGAGGTGGGTTTGAACACCCTTGCCTTCGTCGCTATTGCCTTTGGTCCAGATCAGGCGCAGCATACGGCGAATGCCACTGCGAGCCGTCTCAACCTTGTAAGCGTCGAGCATGACGAAAAAGTCCATGGCCTCGATGACTTCACTCTTGTTCCTTGACGACAATAGTTGAGAAACAATCGTGGATGCAGTGTGAAGGACTTCAATGAAACGAATGGCTTCATTGTAGTACTTTCGTGTCAGTTGCAGCCGCGTCAATAATTCAGACGTCGCAGCTTGTTCGGCTGCCTTGCGCATGGCCTCCGCCTTCTGGTCTTCCGACATGCGCGGTGCCTTAGAAGGGGACTCATCTACCAACTGGGTCGCATCGTCCAGAAGCTCGGGATCGACTTGAGTAGCTTCCCCGTCGAATCCAGGAGTTTCCACCGGCCGTAAGGAGTTCAACTCCTCGTCAACACCATCCAACCTGTCGGACCATTCCTTGTGAGAAAGCAGTCCGCCGTGCATGACGCTGAAGGGATGAGTCGCGACCAGCTTCGAAAGCAACTTAATTGCATTTCGACGGACGTTGCTACTCTTGTCTTCCAGACTTCTCGCAGCCAGCTGGGCAGCAGCTTGTCGTCGTTTCGGGAACTTTTGCTCCAAATCACAAATTCGCATGAGAACTTGAATCGCTCGGCTGCGGCAGTATGGATTGATATCAAGGAAGCGCTCTTCTAGCACGTCGAAGAACGCGTTGATTTGGGTCTTGGAGTTTTCGCTAGGTTCTTCTTGTCGGCTCAGGTCAGAAATGAGATTCCCACAAACCTCGATAACGGCGCATCGCAGTGTGTAAGCCTTTCAAACCGTTAGTTCATATACATACGGGATAATCTTTCTATCCGTTTGTGCCCTACCTCACTGTCCAGCTGTTTAGCTAGGAGAGTCATTTGCTTGATGATCAATCGCGGAGCAAGCTCAGACAGCTTGATAATGAAAGCGGAGACCGACTTGGGCCCTCGCGTGTCGTTTGAGTTAAATTCCTTGTTTCCAAGCTCCCTAAGCAAGTGTAAGCCACTCTGACCGCCTCTGAGAGCAACAATATTCGAGTGGCATACTTCAAGATTTCGTCTGAGAGTTGCGGGTAGTCGTACTGTTCCGCAAGAATGTGAAGGAACTCGGCCATGGGTTCGGAGAGATGTTCGAAATAGGTGAGACTTTGTACGATGGAGGTTTGCGCACCTAGTTGGAATGTCAGAAAAATGTACCCGAAGATCCAGAATCCTTAGTGCCACACACCGAATGCATGGCCGTGGTGCTTGACCGCGATGCACAGGACCTTGAAAGCATGCATGCGGATAGCCATGCTCTTAACTCGTTGTTCACTTTCCAAAACTAAGTAGATTGTACGGGTGAACAAGTTGATGAATGTGTCGCGATCTGAGGTTGTTAGGAAAATGCGACCCAGCTTGAGCTTCATCACCTTGCACATGGTCTCCATGGAGATCTGGAGTTGCGGAACCCAGTCCCACTGCCCATCTTTTGCTGATTTAGATCGCGACTTTGGACCTCCTCGTCGTACTGGTGCAGACTCGGCAGGTTTCTCTGCGGCCTTTACCTCCACGGCGGACAGAGCCCACTGCAACAGAAACCCATACATCTCCAGAAGCTGCTTGTGATGTTGAATCGCATCTTGCTCATCTGATTCAAGGTCGCTGTGGATTATTTCGGCCTCCACCGACAGGCCGGAGACAATCAAGTCCAGGACTTTGCTGAGAGATTTTGCGGGGAGAAAGCTTGGATATCTGCAGTAGTTCAAACGTTCAGAATTGGGTCCAGGCGAGGGGCGACCTCTACAGGAAATTTGGGAAGGAACAGGAGCGCACTTGAGTAGGAACTGGAGTGAGTCGAAGAATGCCGGTCTCGTTAATCCTTCCGGGTTCTCTGCGACAGCATCGACAATTGGATTCAGAACACTGTCCACCAGCGCTGTTGACAACTGGTTGGGGTCGGACTCGCAGTCCAAAAGATCCGCATCTGCATCTGGAGTTGGAATAGATGCCGGGTCACTCAAGTAGTACTTGAGCGACTCGTTAATGTCAAATTGTATTCTGTCCTCCATGGTGGGCCGTGTGTTGTGAACGAGATGGAATTGAGGAGGGGAAATCAGCGGGTGTTGATAAGCGGGTGTTTGGCTTTTGCCCTTTTCGGTCGCTTTTCTTTCAATGTTACGGCGCATTACATGACTGCACAGGCCCCAAGCTGCTCACCGCCCGAACTCACCGCCCGCTAGTACCGTCATTTGCGCGTTTTTTTGAGGAGCTGGGTCGTGCCGATGTTTGCGGCGATGCTTTCGGAGAAAAACATCGGAGGTGCTCGCGCTGCCCGCTCAATTCCATATCCACTCAACACTTTCCAAGCCTCGTGTTCTGGAATTTCTCTCGGATCACAACGACCAAAGGACCCAATTATTCCAAGGATAATTTTCACGCCATACTTCTCGAACAATATCGCGAATCTATCCAAAGCCTGCCATACAGCGCCATGACCACTCTCCGCGGGGCCCCCGCTGGAGTCTTTGAGCTGAAGCGTAGTAGTTCCGGACAAGAATACCACGCGAACGAAGATCGATACACCCTCGGAAAGGACGATCCAAGAACGAACGATGACACATCACTAGTGGAAAGCGAGCTTGACGAAGATGATGGGCAAGAGGACGAGGAGGAGGAAGAGGTCGACGAGACCGTGCGGGAAGATATGATGAAGTTGAAAGACACATTTCCAGAAATTGCGGATCGCTTTCGCTTGATCAATCGAATCGGAGAAGGTGAGTTTTGGGTCCATTGTCAATGCAAAGAAGTCTGTTATCTGGGACCACATGTTAATCGGAGTCTGGCTTCAAGGGACATTTTCAACCGTGTACAAAGCCGAGGATCTGCAATTCTACGGAAACTACCGCAAAGAGTGGGAGATATTCGGTCAAGCTCAGGATCGAGAGGCCGAGGAATGGGGGAAACCTCCGAGCAAGCGACGAAAGATGAACGGGGCTCCAAACGACCAGCACCGGCCCCGGTATGTTGCGCTGAAGAAGATCTACGTCACGAGTAGTCCGATTCGCATTCAGAATGAATTGGAACTTCTGCATGACCTGCGAGGGTGCAAATCTGTCTGTCCTCTGATCACGGCTTTCCGGTATCAGGATCAGGTGGTGGCGGTCTTGCCATACTTTCCTCATACCGACTTTCGCATTCAATATCGCACCTTTATGGTAGCCGACATGCGGCACTATTTGTGGTCACTTCTAACGGCACTGAAGTCGGTTCACTCACACGAAATCATACACCGCGACATCAAGCCCACGTACGTTATCATTGACTTGGAAACCTCACGGACGACCACTGACAGCCCTTTCACAGCAACTTCCTTTACAATCCCGATCTGAAAGAAGGTGTCCTGGTTGATTTTGGTCTTGCAGAGGTATGCAAAAGCTTCGGGCGTCAAGCTATATTGGAATGGCACAAGCTAATGGTCTGGTTCCCTCTGATAGCGCCAAGGCTCCGAATACAGCAGTCCCTGTCTCTGTTCCCACCAAAGTTACGTCCGTCGCGGCCGAATCCTCTCGAGCTATTTCTCCAAGAACCCTCCAACGAACGGAATCTCGAGCGGATACCCAAAAGCCGACTCTCGGCCCTCTCGACGGGCAAACCGTGCAGGCACACGAGGGTTTCGGGCACCCGAAGTTCTGCTCAAGTGCACGTCGCAAACAACCAAAATCGACATGTGGTCAGTAGGTGTCATTCTGCTGACCTTACTGGGACGCCGTTTCCCCTTCTTCAATTCCGCCGACGATATCGACGCTATGATTGAAATGGCCAGTATCTTTGGCACGCGACGCATGAAGGCGGCCGCGGCCATGCACGGACAAATATTCGAGACCAACTTGCCCACCATCGGAGAGAAAGGGTACAGCTGGGAGAAATTAGTAAAATGGTCGAGCTGTGTGGAAGACCTGACCGAGAGCGAGTCGCAAGCGACGCGCCTGCTTTCTGGACTCATGGAGCTTGACCCATCCAAGCGCTTGAGCGCCGAGGAAGCACTCGAGCACGAGTTTTTCACCGAGCCGATCCTCCACGATGTGGAATGGGGCGGCCACCCCGAAGAGGAGAGTGTGGACTCGGAAGAGGCGAATGAAAGGGCAATGGATGAGGAAGCGGCAGCCGCTGCCGAAGAGGTGGACGAGCTTGAAATGATACTCAACCCTGAAATGTACAACAAATGATGCGGAGATCCAGAGCACATCGGGGGTTCTTTGACACCTTATTTATGCAATCCCATAATGTATGACGCTCTAACACTATTAGTTTCCAACAACCACAATGTATCATGTATACACTTGTTTTAAAAGGGTATTCCACCATAGATTCGAGGCTTCGTTCCTCTCTCCTTGTCCAGCTGCCGGTGAAGCAGCGCCAAGTCTCCCAAAAGGGTCGTATCAACCGGCGATACCGTGACTAGGATGCTTCGCCAAAATCGGTATGACCAGTTTCCATCGCATGTTTAGTAGCTCCTCTTTCTCCAGTGAAAGTGCCACCACAAATATTGCAACGGACCTGGAAGCCTGCCGTATCCGTGTAGTAATGTTTGCTCTGCAGCACACGACACAGCTCCTTTGCCTTTTCCAAGACTACAGGGTCCGCTGCATCAAAGATCTTGGTATCGTCAGGCGCGAACAAATCAGCTCGAGTATGAGGTGGATCAGAAGGGCACAGTGCGAGGACGTCGTAGTGAATACCGGAGTAGACCACTATGCAACGAGTCGGCGCACCTTCATTGAACTGAAACATGTTGAGAGTCTGCACGTCAATAGAACAGATTTCGAGATTGAAGTATTCGCTCAAAATCTTAAGTTCGATGGCACCTCCCCATGAGCTCTCCGTCTGGATCCACTGGCAGTAGTCGTCGGGCTGTTTACCCAGGATGGCAGCTGTGTATTCTGTCGGATTTGACTGAATTGACGCCGCGACGATGGATCGAAGCTCAACCATGGTGTCCATGTCGCCCATGACAGCAGCTCCCACCGCACGGAACAAACACGAGTTGTCGTCGGGCATGACACGCAGCACGAACGTGCCGCCATGCTCTGGAGATGGAATCTCCGGAGGGTCGTCGGCTGTGTTTGATGGCTTCCGCGCATTTGAGGGTTGTGATCGAGCTGGCGATGAGCGGGTTTGAGAACTTAAGCCTGCGCTGGGCTGGACCACCGGAATCGCGACCTCTTGTGCGGCAACTGATTGTCGTGCAGCAATGATCAACTGCTCCCCATTCAGATTGACACCTGTTTCTGCCAATTGCTGATCGGGTTTGTAGTCGTCCAGTTGTAAAGTTTTCAGGTCAGGGTATCCATATTTGACATCGAAGGAGGCGAGGCCCGTTTTCTCGGCGATATGTGCACATAGGTCTTGAATGGTCGCCGACTCGTTCAGAGTAACCGTTGACTGGCCTGATGGCCCGCGCACTCGCAAACGCATTTCAAACAAAGGAAGATGTACGTCAGGGGGTATGTACGTAGGTCAGTATTCAGTGCCAGTAGAGCAATCGAATGTAAGGAGCGGGGACTTTGCGCCGACGGTGACACGAGTCAAGTGAGTTGCAACTGGTAAGGTGGTCAGAGCCGCCCGAGGAGTTCAATTAGGAAGCAACCTCGTATGACGGTGTCCGAGTGTGGGGTATCTTCACATGTACGCCACTCCACTCACGTGCCTACTATTCTTATCTTCAAATCGACTAGCTTGAATGACGATAAGAAAGTCTGTCGGGACTCGGCGCCAGTCACCGAATAGAACAGAATTGAAAAGCTACTAATGGCTTGTTGATCAGAAACTGAAACCATGAGATCGACATCTAAGGAGGCTAGAGTCGACTTTTTCATCTCTGCTAGTGACGAACCAAAGGACTGAACATTTTTTAAGGTTTCAGGTACATTGTGAAGGCCATAATGCCAGTATCGAGAGTATGAACTTTGTAGTTCAATACTAGAGACTTGAAAGTAAAGAGATCTATCACCTCTCCATACATGTCAACTGCTACCCCTATTTGCTGTTGACACGGCCAATTAGATACATGTTCAATCCCTATTCATTGCAACCTAGTCAAAGTTCGAATTATGAGCATCAAAGCGCAATCTATGAGGCCCGTTATGTAGCTTATGCGATCCGAGTGATATGAGCCCTGTCGATCGCTACGACCCCAAGCCCGGTCTCCAATGCTCGCAATTTTGAGCACAGAGCGGCTGAACGGCGGTCTCAACAATATACTCTTGACAGTTCTACAACGAGATAATCTCCAGGAAAGCCCCATTTTAATGCTATTACACGCTATTCTTTCTATTCTTCTATACGCGTTGACCACGCGCTAGATTAAGTACAGTCTCCGATCTATTTGATCAACAAATGCGCCGGTGCGGAGAACTTGATACGCACCCCGCACGCCCCGGATCCGCGTATCATCGTTACAATGTTATACGGTCGATTGTTGAGACAATCCGAACAATCTGATTGATATCGTAATTTGGGATGCTATGGTGGTGTGAAATTCAATCGTGCTTGTTCGAGTCTCAAATTGCCCATTCTAGCGCTGTTTGCCTGGCGAATGTGGCGGACAATTCACGATACTGCCGTATGGCACGTGAAATGACATGGATGACTCAGCAAAACACAAAACGCGGATGGACCCATCCGTTCTTCCTCTCCTACCACCCCATGCTCTCGGCGCTTCAAAACATACTTACAGATCCGCGCGACCGATTCTTCATATCGCAATACTTCGCTGATTGTCGCGACAATGAGCGCTGCAGGGTCGCCTGGGCGCGAAAAGTCGGCGCCTCAGCCGGAGGAGCCTGTCAAGTCAATTGAGGAGGAAAGCACGATCACGGACGAACAATGGCTGGGAATCTGGGACATGCTGATGGCCATCTATGACTTTCGTGAGCCCGAGTACGTCTTTGCTAGGATGCGAAGCTGCGCCCTGCAAAACCCCGTATCCATTGATGGACTGACAGTTTGCATCCAGTGGCCACGACCCCTCCCGACTATTTCACCGCAGCGTCAACAAGCGTATTGTCCCAGATTACTACGATATCATCAAGGAACCTATGGCCCTCAGTATTGTCAAGGCTAGACTTAACAAGCGCGAGTACAAGAACGTCACCAACTGTGTGCGCGATTTCGCCCTGGTGAGTCAATGAGTTCTCTGCCTCTTTTTCTTTTTTTTAGAGGCGCGCGACCGCTGACTGTCTTCCAATTCAACAGATTCCTCATAATGCACAAACCTACAACCGACCCAAATCGCAAGCTTACGAAGATGCGCTAGTGATCAAAGTAAGACATGCAATCGAGGATGACGGGGTGGGATATTGCAGTGGAACGGCCACCAGTTAACGTTATGTGCATTTAGGATGTCATCATCACCGAATTGAAGAAGTTGGTTGAAAGAGGTCTACTCACTGCCCAAGAAGCTGAGTTGCCAGATCTGGGCGAAATTCCCGAAGCGGATCCTCTTCCGGAGGAGGACGATGAAGACGAGGATGATGACGAGGATGATGAGGACGATTCTGACGATGATCGGCGCAAGAAGAAGCCAGGCCCCAAGCCAGGATTCAAGCGTGGGAATCAAAAGAATGAGCCGGACTCTCGCAAGAAGCGTGGACGACCTCCCCGTGTCGATACGCCCATGGAAACGCGTATCAAGACAATCCTCAAGGGCATTCGCAAATTCAAAGGCCCAGATGGCCAGCTCAAAATTTCCCATTTCGAACGGTTGCCCGATAAGATGTCGTACCCGGACTATTACATGGAGATCAAGGAGCCCATCGCTATTGACATTATCAAGCGCAAGGCAAAGCGAAAGAAGTACAACTCGGTTGATCACTTCATGCGAGATCTCGATCTCATGTTCAACAATGCCCGGGCATACAATCAATCTGAGTCTCGGATCTACAAGGACGCCGTTGATCTCCAGGTCGAGGCGCGCAAGTTGGCCGAACAAGAGAAGAAGAAGCCCGATAGCGAGTATCTGATGGAGGATGGTCGATTCCCTCTGCCGGATGGAATTCTGCACCGGAATGAGTTGTGGAAGGTTGGTGACTGGGTTCACATTCAAAACCCCAATGATGTGTCAAAGCCAATTGTCGCCCAAATCTACCGCACCTGGCAAGATTCGGATGATCAGAAGTGGATCAATGCGTGCTGGTATTACCGGCCAGAGCAGACGGTGCATCACTTCGAGAAGCACTTTTATCCCAATGAAGTCGTCAAAACTGGCCAATACCGTGACCACCGTGTCGAGGAGATTGTCGATCGTTGCTTTGTTATGTTCTTCACTCGTTACAGTCGAGGCCGCCCTCGTGATCTGCCCCCTGACAAGCAGATCTATGTCTGCGAGGCACGATACAATGAAGAGAAGCACAAGCTCAACAAGATCAAGACGTGGGCCAGTTGCTTACCGGATGAGGTGCGCGAAAAGGATTATGAGATGGATCTGTTCGATGTGCCGCGCAAAATCAGAAAGGTTCCCAGTCCGATTAAGCATTTGCTTAAGAGTGATGCCAAGGAGACAGACGATCTTCCCCGGCCAACGTGGGGTGCTGAGAATGCGCCGCCGATGGTGGGTGCCGTGCATCGGCGCCCTCGGGACGAAAATGTAAGATTTCTATTTGTTTACGATTTGCTCACCATGCTGGTGAGGTTTGGCTCTGAAGTGGACTGAACATGTGCTAATACCTGCCTCTTTTCAGGAGTCCCCCCGCCGGAGCCCACTCCTTCACCACCTCCTCAGCCTCCTGTTCTTCCACCCACAGCCATGCCAGTGCCTAATCCTCGTCCACCTATGAGCCAGCAGCCCATGGCGACTCCCAACATGGCACCGCAAGGAATGGGAGCAGCTCCTGAGATGACCAGCTCGGCACCTGCTATTCCAGCTGCGCAGAGCTCACCGATGCCACCAGCCCAGCCGGCTTACCAGACGCACATGACTCCGCAGATGTACCAAGGACCGAATCAGCGCCGTCCAAGCAACTTTGTACCTCAATCACCCGCTGTCGCAGCTGCGGGATATCAAGCTTCGCCCGCTACGTCGCAATATGCAGTGCAACAACAGGCACACTTTGGCGGTAATTTCCCCGCAAATCGCGCGCAGCCCACCCCAGCTCCTTCCGTCGCACCTCCCCCTGTCCAGGCGTTCAATCCAAATGCGCCTCGTCCCGTTGAAGTCTACCAACTCAACGAAGCTGCCAACAACGCCATTCCACCTGAAATTCGCAATCAATTCCATACCGACGAACAGGGCCATGTACTCTTCTTCAGCTCAGCACCTCTAGATCCGGTTCCCGCCGCGCCTACTAAACTCAGCCACTCCTTGAAATACCTTGCCACCAAGGAAGAACGACGAGAGAAAGTCGCAGAGTACAAACGCAAATTCCTCGAGCAACAAGCCCAGAAAGAAGAGACCGCCAAGCGCCAGCGCCTCACAAAAGAAGACATGGACAGTCTTGTTGATGAATTTATGCCAAAAGCTCTAGAACAGTTGATTGAACAAATGGAGGCCGGCACAAAAGAGATCTACCGTGACGTCTACGGTGAGAATGCGGAGCAAATGCGTGCCATAAGGATGAAGAAGCTTGAACTTGAGAGAGAAGCGGATCGAGAGAGAAGAAAGGAAAATGAGAAAATCAACGCGCAAATAAAGGCCAAGCAGGAAGTGAGTCTGAGGAAGAAACCTTTGTACATGGATTTTTGATAAGTTGGTGAGGGCGGGCCTCCTAGCTTCATTATCTCGCTCATCACCGCCAAGATCTATCAGACAGGATGTTATCGAGGGCAGCGGTAATTCTCTGTGTACGATCCTGATTTTGAAATCCCTCGCATTTTCTTCATGATTCACCATTCACATTTTCCTGCCTCTTGTGTCATTCTATTCTAACCACTTCTTCATTCTTGACTTCACTTCTTTCACACAAATCTTCCGTTGATTCCCATACCCATCATCCTTTTACGTTGTGGTCACGTCATCGACATTGTGTTGTAACATGTTGAATAATGTTTGAAATCCCTGCTTTATCACCCTGGTTATGGATGTCATGTTCGTGGAGTATTCAAGAGGGCGGTGTTATTTTCATACAAGCTGTGGCTTTGCTTTCATTCCATTATTCCAAGGTTGCAAAAGAGTAAATTAGGATACTAGACGAAGTCCTGATAAGTCGATGACGGGCAGAGCCCACGGGCCGCGCTCCAGCTCCATGCGAAGTTACTCAGTATTTCCTTCAAGCCTCTTGTACAATGTACAGTGTACAGTGTACACATCCATCTTTACAGTAAAACTCTAAGGTGCAGAGTCGGTGGCGGTTAGAGAGCACACATTAACCTCCATACCTCATCTATCCAATTAGCCAGTATCCCAACAAATCCCGAAGCATATATAATACATGGACGTGATATGCTATGATCTCACACCTCAGAAGCAAGAGCCATGATCCGACAAAAAGCAGGAACCCGCTCGAATCTCGGCCCTGTGAAGAAGAACACAGCAAGACGAGTCCACGGCAAATACTACCTAGTACCTGGTAAGACTCTCCATAGAGTATCCACTATCCAGTGATATACCGGGGAAGGTTCCTTGCGCACGATGTCGCAGACTCAGTGCATTCCAGGCGGGAGGGAAGGACTGATGGATCTTATTTCAGGGAGGGTGGGTGCGTGGACGTGCTCAGTTGGAAGGAGCCAGGCCGTAAAGTACTTGATACTTAATACTGGGTCAGTGGGTACTGTGGAAGTGTAGAGAAAAAGTCACCAAAATTGGTAAAAGCAAGATCTGATTAAGATAATCATTTGTCAGGGTGTGATATAAAGTAGAATTCTAGATGTGTATAGCCATGCGTGTGATTTCTTCTTTTGGAGGGAGGTGAAATGGCAGGTCGCAAGTATTGAGACCCGGGGTGGGAACAGGACAGGACTGAAAGGGAAGGAAAAGAAAAGGAAAGAAAAGGGAGTTTCGTAAAATTTCGATTCGAATGGCAAAGCAGACGATGAGGCTTGAAAACCAAAGTACAATGTCTTGAAACATGTTGATGCTGATGGACTGTATTGAGAGACAAGTCTCAAAACCATCAGTCATTCCATATAAACGTGTAGAAGAGAGTGTGAAATGGGGGATTTGGATCCGTCGAGTATGTAAGTTCAACCTGAAGCGAGGAGAAAACGAAGGGGAAAGTGAAAAACAAAAGAGAAAGAAAAGGCGCACTTTTTGAATATTCCGTGATATTTTGACGCTCCGTGATGCCGAGTATGTTTTCTCAAAATCATTGAGTCATTGAGATTTGAGAGGGAGAGAAGAAGAAAAAGTGACAGAGGTGTAGGGGGAAAGAAGAGTAAAGGGAAATAACAAGAACGCCAATGACCAGACCAGACCATTTGGTCTCTTTTTTTTTCCATGAGAAATCGACTTTGTCAATACAAAACGGAGGCCTGCCTGTGCCCAGGGTGCGATGTAAACGAAGAAAAGGGGAACGAATATGGTGTGGAAACGCCAGACAGCAGTTGCCAACCCACTATTGGTAACAAGACATTACAACCCGGTCGAGGTTCGGAGGTGGGGGGGGGGAGGGGTGGGTAAAAGGCACGAATGGAACAAGAGGAGCGATTCAAGAGTCGTTTGAAACTTCTCTTTACGAAGGGCTGCTGCGCTTGTTGCCCTCTTCTTCTTCCATGGAAAAGACGAGATCACTTGGTTCCTCTTCCTCGATCTTGCTTGTCGTTGAGGACAAGTTGCGATCTAGACGACCCGGAGTGTTAGAAGCACGGCGGACGGCACCTGGGTGAAGAGAAAACCCACTAAGCTGCTCGGAGATCATCGACATGGAACCCTGGCGTCCAGGACTGGAAACTAACGGCGATCCCTCGTACAAAGTGCGACTACCAATCGGGCCCAAGCTGGGGCTACCGATGGGGTTCAAGGAGGATTCACGCAGAGGTGAACCGATATGTGGGAAAGACGAGCCGATGGCCCCGTCCTCTTTGCTCTGTCGTTGCTTGGCAAAGAGAGCCCCGAATCGCGACGGGCTGGAGGCAAGCGGAGATCCGTTCTTTGAGAAGCTCGTGCTAGCCATGCCGAGGCCGCTTACGTCCCGGTGGCTGGAGCTGATGGGATCGTGGTCGGTTCGCGAAAGACGTCGCAACTTCTCCTGAGGCGTGAGAACATCGTCATGCAAGTTCATAGGCAGATAATCCTCCTCCATCGGGAAATTCTCATCCCAATCATCGAGTCCCATGGGACGAGGCACACTCGCAGAGAGCATGCGAGGCTTCACGGGCCGAGAAGAGTGCAAGAATCGGTGGCTCGTCGCATCCTCGGGAGCGGGAGGAGAAGAACCGATGTTGAAGGATGGCTTGCGAAGGTCCGCATAGCTGATCTCACGAGTGCTACGGAATGGATCCATGTAGCCGAGTCGCTGAGCCGGGGGGGACGCCAAGTCCAATCCGAACTTCGAGGGAACCGACGCAGCCACCGGACCATAGCGAGCTGCGTGTGAGATCCCCTGGCTATCGAAAGATGCGGGAAGGGGCGCATCCAATGCGGTCAAGTGGCGGGCGCTGGGTGACATGGGCAGTCGCGGATCATCGATGGGGGAGCCGTACTTGGAGCCGACGGGAGACGCCAGGCCGGTATCAATGGTCGGGATGCCATCGTAGGGAGTCTGGGACTGCCCAACTTGCTGCGACTGCTGCTGCTGCTGCTGGTGCTGGTGCTGTTGCTGTTGCTGCTGGGCGGGGACAAAACCTGACTCATCTTGCACGGGCATCTGCTGAGGGTATCGGGGGTCGGGACCGTTCATGCGCTGCTGCGAAAGGACGGAATTGGTCAAGGCCGAGTCCTGATTCACATAGGCCTGAGGGTTGACACGGCCGCCGAGGTTCAAGTGACTGCTCCCACCCATTCCCATCGCACCACCACCGGCACCTCTGTTCACACGGCGACCATCGGGCAAGATATGAGCGAGAGCACATTTGGAGCCGAACTTGCAATTACCCTAACCACGCCAGAGGTAGAAGCGATGGGGATCAGTCTCTTGCAATTTGCGGGCGGGCAGAATATACACCACTGGGACAGGCTCTTCAGCGCCCAAATTGAACATACCTTGGCGAAGTACTTGCAAGGCGCATAGTCGATAGCGGCATCGGTCGAATGCAGGAATGGACAAGCGGGGCCGGCCTGACAGGCACCCTGACGAAAGAATTTGCAGGGAACATGCTTGGTATCTGCAAGTAACCGACAAACAGAGGAGATTAGTATACCGCCTATGATGCCGCCGCAGTAGTTTTGGAAGAAGGAAGGGCAGGGGTGGCAGGAAAGTTGTCATTCTCGAGTCCCACGGGGGGTAGGGTAGCCCCGATCGTCAATCATGATCACATACTCTTATTGCTCGGGTTCGGCGGGCTGCGAGCCATATCGAGATTGGAAGAATTGCGGGAGTGACCGTTGGTGTTCTGCATACCGGAGGGCACCGGCAGAGGTGCACGACCTCTCATATCAGCAGGATTGGAACGAGATGAGGCAGGGCGAGAGGCCGGCAGCATCGCCGATTCAATTCAACCGAGGGGATACGAGGGGATCGAAAGGGCTGGAGGGGCGGTTATCGGAGCCAAGAGGGGAATGAGTCGGAGGCGGGCGGTGTGAATTCTGGAAGCTCCAGACGACGCTGGGACGAAAAAAAGGTACAATTGATGACGGCTCCAAGCCGGATGTCGGATGTCGGAGTTGGTTCTCCGGTGCTGAGTCAAATAAGACGAGAAACCTCGAGAAAGGCTGCAGACTAGAGGTCAACCAACGATTGACAGGAGGAGGACCCGAACGGCGGGTGGATTCAAATGATGAGATCTATAAGAGAATGAGAGGAAGAGGGAGAAAAGGCAATGGGAAAGATGGCCAGGCAGATGATCTCAGGTTACGGCAGAATAGGTTGAAGACAGAGAAACTGCAAAAAGACGAGGAAAGAAGAATGGACAGGGCCTGAGAGAAGACGTTGAAGGATCGTTCATGAAAACTACATTCGAGAGGGTCTTGTCCAGATATCCTCTTTGCCCGTCCATTCTGGTTGGTGATGCAATCTAATCACTTGCCAAAGCGATCCCGCGAACCAACCGCCCCGAAAATGTCTGGTGATGCCCATGTGACCTAGAAAAGAAGACGAACAGTTGGAACGTGGTCGTCTTCTGGCTTGCCTGCATTCTGCAATCTGCTCGCATATCTCCGAGCGAGACGTCCTCCATTGGCTTCTTCCCTGGCCAGGCTTCATACTTCATAGTTAGACTCGGTAGTCAAGAGTCAGGGAGCAAAAAAACGTTGCGAATGATGTCATTGATCACATGGCAGAAAGCGGATACGGAACATCCACCAGAATGACAATCCTCACAGTATGAGAGGTCTATCGAAGATCAAACGGTTCGTGTCGTTCGTCGCGACCATGGTCATCCGCCAGCATTAAGGACACATCATGTCACACATTATGAGAGGAAGTATAAGAGGTTATTAGCGGCAGAATAAGTCGGGTCGAGTCGAGCCCGATGTCGAATCCAAGTCGTGCAGTCCGCGCAATCTGCGTTCTGCATTCTGCATTCTGCAGTTCGCTTCGCCCGAGCTGCAAATCATAGTCGAATTTGAGAGTACGAAATAGCATAAAACGAGGACCGAGTGGACCTGCATCGACCCGAGCCATGTATCTCCGCCAGGCGCAATCGTCGGTGCTAAATGTTTATTGGACTTCGCCTTCCAGGCCCAGAGTTTCCTATGGCGAAGGTTTTGCCTGTGGTCAGCCAGATCCCTGAAGCCTTGACAATTTTGCATGCAGTACTATGCACGATGTGAATCTTCAGGGTACATTCGAAAAGAACAACGAGCAAGAATAGACACTTTCCTGAAAAATGAAATCAGTAACATCCCAAGATAGAAATCACTTACCCAAAGCTCTGCAGCAGTAGCAACGCCCTCCGGTAAAACTTCCGAACAGGACTCCCACAACTCCCGGCAGATGCGGCGGCGCAAACGAGCGTGCCGCTGCCATTGGGTCCAGTCCCGCTCCAGTTGGGCACGTGCCGTAGGCGAGATCTGAGGCTGATGATCGTCGCCGCCGTCGGAGCGGTTTTCGTGAACACGTGCCTGAGCGGCATCCCGTTCCATCCCCAACTGGCGAATTTCCTCGCGAAGAGCCGAGAGGCGCGGTTTGGCTTGGAGGGTCGCCAAGGCCGTGCGAGCCTTCTTCTCATTTGCCTTGATAATAGAGAGCTCCTCTTGAAGCGTTGTGATCTCCTGAACTAGTGCGGTGAGGAGCTCGGGGCTCGCGGGGTCGGATGACTTTTGTAGAGCATGGTAGACGATTTGTTTTCCTTGGAACAAGCAACAAACAGAAAGTGGAGGACCGTATCAGCTGTGGCTACCAATCCATGAAAAGCGTGCGTCCTAGCTGCGCACGAGCTCGGCCATACAAGCAAGGTGCAGCAGAACGACGATAGATGAGATACCCACCGGCAGTGCGCCCTTCAATTTCACCTTTTTGATGTAAATCCTTCAAAATCTTGCCAGCTTGCGCTAGCCAGACAGTCTCTGTCAGCTTTGCTGAATTCTGCACTGGTATGGCTCACAAGCACAGGAAGTGTACCTTTGTTCACTTTGTTGTGCAGATTCGCCGAGACCTCGATAGCCTGTGGGCAGATGCGCGGTAAATCATCTCGTCAGCAATGACATCCAGCCTTGCCTGGGTTACACAAGGAGTTGTCGAAACATCTCAATACCGAGTAAGGACGACTTTTAAAGTCAGTGCTAGATTCATTGAAAATCTTTGGGCCTAACAACATACTTTTGTTCTCCTGGAGTAGACGCGCACCGGTCAGTTGCCGTCAGTCAAGGCCCGCATTAGCCTCCTCCATCGCTCAGCCATGTGGGAGAGAGAGGGGGATGAGAGAAAGACAAAATGGCGATTAGTACTGTACTAACGCAAATAGTCCAGTATCAAAGAAGCATCTAAGTTAGGGATCCTTAGTATGTGATCTTCAGGTAAATACGAGGCAATTGAGCGTCTTGGGATCGACATACCGTCAGTTTCTGCCGAGTTGCCTTTTGTTTCCTTTTCCTTGCGAGGTGCCATCGCATGTGTCAGAAACGCGGAAGACGATTGAAGGATCAGAAGAGACAGTTTTTTCAAGACGGACAGGGATGCAGAGAGCGGAGTACGAAGAAGATAAGGAAGATGAGAGGGGATATTACGATGAAGCTAGGAGAGGTCGGGTTGGGATGGGAGGGGGGGGGGGGGGGGGGGGGGGTGGGTTGGATGTCACTGGGTCTGGTACATGTGCTTAGTGAACGAACTACCGTACTTGGTACTAACCACTAAATAGTAACTGATACCTCTTACCAGATACGCCGTGACTTTGGTAGAGGAGGTTCATAGGAGACTAAGGTAACCATTATTGTGCGTACATCAGGAAACCGCTTCGTCTTCATAAGGAGGCCATGCCGGTCCCTCATTCTGATGCATTTGCGTATATGTTTTATTGTACATTTGAGACAGCAACGAGAGATGCTGTCGCGGAACATTGTGACCAGGTTCAGGATTAAGTTCCAATGAGAAGAGATCAACTACCCTGCCGTCCATATACCAGAAGTTGAGCAAAGAAAGAGACATTGACCAATTTTACCTCTCGGAACACCAACGCAAGCCGTAACGAGGACAAGGGGCCTCATTGTGATACAAGACTCCGGATTTAAGTGTGCAGGTTTCAGATGAAGCTAGTACCATAGAAGCTGAGATGCACGAGAACGCTGCAAATGGGGCGAGAGAAATGATCATGGAAAAGGAAGAGAAACATAACCGGCCTTGGACACGTATCGCAAGTCCATCGCGGTCGTAGACGAAGAAGGATCACACAAATATGAGATTTGTGCGAGAAGAACAAACACGAGATACGAAGGGCTGTGAGAAGAGGAAAGGGGAAAAGGGGGGTATCAATTCACATCACAACCTGAAGGAGGAAAGGTGAGTTAGCATCCACGCTCATAAGGCGACTCAGCGACGTGCTCAATTCAAGCAGCTTGCAAGTCTACGAGTGTCAAAAAAGCCAAAGGAAAGCTTACACAATCATTGTCGTTCTTCACAGAAGGTACGCCCATTTCCTCAAAGGTCTTGGGTCCTTTGGATGGTGGCGCGGCAGGCTTGGGCTTGGACGGCTGCTGCTGCTGCTGCTGTGGCTGCTGCGGGAGCGGACCCGCTGGTGGCTGGGGTGTCGAGGCACCGGAGCCATGAGATGGTTGCCGAGATTCGCTCCGCGGGGGAAGTGGCCAGATGCCGGCGAACCTCCAGGTCGTGGTGAAGCTTGATCATGAGAAGGAGGCAATGAGCCAGGGCCATGACCCGGACCGGATACAGGGGTCCGCACGGGCTTTCGCTCCGGGGGAGCATTGGCTCCCTCGAGGCGCGTAGGACGACGGCGATCTGGCCCTGGGGATGGAATAGGGGCTGAGTATCCGATATCCAGTCGAGGGGCGGAAGCACTATTGGGGCTGGTATGATTGACAGACTGAGGGCTGACGGGGCCACTGTTACCATGCTGGCGGTAGTTCATGGGATGACCACCGGGACCGCCAGGGGAACCACCGGGGCCAGTGGGCGGATACATAGCACCACGACCCCCAGGTCCAGGAGGTCCATGTGGCCCAGGGGGACCACCATATCCAGGTCCTGGCGGTCCGGTCTTTTGACGCAGGTTTGGATTGACTCCAAAAGCTGAGCTGGGCCGAGGATCAGGCATAGGGTAATTCGGCTGGCCGGGGGCCGTGGCCGAGCAGAAGAAGCCCGTCCGGCATAAGCGGCCGAGCTACTAGGCTGGTCATTCAGGCTCATGCGTGAAGGGTCGGGCATTTCGATCTGCTCTGGAGTCGAATCCAGCGATGGTCCACGCTGATGCGCATATCGTGTCGATTTGATTCGTGACACGGCAAGTCTTTCATGATCCTTACGCGAAAGAGTTTTGGATCGAGAAATGCTGTCAATGCGCCCAGAAGCGTCTTTGTTACCGCTGGCAGCGGCCTTGGCATACCAACTCCGCGCCTCTCGCAGATCCACCGGGACGAAGATCCCAACCTCATAAAAGTAGCCGAGGGCAAACTCGGCAGTTGGAAGACCACTCTGTGCGGCACGTTGGGCGTACCCAAAGGCCAACTCGTCATTCTTCTCAAAGACCCCGTCGTGGCCGCAGAGGAACCATTTGCTGATCGCCATCTCCGCCTCGGGTTCTCCCTGTCGTGCGGCGAGCGCATTATAGTGTAGGGACAACGCGGGGTTGAAGTCACATTGCAGCTGGCAAAGCTCGTATGCGGCACCCATCTTGACCTGAGCCTTGGCGAATCCATGGTATGCGGCTTTCTCAATGTTGACTCGGGCAACATTTGGATCACGAGTCAGGAAGGACTCGGGAACACTAACTTGGGGCAGCTCTCCAGCCAGCAACATGCCATAGACCTGAAAATTTTCAGTGCTGGTCAGAGAAGATTCAATATCACCAAGAACCGAGAATTGCCAGAATTCAACGTACGTAGGCACCCTGCGGCGCGTTTTGGTCGCAGGATTGCGCAGCCAGTCTAATATACTCCAGGCCTTTTCGGTAGTCCTGGCGTTGGCCATGCTGTCCGAGGAGAATCATCATGCCCAGCCGCTGTAGAGGTCGTTAGCATCAATCGGAGAAATGTTTCGGTCCCGTGGGAGACGCGCCACACTATCTACGCGGCAGTCCAGAGGCACGTACATAATAAGAAGCCGAGTCCGCCATGGCCACACCACGCTCGTAGTGTCGAATGGCCTTGTCGGGCTCTCCCGAACTCTCAAATTGCATACCGATCCGGTACTCGGCGCGCGCGTATCCCTTCTCCGCGGCGCGCGTGTAGGCTCGGAACGCATCCTTGCGATCAATGCGATAGCCGAATTTACCAAACTCGAGCCACATGCCCTTGATGAATTCAGCTTTCGGATGTTGCTGCCCCGCCAAGAAGTTGACGATATTCATCGCGTCGGTTCGTAATTGCCGCTCGATCTGAGGGGTATTGGGTCGAGGCGGTTGGATGGTAGACAGGCGCGCCTCATTCTGCGCCGCCACTTCGACAAAAGCCAGCGCATCCTGAGCCCATGCCAATTGCATCTCCGGATCGGTCGTGGAGAGCACCGCCATTCGAGCGCGTTCCAGATTGGCTTCACGCTGCTCATCGGTCGGGGGCACGTTCGGCGGAGGATTCCGCAACACGGGGAACGGGGAGAAATTGGGATGGTCCATACTGTCGTAGGTGGCCGATTGCGCGTAGGCTCCATGGTCATGGGTCTGCGCCTGCTGCGGCTGGCTATGCACCGTGGAGGACGTACGCTCTGGAAATTGATTTCGCGAGGCGAACTGCGCGGGCGACTGCGGCTGGGCGCGGCGAGCATCATAGGTGCTGTGTTCCATCTGGGCAATGTTGTCTTGCATGTTTTCAGGGACCTCCGGCATCACCCTGCGTAGATGAGTTAACACACGAACCCGCGGCATCGTCGCTGCGACAAGCCAGTCTCGATCGGTTCTTGCGCGGATTGATTGTCGCGACACTTGAAGATCGGAGGGGAGGAATCGCACCTCTGCGGAGATGGGGAAATGACCTCTGGCATGTAGAAATCGTCCTTCCCCCCTGGATACCAAGTGGCCCCCAGGCCCGGCTGAGCTGGGCTTTGACTGTAACCTTGACCATGACCGTGACTGTGACTATGACCATGGCCATATTCTTGACCAGGACCGTTACCACGACCCTGGCCATAGTTACCGCCGTAGCCCTGGCTCTGGCTCGGATCCTGATATTGATACTGTTGGTGATTCATCTCGTTCGTGTCGGATGACGGTTAAGCAAAGATCAATGGTTCAATTCGACAGACGGGCCACTTTGCGCTCAGACGTGGGGCAACATCCGTTACGCGCGTGGCTTTGGAAGGCGAATAGACGAGTTCAAAGCCCCAAGGTTGGCCACCTGGGGATGAGAGGGGAAATGAAGAGAATGAAAGTCAGAGTCGGGGATGAGAAATGCGGAGGGGAAGGAGGGGAGGTTCAAAAAAGTAGAGTGACGGAGGGGGCAAACGCCAACTTTGGGAGGAGGAGAGGAGGGGGGGGGGGATGGGTCCTTCAGGGGATGAAGGCCAGAGCGTCCGGTCGTTCTTGTTCAGCGAACTCAGCGGGACCGACCTATGGATCTGAACAGGTCATGTTGGTGGAGAAAGGTAGGAAGCTCGGAAGTTTTCATATCATTTCTATTGCTCTACCGCACTGGAGTCTGTAGTCTGTACCAGTTGTGGACTTGCCGTGGAGAGCTGGTGGGACAGGGACAGGGACGGTTGTGTTGTACACACTTACAGGGGCATCCAACATCGTCATCGAGAGGATCATCGTCTCGCGTGGCTATACTGTATTGTTCCTGTTCTCATTTTGCTGAGTGGCGTGCTGACGATTGTCCCAAGACTGCAACGACAAGTGCAAGTTCGAGCTTGCAACGAAGGGTATCATATTATACCCCGTGATCCACTCCAGTCCTTTATTTGGGTAAGGGGCCTTTTGGACGGTGCCAAGGTGTGGGCGTCCTGACGACCCGAGCCTACCGCAACTGCCGATGTACTCAGTTACTCACTGATAGTACTACTACTCAATACTCAGTACTCAGTGTCTACTGTCTACGAGATTGTCTACGCAATTCTACCTAAATTCTAAGAATACGCATGTAAATTGTCATATGTATTATGTATTATGTGGTAGTACCAGTCAGGGATGTACATACAGAACATATTGTCGTCCTCCTATTTGTTTAGACCGTCAACTCACGCTTAGATGGTGGAGTTCAAATTGAAGATGTCTTACCCGTTCGGACTGCATGAGCGTGTCAAGGCCAGTCTCCGATTTCGGGAGGTCGAACTCGCGTATAAACTACGATATGGAGTGCGGAGTGCGGACTACATACATAAGACATACTGCCAAATGGTCAACCATATGATATGTGGACAAGAATGTGTCCGTCCCCTGGAAGCTCAGCGTAGCCGATGACTACGTCTTGTACAGTAGTAAACAGTACTAGTAGGGTCGGGGAACACAAGGCAGATCAACTCGTGTGCGCTACAGTTCCCTGTTCAGTAGGATTTCCTCTCTCGTGTTCGTGTTCTCGGTGTTTTGCTCCACTCGAGTATAGCTCGAGAACTTTGATCTCCCGTGATGACGGTGATCGGTCACCGGGTGTGCATTTTACAGTACTGTACGATGTGCCCGTAACTTGAATGGTTTTAGAACTCAATCACGCATTCGGAGTCAAGTGTCAGTACCACGGTTATGGATGCAGGGGTCACAACCATTTGAGATTGATGAGACTTTTTAATGAATCGATCTTCTGCCTTGAAGGTGTCCCTTCCTCCCTGTCAGCCTCCGCTCTGTTAGCCCTCTGCCACCTGCAGGTGCTGGACGGCTGGGCGCTGGTACTGGTAGCCTGGTAAGGTTAGGTCGTACCATACAAAAAGTGGGAGCTCTCTCCCCGCCAAGCCACAAGGTTATTTTTACAACAGCCGCGTCGGCTTCCAGAAAAAGCCTTACCCGCGCGGCCTGGCGGATTTCTCGCGTATCCGGAACAGGCGTTTTGATCCAGTCGACAGTTCAATCGGCAGACTGGTCACTGGACCAGGTCCAAGGTTAGGTGTCAAGAGTCAAGACAGCTGCAGCGCTGCTGACTTGGGGCTGTGCATCGCCCTCACTGCCGCAGATGGCGTCCAGTCCTCGGGTGTCACGGGATTTCCATCATCCCTTTACGCCATATGAGATTCAGCTCCAGTTTATGGAGGCTCTTTATGGCTGCCTGGAGGACGGAAAAGTCGGCGTCTTCGAGTCCCCCACCGGTACGCGCTCAGCCCCCCCATTCTGCTGCCCGAACCGCCCAACAATACGTCAGATAGAGAACCCAGGTTCCATTCTGGCTGCATGATTTTCGATCTGACACTCAACCGCTGCAGGTACGGTAAGTTGCTCGACTCCACCGTTGCATTCCCAGCTGGGACGACGGACGGAATATGCTCAAAATAGCATGATCGGCCCCCAAAGGCAGGCCCCTTTCATTGATCTTGTCCCCGGTTCTCGTCAATGGGGTTTGTATGATCCAAGTTGATCACCGACTAAGGCCTCCATCGTGACTTGGTAGGGTAAATCATTAAGTCTCATCTGCGGGTCACTCACCTGGCTGCGAGACCACAGACGCAAGGCATTCCAGGAATCCTTGGATCAGGCAGGGTGTATGTGAAACCTCGTCTTGTTGTGCACTGTTTATTTTGTATCTCCAGTCGTACATTCTGTCAGCGCAACGTCTGACGCTGAAGTCTGTGCAAATCTAGGCGATGATAGCGAACCTGACTGGATGGTGGAATTCGCCAAGAAGGAGTCGCGGCGATCGATTGTCGAGAAACGACAAGAATTCGAATCACGATTGGCCAAGATCAAAAGCGACGAGGAACGGTTGAAGCAAGCCTCGGCGACGCAAGACCGACCACGCAAGAAACAGGTGGGAGGCTGTCATTTCCGCGTAAATCTCCATTTTTGGTGAGATGCACGCTAACGTGAAGGATAAATCAGCGACTAGAGGAACAGAATGTACAAGCCACTCTTCACGAGGACGAAGAACATTACGTCCTTGATGACTATGACAGCGACGCAGAGGATCGCAAAGGTACAAGTCAGCTAGGCGGCTTGGAGGGCCTGTCGGCTGGCACACTGGCACTGCTTGAAAAGTTCAAAGGCAATTTTGCGACCCAACGGAATGAGGAAGATGAAGCGGACGACACCGTCAAGATCTTCTACTGCTCACGAACGCATTCTCAGCTGAGCCAATTCGCAGGTGAACTGCGTCGAGTAACATTTCCGTCAAGCATACCGCCGGAGACGGGACAAGATGCCAAGGGAGATGGGCAGTCCGAGCTCGACGAAGCGATCAAGCATCTCTCCTTGGGATCGAGGAAGAACCTTTGTATCAATCCCAAAGTCCGAAGCCTGGAGAATAGCACAGCAATCAACGAGCGCTGCTTGGACCTGCAACAACCCGGCGTAGCTGCCGACAAGAAGTGTTCTTTTCTGCCTACCAAGGATGACGACGCCGTGCTTCTCGAATTCCGGGATCGTGCTCTTGCAACTGTGAAGGATATTGAGGACATTGGCAAAGTGGGCAAAGAGGTTGGCATTTGTCCATACTATGCCTCACGATCAGTCATCAAGTTTAGCGAAGTGAGTGAACCCTCCACATATCCGCGGGTAGGCAAGTTGTTGGACCTCGCTCATTCGAGCTTCTTTACCAGGTTGTAACCCTACCATATCCTTTACTTCTCCAACAGTCTGCTCGCGAGGCCCTCAATCTGTCCGTCAAGGGCCATGTTGTGATCATCGATGAAGCTCACAATTTGATGGATGCCATCGCGGGTATTCATTCGGTAACCGTGTCGTTGTCTCAACTACAGACATCAATAACCCAGTTAACAACCTACGCGCGAAAATTCAAGAATCGGCTCAAGGGAAAGAATCGCAACTATGTTGCCCAGGTGATCCGCCTGATTAGTTCTATTGCGCGCCATTTGCATGAAATACAACAGCAAAAGGGCCCTGCTGAGGGTTCAATCAAAATTTCCGATCTCATGGCAGGCAAGGGCGTGGACCAAATCAACCCTTACAAGCTTTCTCGATATCTTCAAGAGAGCAAGCTAGCGCGCAAAGTGGATGGTTACGTGGAATCGTCTCAGGAATCGCAAGGCACGAAAGAAAAGAGTCGCTCCACGGTGCCTGTCTTGTTCCATATTCAGAGTTTCCTGTTGCCCTTGATGAACCCTTCAGAGGAAGGAAGACTATTTTTTCTAAAGGAGAAGAACGACATACAGCTGAAATACATGCTCCTTGATCCTACTAATCACTTCAAGGAAATTGTGGAAAATGCACGAGCTGTCGTCTTGGCTGGTGGAACAATGTCCCCGGTATGTCATCGGTGATGCGAACTGGCATGATCGCTCGCTGTAACTCTCGAGAATTTTCCATACTAATGGCGTTTTTATTTGAAGATGTCTGATTACGTGAATCATCTGTTTTCCTATCTTCCGCCTGAACGACTTGAAACTTTCAGCTATGGTCATGTTGTTCCTTCTACAAATCTGGTTGCTCAGTCCCTAACAAAGGGCCTGATGGGCTGTGACTTTGATTTTACCTACGAGGCCCGTAACTCGGAAAAGATGGTGAGTCGTCGCCACAACAGGTTCTAATCAGTCACGGTTGAGTCAGCCCTTCTGATAGCTAACCATGTGACGACTCAAGATAACCGATCTTGGACGAACAATAGCCACCCTCTGCCAAATCATTCCTCACGGCGTTGTTGCCTTTTTCCCCAGCTACGACTATCTAAGCCAAGTTGTCAGCGTCTGGGAAAAGCCAATCCCAAATGGCAACGGCGTCACTCCTCTAAAGCTCATCTCCAACCACAAGAAAATACTCTATGAGTCTCGCGACTCGGCCGTGTCCACGGACACCCTCCTGCAAGAATACACCTCTACCATCTCCGCCGGCCAAGGCGCACTTCTGCTTTCCGTGGTTGGCGGCAAACTCTCTGAAGGAATCAACTTCTCCGACGATCTCGGACGCGGCGTCCTCATGATCGGTCTCCCATTTCCCAATATCCGCAGCGCAGTCTGGCAAGCCAAGATCAAATACATCGAAGAGAAGACTCACAAGCAGCACTCGGGGACGGATGCTGAGAAAAAAGCCAAGGCTGCGGCTGCGGGTCGTGACTTCTATGAGAATGCTTGCATGAGAGCGGTGAACCAGTGTATTGGGCGAGCGATTCGTCATGTCAATGACTATGCGGCCATTGTGATGATTGATCGCCGGTACGAGACACCGAGAATTCAGGGTAAATTACCTGGTTGGATTAAGGGGAGCTTAGTCACGAGTAGCGGCGCTCGGCCTGCGCAGGCGACTGTTCAGCGATTGTCGAGGTTTTTTGCGGAGAAATCAGGGTGATGAACAATTATACATGATTACCTGGACAGTCAGGTTCCATGCGGCCCCTCTGATGTCCAGAAACACGAAGATAATCATTCTTGGAATGAAGATTGGTCACTACTCACTAGACTTGAAATAATTGGTGATCATCGAACTGGGCCACCCTACGGATGAGCAAGTAGATCAAGTAGAGCAAGTGGAGATGAACTCCAATCAGCGAGTTTTCGCCGCGTAGATGTACGACTGTTGCACTGAACTCTCCCTGATTATGCTTGTGAGTCTGCTTGATTTTATCTAATTATGTTTGTTCTAAACTTGTGGAAAAACTGTGAATTGTATCAGACCAAAAAGATTTGCTACAGTATCACGATCAATTGCCCTAAGAGGAGATCCAGTTCGACGCGGCTAGACCCACCACCTTAATTTCCAGAGCGGTGACAGAATCTCCTATCTCCACGTGATCTGCACCAGCCCCAGGGCAGGGTTTGACCCTATCACGGGACAAGCGAATTGCTTAGCGCACAGTCTAGCTTTGCGAGCGTGGATTTCAACATTCGATCCGGTAGTATCACGACCCTTCTCCCCCCTTCAACGCCCAGTCCTTGTCGCCAACACACAACCCGACAAGATGCCTACCCGTTTGTCGAAGACCCGGAAGCAGTGAGTCGATCCTTTTTGTTGTTCTCGCGTCCGTTGCAAAATTGTTCCATGATCGGCGCAAACGAATTCGACATCGCCAGCGCTCGTGCATATCGAATACGATCATTTTCGATCGTTCCGGATACACACACAAAGCACGCACGCACACGCACACGATCAGCGATTCGGTTTCTTTGCGCGATTGGGAGCGAACATACACTTGCAAATCAAACATGCGAAGTCCAGTGTGAGCAAATCACTAATTGTTTCTTTTTAGCCGCGGCCATGTGTCCGCTGGTTACGGTCGTATCGGCAAGCACCGCAAGTCTCCCGGTGGTCGTGGTATGGCCGGTGGTCAGCACCACCACCGTACCAACTTGGACAAGTTCCACCCCGGTTACTTCGGTAAGGTCGGTATGCGTTACTTCCACAAGACTCAGCAGAAGTTCTGGAAGCCCACCATCAACCTCGACAAGGTACGTCAATCAGAGACAGGAGTCAACCAGCCGTTTCAGTGGGGGTGAATGCCAGTGTATGGAACGACCAATCGACATATGCGGGCAGTTGGTATAGGGGGTTCGACGCTTGGAACTATTACGATGCAACACTTCTACGAACCGATTGGGAGCAAGAGGCGGGAAAGAGATTCTGGTCGACTGAATGGCAATCACGAAATGGGTCAAATGCGCGACTTGGATACAAAATGGACCGGCTGGGTGGACTTGAGAGAAGACTCGTTGGTTGTGACTTATCGCTGATTGATCCTTTCTCCCCCGGAAATAGCTCTGGACTCTCGTCCCTGCCGAGAAGCGTGATGCCTACCTGAGCGGCGAGAAGACCGACACCGCCCCCGTCATCGACCTCCTGCCCCTCGGCTACTCCAAGGTCCTCGGCAAGGGCCGTCTCCCCCAGATCCCCATCGTCGTCCGTGCCCGCTACTTCAGCCGCGACGCCGAGCAGAAGATCAAGGAGGCTGGTGGTGTTGTTGAGCTTGTCGCATAAGCGTTGAATCAAATGGTTGAATTTTCTTTTTTTTCTTTCCAACGAAGGCAGACAGGCGGGAGTAAATCAGGGCACAGCGTAGCTCATTGGATTGTGGTCTGCGCTTCGGTCTTGTGGAGGAATCTACCATTTTTTTTCAACGTCTCAAAAAACTCCTGTCGGAGGAGGAGAGACGAGAGAAAATATTGTTCTTTAAAAAAGAAGACCGCCACGAGTCCGAGATGGTCGGTGCCGGGGCGTTTTCAAAAGGAAGAAGGGTTTTTGTGTATGCAAAGCAGCATAGCATGGCCTCCGAATGCCCTTTACGATTTTCACATAAATACCACACGGAGGATTTTTTTCAAAAGTTTCCCCATGCTTTCGATGGAGTGTTCTTTGTTGCTGCGCGAGTCTTCGAGCTATTTTGAGTGTAGTGGATGTAGATATATTCTGGAGTTGAGAATTTGTACGTGATGCACTGGTGGGCTGTCATGTTAGCAAGTTCACTACGCTGCGTTGTATCTGCTATCTATTGCTGGGTTTGAGACTCTGAATATCAGTTTGAGCTACTGTTTTCATTTGGCAGATTATCATCCTTGAGAATCAACTTGATAATCCCAGAATGGACACCTTCCAAGCAATCGCTCTATCATTGGCGATACAAGATTTTTAGGCAAATTTATAACAATCGTTCACATGCAAAGCCAAATCCACGCTCCTTGCAACTGCAGCTCATCCAATTCAAATCTTCGACTCCCGCACCGAACCTCGACGGTTTTTACTCCCCGAACTCGAGGCCAGCGTCTCACTCACAAATCGAACCGCCTCATCAACCATCTTCGGCGTAACCTCATGACCCGCAGACTCATCAATGATATCCTCAAATGTCACACCGCCATCACCAAACCACCCATCAGCAGCAACCGCCTTCTTGAACCAAGTCAAGAAAGCTTCTCCTCGATGATAAGGGACCAGCTTATCAATACCACCGGACAGGTTCAAGATGCGTTTTCCAGTCAACAAGCGCGTCAACAGCGGTTTCAACTCCTTCTTCTGCTCTTCTGTCGGCTCAGGTAAGGCTTTTCCACCCTCACGCGGGAGACCCGTAGAAGTCCCGTCCATGCAGGTCAGCATCAAGCTGGCAGGGTCGTAGCGCTTAACAATGTCTACAAAGGGTGTCGGGAAGGCTTCGGAGCCGAGGATCTCCGCGCCGGGAGGGTCGCTCTTTGTCCATGATGGTAGTTTGGATAATCGGGCTCGGTCGACCATGAGATTGAGATAATCGGGACATCCGATGATGACGACGCCCGCACTCACACGGGGTTCATGAAGAAGACAGCTCCAGGCAGCGTGTCCGCCCAGGGACACGCCTAGTACTAGATTCTCGGTGATCTGGTGTTCGCCGTTGGGAAAGATAAAGGCGGCAAGGTAGTCCATGAGCAGGGAGGTATCACGTGCAGTGCCCTCTGGAATAAACAAGAGTATCGTGACTATCGTCAGCATGGTTTTCCTTTCCGCATATTGCCATACCTCCAAGGTATTGCAATACTCTCGATTTTAGAGCTTGCGAACACAACAAGATCCATCCACTTACGGAAAATAGCAAACATATCCTGCGCGTGTCGAGGATTCCCCTGCCTCCACGCCTCATTCGCCAATGGATCCACCATTCTCGCACCATGATTGCGCTGATCAAACGACACCGCGATGAGTCCCTTTGCCGCCGCTGGGGTCTGGATCTTGCTATTCCAATCATGGATCGTGGCCTCTGCTATCCCAGTCATGCGCGCCTGGGTAGCAAGACGCGGGTGGAGAAGCCATAAGCAGGCAACACTGCTGGTTTGTGAACGGAGCTCGTCGAGACCGTACACCGTGACTGAGATGCCGGCGATGTTGTACACTTTTTGCGACAACGCAGTGGGTTGGGGCCGACCGGCGACGTCGTATGATTTCAATGGGTCTGTCATGGCGAAGAGAATGGGGCAGCAGAAGTGGAAGCGGCAGCGTCAATTGTGTCTGGAGGAGTTGTCCCTTCGAGAAGAAAGGTAAATCGGGTTGTGAGAGTCGACTTGTAGTGTGAGGTTGTACCTACTTCTCCGAGGTTCTCCGTGGACTTGCGGTACTTATGGTGGGGAAGTTCCAGAAGGTGCCCGCTCTGGCTCGGATAACGCAGAGATGCCGAGGCGACTGGATCTACAGGATGCTGCCGCAGAGGCGCATACTGCTTTATCAAGGGTCGGCACTTGGCTATTCTCACCATTCCAATAGAATATAGTTATATAATTCAGTTGATATTTGGCATTTACCACAGACTGCCTATGGGTCTTCTACATGTCCAAAATATATGGAAATACTGGAACTACGCGGGGGGCAGGTGACTGACTAGAAGAAGGTTTGGGCATTCGGCGAGCAGTGATATATCTTCAGGCAACATCGAAGGACCCAGTATCTGCAACCCTGCAGAAATCTTGAAATCAACATCAAAGACGAGAATACATGGATATTCCATTGGGCAGGTACTCTATGTACCAGTAATAAGACCAACGACAAGTACCTATTTTCAAGCGTCAATGTTTAGGTGGTATATTTGACCAGGATTGCCTGCAAAAACAAGGTATTTTCTATGCGTATATTCGGCATTTGTTCCCGAGTCAGTCGCAGCGACCCCGCACCAATTGTGTGACCACTCAGTGGTCAACTGATGGAATGCTACCCGTAGAATAGATATGTTTAATTAGAGGGTCGGAGTCTCTATACAGCTGCCTAAGTATGAGGAAATTGTTTCCTCTTACTGGATATTTCTTACCTACGCCTCGCCCCAGACCATTCTGCTCTTACAACAGTGGGAAGGAAAGATGATCTTCCACTTTAACATAGACATCAAGTAAATCGAGCTGCCTCCGCTTGGAGACACTCCCATGTAGTAAAACTATCACCAATGTACGTTAGCCGCCGTAGCGCGGACTCGGTTCCCACCATCACCCCAACATGTCTGTGGGACGAAAGCACATGACTTCCAAAGTTCTATTGTTCCAGAACAAGGAACTCTGTACCTTGCAAATGTTTTTTTCTCTATTTTGATGCCAGAGTAGTTATTTGCAGATCTTGCATTGACCTGACCCTTTTTTTTTCATTTTTTTTGTTTCCAGTTTTTTGGGCTACATATGTCCTCGATGGAAGATCGACCCCTTTCACAATTATTGATACAGAAAAGAAATCTCAGCCAACACCACTGGCCAATTTTCAACCGAGCTGCAAAAAAGAACAATTCCCCTTTTTTAAAAGATGCGCAGCTAAAAATTGCTGGGAATACCGTATACGATACAATACCCAATCGTCACCCACTTCTTGGCTGGCTTGGCGGGTCTTCTCCAGTCGGAGAGTGTGAAAAGAGCGGAGACGCTCCACTGCGGTCGCAACTTACTCAACTAAGCTCAAATCAACTTACCAGAGATAATTACCAACTCACCCCCGAGCGGAACTCCTGAAGCGCCGAGACACGTGCGGGCAATGTCCTTTTCACCTCTTGTTCAAATCATCTCTGACAATATGCTGCGCCTGCAAGTCTAGAATGACAGCCAGGTAGACAATTCGACTTGGATTTTCCCCGGGCAGTTATTGATTCCCACATGTACGTATTGCCCTTTTCTCTGAAAACTTGGTCTACCAACTTCCCCTTGAACCACGGCTAACGACGATTTCGCAAGCTTCAGCATGGCCGACGCTCAAATACCGCCGTCCCACGAGCAGACCGCGGACGGCGGAGCGCAAAGCGAGAAGAGCTTAAAGTCCGAGACAGGCCTCGCATCCGGCGGCCCAAAGCTGGCTTCGTCCTTTCCCTCCCCTACCGATTCCTCCCGACTCGCTTTTCTCAAACAGCATCCGCCGGCGGATGTCGTCCAGACCGGCGCGAACCAGACTGGAGAAGAGATGCGGTCATCGGGAGGAGCTGTCGACCCGAACGAAGAGGCCCAACCTTTGACCCCGGGCTTCAACTCGCTCCCGAGCAATCATCCCTCCCCTCGAAGTCGGCAGCCAAACAATGACAGAGCCTCGTCGGTGACCCGCAATACTCATCAGCCCTCGCTGGGCGGACTGTCGCCGTCATCTCGTACGCCGAGTGTCCAGTTCCGCGACACCGACAATGAAGCCCCTGACGCACATACCCCACAGGGTCCGTCCCGACCCTCTTCGGTGCATGGAGACGATGGAGAGCAACCACGGGGCAGATCATTCATGACAAGACTCAAGTCTCTAGCCGGATCTCAGCCGTTTACATCCCATTCACGGTCCGCCAGCGGAGCGACCATTGGGGATGTGAGACCGGTACAACAATCAGACTTGATCACACCGGGCTCGGAGCGTGGTGAATTCCGCTTCCCGGAAACGCTGACTGAGGAAGGGAGCGATGTGGATGCCGATGCAGAGGAAAGTGGAGGCGAGCAGCAGTCTGGACGCCCAAGACGGAAAAGATATCTACGTCGTCGTCGACAGACGGACGAGGAGACTGGAAATCGAACCGCGCCCACGACGCCCAGAGCGACCCGCCGGCCTTCCTTCCACTTTTCGTCCTCATTCGCGCCTTTCGAAAACTACCGGACCAACCTCTTTCCTCGCAGAGCCAGCACGAATGATTTCATCCCCCAACCTCGCGAAGGTGTATCCGAGGACGAGGGTCGTGCCCAGCTGAGTAGGCGCAAAATGACCAGCCGCGGATTCTCGTACATGGGCCGACACCAAAATAATGGTACCAACAATGGGACACAGGATGAGAGTTATCGGCCCAGCCAACTGAGACGCATGACTGGGTTAGGGGGTCCTTCAGACAACAATGAGAGTTTGACAGCGACGTGGAGACGTCATCGAAATGAACGAGGCACCAGTGCGAGTGCCCAGCGTTGGAGACAGATCAAAGCTGGTCTTAAACTGATCGGTCAACGACGCAGGCCCGAGAACGCCGTCGATACCAAAAAGTCCGCAGAACTACTAGCAGAGCTTTCGTCTGCAGTGCCTGCTGCCTTGATTTTGGCCAGCGCGTTTCAACGGGACGAACACGGAAGCAAACGGATCCCAATTCTTCTCGAGCAACTCAAAGTCCGTGTTACGGACAGCCGGATCGACTCCCACTCAGGTGATCGTCATTTGGTCTTCCGCATTGAACTGGAGTATGGAAGCGGCATGACACGCATGAAGTGGATTATTTTCCGAACATTGAGAGATTTCGCCAACTTGCATCTCAAATACAAGCTTCATCTGGGAACGCAAAAATACATCCAATTACGAACAAGCGAGAACAGTCCAAGCCTCCCGCGTTTCCCACGAAGTGCCTTCCCGTACATGCGCGGAGTTCGTGGATTGGAAAGCGAATTCGAAGACGAAGAGGAAGACGGAGCATATGAGACTGAGGCCCCTAGTGGGACTGAAAGAACTCCCAAGAAGAAGGGCAAGGGCCCGCAGACCCCGCGCAGACCGTCGCAGGGTCTTTTGCGAAGGATGTCTAGCATTGTCAACCAAGAAGGAGGCGAACCGGGTGCTGGTGCTTCGTCGACACTTGACGGAGCTGGAGGGCGGCGGGAAACGTATCCTGAAAGGCAACGGAAGAAGCTCGAGTTGTACCTACAAAAGATGATTAGATTCCTGATCTTCCGTGCGGATAGTAATCGTCTTTGCAAGTTCCTTGAGCTCTCCGCGCTTGGCGTGCGTCTCGCAGCTGAAGGCAGCTACCATGGCAAAGAGGGATTCCTCATCATTCAATCCTCCAAGGGTCTTGATTTCCGTCGCGCTCTTACGCCGGCACTCATCAAGAAACGACACTCGCCCAAGTGGTTCCTTGTCCGCCACAGCTACGTGGTGTGTGTCGATTCACCCGAAGAGATGAATATTTACGATGTCTTCTTGATCGACGCGCATTTCAAGATGCAAACGCAGAAGATGAGTCTGCGGAATCAAAAGGCGAAGGATCTGGCAAAGTCAGCCAAAGAGTCGGCGCGGCATCCTCAGCACCACACCCTTCGACTTCAAAATTCCGAACGCAAGCTGAAATTGCTGGCTCGGAATGAACGCCAACTGCTGCAATTCGAGGAATCAATTCGATTCATGGCGGAGAATACACCGTGGATGCAGCCGAATCGATTCGACAGTTTTGCTCCGGTGCGTCAAAAGTGCTTTGCGCAATGGCTGGTCGATGGTCGAGACCACATGTGGGTGGTGTCGAGAGCCATCAACCAGGCGAAGGATGTTATTTACATTCACGACTGGTGGCTGAGCCCAGAGCTGTACATGCGTCGTCCCGCGGCCATCAGCCAAAAGTGGCGTCTGGACCGTCTGCTACAGAAGAAAGCTCGGGAGGGCGTCAAGGTCTTTGTGATCATGTACCGCAACATCAACTCTGCGATTCCAATCGACTCAGAATATTCCAAATTTTCGCTCCTCGAACTTCACCCAAACATCTTTGTCCAAAGATCTCCCAACCAGTTCCGCCAGAACACGTTCTTCTGGGCGCACCACGAAAAACTTTGCCTTATCGACCACACTCTGGCTTTCGTGGGAGGGATTGATCTGTGTTTCGGCCGCTGGGACACGCCTCAGCATTCTCTGACTGATGACAAGCCTACTGGCTTTGAAACCACGGAAATGCCCAAAGATGCCGACCACTGCCAGCTGTGGCCTGGAAAGGATTACTCTAACCCTCGCATCCAAGATTTCTACGACCTCGACAAGCCTTACGAGGAGATGTACGATCGTTCTGTGGTACCTCGTATGCCCTGGCATGATATTTCCATGCACGTCGTTGGGCAGCCGGCGCGAGATTTGACGCGTCACTTTGTACAGCGTTGGAACTACATTCTCCGCCAACGAAAGCCGACTCGACCGACACCCTTCCTTCTTCCTCCCCCGGATTTCAATCCGGCTGACCTGGAAGCCCTGGGTCTGGATGGAACTTGCGAGGTTCAGATTCTCCGTTCCAGCAGCATGTGGTCCACAGGTACACCCGACGTCACTGAGCACAGTATCATGAATGCCTACGTCAAGATGATTGAAGAATCTGAGCACTTTGTCTATATTGAGAATCAGTTCTTCATTAGTACATGCGAGATTGACGGCAGAAAGATTGAGAATCTGATTGGCGACGCTCTGGTGGAGAGAATTGTTCGCGCGGCCAAGAATGAGGAGGCCTGGCGTGCGGTGATCGTGATTCCGCTGATTCCTGGTTTCCAGAACACCGTGGATAGCGAGGGCGGTACTAGTGTGCGTCTGATCATGCAATGCCAGTACCGTAGTATCTGCCGCGGCGACACTTCGATCTTCGGACGCCTCCGCGCGCTAGGCATTGAGCCCGAGGACTACATTCAATTCTTCAGTCTGCGAACATGGGGCAAGATCGGCTCGCAGAAGCAATTGGTGACTGAGCAACTGTACATTCACGCCAAGTGTATGGTTGTGGATGATCGTGCTGCTATTATTGGATCTGCGAACATCAACGAACGTTCGATGCTGGGATCGCGTGATTCAGAAGTCGCCGCCATCGTCCGAGACACTGATATGATTTCGTCCACCATGGCTGGCAAGCCGTATCTTGTTGGTCGATTCCCGCACACCCTGCGTATGCGGTTGATGCGAGAGCATATTGGTATTGATGTGGACGAGCTTTTGGAGCATGACATTTCCACCGAGGAGGAACTCCGCAAGATTCAGGTCGCCGAAGAAGGCCCACAGCCGGCCCAGCGCCGAGAGCGTCGCGAATCCGAGTCGTCCATTATTGAACGACAGGATGAGCGAGAAATGATGGAGCGTCGTCACCGTGTACAAGATGAGTTCCTCTCGCGATCGGAGAATATGCACAGCTTCAACCATGACGTCGACTGGGAGCAGGGCAAGAATCCCAATCTCAAGAGCAACCGACGTCTCACTGCAGACCCACGTGTGACCGATAACCAAAGCCATCAGAAGGATGTCGATGGCGAAGGCGTTGATCACCTGACGGAGGCGCAGAAGGCTGGATTGGGAGTGGCTCGTGATTCTCAGATGACCCCGGATGGCAAGGAATACCTGGTCTCGCCTATTGCCTCTGAAGGCAGGGGTACTCTTGAGCAACCGAAGCGTGTTTCCCAGCGAAAGCCCTCGCAGGCCACATCCACCAGCAATGGTGGGAAGCCTAGCGTGACATTTGACACGAGTCGCGATTCAGACCCGAGCACCAACTCGGAAACTCTGGGTCAGCGACATGCCACATCTGACCCTCTCAGCCGCGAAACCTGTGTTGGGTCCGGGGGTGGCTTGGGCGTGAGCAAGGAGACGCAGGAAGACTCTGCATATGGGGACCCTCATATTCCCGAGCTGAAGCGCATCTTTGTCGACAAGGACTGCATGCGAGATCCTGTCAACGATGCCTTTTATTTGGATACGTGGCAAGCCCTGGCGGAAAAGAACACCAAGATCTACCGCTCTGTATTCCGATGCATGCCCGACAGCGAGGTCAAGAGCTGGAAGGAATACAAGGAGTACGCTGCGTATGGCGAGCGTTTTGCAGAGATGCAGAGCCAGTCAGCGGGTAAGCCTGGTGCCGCGGCCTCCTCCGCCACGCAGAAACCGAACGGTGTTTCCAGTGTCGAAGGCCAAGCGAACGGCTCAACTTCGCCTCTCACTAGTGTCAAGTCCGAAGGCTTTGGCAGTGAACTCAAGAGTGGGGGTGGCCCAACTGTCGACGAGAAGATTGGACTATCCAAGGCCGCCACCGAGCCGGCTGAGCTTGTCGTTTCACCAGGGACGGAGACCATGTCCCCCACAGACGAGAAACCATCGAAGGTGACAACCGAGCCTCAAATACCCAACCCTGCCACCAACGAGGATGGCCGTACCGCCGAAGACTCGGAGAAACCCCGTACCAACTCGGGTCCTGTCGATTACTCCGAGGCTATCAACTTGAACTCGGCTTCGCAGTCTCGCCGACGTCGACGACGCGCCACCACTATTGGATCCAAGGGCGGCATTCATGCGTCAGAAGATGTGTTGGATAAAACACGAGCGGAAGATCTTTTGAACAAGGTTCAAGGTCATTTGATCATGTGGCCTTACGACTGGTATGTCGATGCTGTGCTAGGCTTTCCCCCCCTCAACAAATGCTCGGAAGTGATTGCTAACCCTTGGGGGGTTTTTTCTCCACCAACATTAGGCTTGAGAAGGAAGAACAAGGTGGAAACTGGCTATACGCTCTGGACCAAATCTCGCCTTTGGAAATTTAGTAAGTTGCGACTCTCATTTTCGGGCTGTGCTTATTGATGATGGCTAACGCTCTTTCGCAGCAATTAATCTTCTTGTAAACAATCATATCCGCCTGCTCATCGGATACCCATTTCCCTTACCCATTACCCAATTTTCCCACAGATAATGCGTACAAGCAAATTGGCATGCTCTTTGTGTTGGTTTCTAGGCCCCCCTCTCCATGTAATCCGCCAGGGGTACCCGGTCATATTTTCACCAAGTGCATTTTTCTCCACGACATAGTTCCTGCGAGCTCCTTCTTACTATCAGCCCATTACAATGTTTGAATTTTCTTCTCGTTCGATTTTGCATCGTAATCGCGGTATCAGCTCACGTGTTTGTCCGGGCGTTGGTATTCTTTCTGTAGTCTGTAGTCTGTGCTCTGTACTCTGTACTGTGACAGCATCATATCTGTGTAGACTTCGGACCGACAACAATATTTCACAATCTTATCGATTGAACGTTTTGAAATCAAGTTACTTGCGTAGATACCTACGTTGCAGGGGAATTAGAAAGGCAGGAGATGGTTGGGCTGTTGGGCTGTGGGGGTGGTGCTGGTGCTGGGGTGTTGGATATTTCATGGTGGTGACTGCTGACTGCTTTATACTTGTGGTGATAGTCAGACTGTGTTGTTTGTTAGCTTTGGAGTTACTGAGTTGTGACTTTGTGGTTTGGACAACTGTAGATGTAGTCTGTAGACTGTAGGCTGTAGGCTGTACATGGGTATCGTGTCGTAGATGATGGTATAGTACAAAGAGAGAGAGAGAGAGAGAGAGAGAGAGAGAGAGAGAGAGAAAGCGATCCGCCCAAAGAAAGGAGAGTGAGACAGAGAGGAAAAGAGAACCAATTCATATACTCATCTCCATCTCCATCCCCATCCACATTTCCATCCCCATCTCACCGAACAATTCTCCCCCTCATCGTCTCAAACCCATCAAACTTCGCCCGCAAGGCCGTTCCCAAGATCGTCCGGGTCGCCGTACCAACGATCCTCCCATTCCCACCCTCAGCCACAACTCCCCTCCCGATCTCGAGCAATCCTAATCCCAGTCCCAATCCCAATCCCAATCCAGAGCGCAGTTCCCCACCGAACTTTCCAAGCCAGGATCGAGATGGAGATCCAGATCCAGATTCACTGGATCCCACCCCCACGCCCAAGCCTTTTTCCTCCCCCTCCCACGTATCACAGCCCAAGCCCTTTTTCCTTCCCCTCCCACGTATCACAGCCCATTCGCAACTGGTCATACGCCGTCGCAAAGACGTTCTGAATCTGGGACGTGCGCGCACAGGACCGTCCAAGATCATTCATGAAGTGCGTTGGATCTTGGACGCAGAGTCGTTGAGTTGCGGGGATGTTGCCGCGGGTGGCGGCCGTGCGTTTTGTAGAGAGGAGGGATCGTTGGCCGCGGAGAGCGGCGGCGTAGTCTTGGTATTGATTCTTGGTTGAGGCTGGGGCTGGAGTCGGGTTCGATGATTGGGAAGGAGGAGATTGTGGAGAAGGAGGAGGAGGAGGAGGAGGAGGAGTGTTTTGAGCGTTGAAAAACCGGGGCGGATCCACTGCCACGCCGGTGGTTTTGAAATCGATTTGTTTGCCATATAATTTGAGGAATGCGAGGAATTGATCGCCTAGACGGTGGGGACCGGGGAATTGACCGTGATTAAGTTTGCTGAATGCGACGAGAAGCATGAGGAGGGCGCCCGGGCTGATTCCTGTGCCCGTGCCCGGTGCAGTAGGCTTGTTGCCATCAGGTTGGGATCCAATTAATCCGTGGGCCTCGAGGAGGGTACGTGCGCTGGTGTATAGTGGTGCTAGAGATGGATATTCGACGAGATAGTCTTGAATATACTCGGTTAGGGCTGGAATGCCCTCTCCGCAATGGAATTGTAACAGTAGGCCCGTGGGACGATGACGAGCTCTCAGGACAAGACCGGATGAGTGTGATAAGTGGATCAGATCTGGACTGCGATCCTTCGTTACAGGGGGCGATGAAGATTGGTATTGAAAATCGGCGGTATCTCGCAACTTTTCCTCCACCCGCCGGAGTAACGCTAGATGCGCGTCCCGGATCTGTGGGCGATGTGGACTCGGCCGGCGAGTTCGATCCGGTGATCGGGATTCATCTTTGACGGGAAGGAGGAAGTCGAGATTGGAATGCGCCAGCGCTAGACCTGTGCGACGAGAGCCGAAGAGAAGAGGGGGCGACGGCACAACCGTCTCTAGTAATGAGCTGATTTCGCGACTGAGACGGGTAATTGTGTCTTGCTCTTCTGGGGTTGGTTTCATGTAGTGGTGCAAGGCGAGAATCTCTGCGTTCAGATATGTTGAAGCATCGCGGTATATGCTTGCTCCAGTCGTCTCTTCTGTCGTCGGAAGATATTTCAACCATGGTGCTTGGCTAAGATCGCTCGGATCTTTTGCTCCTATTGATCGAATAGCAGGAGCATGACCTGGAGACAATAATGGCAACGTGGCTTCCGCTTTGGAATTCGGCACTTGTGACCGCGATCGTGGGGACCGCTTTGAAGATGGTGCGGTGGTCTGGTCGGCCGAGGCTTCTTGGGAGATACGTGCGGGTGGTGACTCCAATTGAAGAGGGGATGGCGGCTGATATCCTGCGCGGTTCTCGGGCGGGATATACGGTCTGAAGAGTCCGGGGGGGTCCTGTCGAGAGTAGACTTTGCGGATCAGGCGGGCACGATTGGAGGCGCGATGAGCCTCCAAGGTCTTGCGCAGACTGTTGGTGTGGATATCTTCATTTTGGGTAGGAGGCGATTGAGCCTGAGTGCGACGGGTAATTTTTGAGGAGAGGCGAGCAGGTTGTCGTGGTGCTAGTCGCATCGCCGGTGGATGTGGTGAGGCGATCAGACAATGGGTGGGGAAGAGTGAGGCAGATAGAAAGAGAGAGAGAGAGAGAGAGAGAGAGACGAGGATGAAGGACGTGTATGACGGAGATTCAATGTCGATGTATGTCTATCGCTTTGGACGGCGGGTTGCACAAGAAGGGGAAAAAAGCTGGAGTCTGATAAGAATATCGATAAGGATAGCGGCTGTGATGCTGATAAGGACCAGGACACACAATTTGGAGAACCTTACTGGGGTTTGCACGGGCAGCCTGGCCCCGACCCACTTGTTGTTTGTCCACCAATGACAAGGGACCCTTCTACTGCTGCGATGATCATAAGGGATGTCACTGGCTACGCTAGTCCCGGTATGGAAAGAGGGGGCTGATCCCCGAATAAAGTTGGTGCTAGTCAGGTGATAAGCTTGTTGCCCGAGGCTGCCTGAGGCTGACAGGCTGAGGCATGCCGATCTCACCGGGAACGGGTCCTGTTCGTTCTTGGCACGTCACTCGATTGATCTGCGAGAATTCAACTGGACGTTGGCCCACGTAGCTGGTTTTGGGACGGCGTGAAATCAGGGACGGCGCGCCCAAATTGATTATCTGGTAATGACTTCAGTGCATGGTCATTATGGGAGCTCGAGGGCCGAGACGGGGGTGACCCAGAAGAGAGGAAGAGTGTTGTTCAAGGGCTTAGCAGAGCCTTCAGCCTAGTGCCCCTGTCTAGTATCTACTGTAATGTCTACTGTAGTGTCTACTACTGTCTACTGTGCTAGTAGTCGTTGTTTTTCTGGTCTAGTACTGCGAGACCCCAAGTGTCTTGGTCGCGCATGGTCTTTTAATTTGTTGCGGTTCACGCATTACCACATCTTCTGTATCTGTATGGCTGATGCAGGGATTGGGGGGGTCAGTCGCTCACTCTCTACAGAGCTGACATTTCAAAGGAGTTCAGCGGACAAGAACTTACGATTGCACCCCTGAACTACGAGGTAATAGGTATTGGGCTCCTCCTAAAGATCAGACTATGGGTCCATGGCTGAATATCGATCCGACAACACAGCCAAGAAGAACCGCGAGACTATCCACGCCGAAAGACGCTATTGAGTCTTAGAAACCGCCCGCGCCGGACCGGTTCGACGAGGTTCGAGGTCCACCCAGCCTCCAGCGCTCTCCAGCTGGGGGACACTCTATGTTTAGGAACAGAGTCGCCGAGTGAGTGTCCGTATATAAGACACGGGACTGGGGGGGGGGCACGACCGTCCTGTCCAGGATTTAAAGGAGAAGGATCTAGGTCCACTGAGCACTGAAAAGTATGACCTTATGCTCGAGGATGGGTCGAGGCGGTGATAACAGATTGATCTATAGCTGGATGACAGTCATCCTCCCGCATTTCTCTTTCTGCGAGGTAGCCCACGGAGTCCACGAGTGATATATGTCCCAGCACTATGACCGTCGAGGCAGGGGGGAATCTAGAACACGCCCTCCGACGAGATGCCACGATAGGTGCATTGAGTGACTTCAATGGTGTTAGTAGCTACTGCTAGTAGTTACGTACGAACTATAAGTTACCTACTACAGGGTTGACACTGGAAAATATGGGTGTTCAGTTGTACATTGCTCCATATCTTCTCCGATGATCACCTGGTCCGTCTAGAATCTTCGAGTCGTCCCGTTTTCCACGTCGACTCGGCCTCGTTCCCTCTTCACCGTTTCCCCCCACTTCGTTTTCGGCGTGTCTGCCACCCTATCAACTACTTCCCTCGAATCGCCCCTCCGATGGGCCCTGGATGAGCCTGGAATCAGGGGCAACTGCAGACCCGAAATCACCAGCATGACGTAGATCTGAAGACATGGGCTCCAGCCATCTCAGGACCCTCCTCCCGCCTCCATCAGCTCTCAGGGTACTAGAGGTGGCCCCCGGTGACGAACCAACGAGCCACCCTGGCAGAGAAGAAAAGAGGAACAAGCCTGGGAGCCCACTCCGTGGTAAACAAAACCACTGGCAGGGAGGCACAAAGAGAGAGAGAGAGAGAGAGAGAGCGCGCGAGAGAGAGAGAGAGAGCGCGCAACAGAGCAAAGCAAAAAGATTTCCTGTTTCGGCATGGCGCTCTGATTCACCGCTTGCCCCTCCAACGGTCCAACCGCCTTTCTGGCATCTCCCCTCGTTTCATTTACGGACAAAAGAACCTGTTCTGGACTCTGCCATGAGATCCTGTCGCAGAAGTATTGGGTCACTTTCCTAAAACACTCAACGCCAATTCTTTTCTCTTCTCATCTACTCTTCTGCCACCCCGTTCTCCTCCCAACCCGCTGTCTCGAAACTGGGACTGGCCTCATTCCTCTGCCATATTACCCGGTGCAATCGTTCACGAAGAGTTCGCGCGCCCATAGTTCCGCTTCCAGTGTCGATCCAACCCCTCGACGCCCGTGCTCCTCCTCCTCCCTCCCCCCCCAAAACACCCCTCCGTCTTCCTCCGAGGTATGCTACAAAAAACGTTCAGTGTGCATGATTTTCCCCAAATGCCACTGAATGTACCTCGAAAAACCAGAAACCCAATCTTCATTCTGAAGGAGGCAACCCGCGAGGCGTAGATCGCTGAGAATTCCCCAGACTAACCGTCGATCCCGAGGACCCTCGTTCCAGGTAAATCGCCTCCGGAAGTAACGTACGACAGAAAGTGAACCACCCGTCCTGCATCGCCAGATCTCTCACCCGAAACTCCCACCCCAGCAATTACTACGAAAGCATGTCCGATGAAGGGAACTCGGCCCATGTGCCGGACGGGCAACCAGACCCCGTCATTGTCGGACCGGGTCTGAAGGCATTCAAAGAAGAAGCTTACCAGGAAGCCACCAATGCGACTCCCAGCTTGCCGGCCGATAAGAAGAACCCGACCGATGATGATGCACCCTCTTACTTTGCCAACATCCCCGGCGTCAAGGCCGAGGCCCTCGACACAACCCAGACACGGTCGCAACCCCGAAGGAGAAAGATGTCTTCGGGAGAGGAACTCTTGCGACGACTGAGTCTCACGGGCGACGCATCGCCCATCCTACCGGAGCTGGATCCCCGTTCACAACATCCGGGGTTGAAATTGAGCGGCCGATTGATCAGTGCCGCCTTCTGCATCCCTTACAAAGTCCAACATAAGGCGGGCTCCGATTGGGTACGTGGGTGACTGTCACATGAAGATACGACAAGAAGAAGAAGACCCAAAGACATAAAGCTTCGCGTATGCTAACAATTCGGTCTGCGTGGATGACAGGAGCTCAAACCGCGGTCCGGAACATCGGCCCTCTTCGACTCTTTCAAACATCTGGCCTCAAAGGAGACCCAATGGTCCCACACTTTAGTCGGATGGACGGGAGAGGTCGAGCCCATCCTGGACACGAAAATCCCTCTTCAGCAAGCCGTCGCAAACGCCGCCGCGAAGCTCCCCACCAATGCTACGGCCGCGGGTCCCATGGGCATCAACAAGGCGGCGGCCCCGATCCCCGTCAACGTCAGCCAACATCCTCCGTCCAACCCGCTGATCGATGGCATCAGCGTGGAGAAAGCGGAGCGGGAGCGACTGGATCAGCAGTTGGCCTCAAGTCAGTACGGCCGCATCCTGCCGGTCTGGCTCTCTGACGAGTCCGAGGAGCCTCATGATAGCATTCTCCTCAAAGACCAAGGCCGGTGGCGGAGATACGCGGAGCGGGAACTATACCCTCTTCTGCATTATAAGCAGCACGGTCCGACCGATGGACGGTCGGAGCAGCGCTGGTGGGCCGACTACACCCGCCTGAATCAACTGTTTGCGGATCGCATTGCCGCAGACTATCAGGAAGGGGACGTGGTTTGGATCCACGACTATCATCTCTTCTTGCTTCCCAGCCTGCTGCGCCAGCGTATCCCGAACATCTATATCGGCTTCTACTTGCATTCCCCGTTTCCCAGTAGTGAGTTTGTGCGCTGTCTGGCCAAGCGCAAGGAGGTTCTGACGGGCGTCTTGGGCGCCAACATGATTGGATTCCAGACCTTCTCCTATTCTCGTCACTTCTCTTCCTGCTGCACCCGTGTCTTGGGCTTCGAGTCCAATTCCGCGGGCGTGGATGCTTACGGTGCCCACGTCGCCGTGGATGTGTTCCCCATTGGCATCGACGCGCAGGCCATCCAAAAGGCCGCATTTGGAGAGCCTGGTCTGGAGAAGACGGTGGAGGGCATTCGCAAGTTGTACGCTGGAAAGAAGATCATCGTGGGTCGTGACCGTCTTGATAGTGTGCGCGGTGTCGCCCAGAAGCTGCAGGCCTTTGAGATCTTCCTGGAGAGATATCCGGAGTGGCGGGAGAAGGTCGTTCTCATTCAAGTGACGAGCCCCACCAGCGTGGAGGAAGAAAAGGAGGATCCGGAGAATAAGATCGCGGGTCAGATTGCCAACTTGGTTTCCACGATTAATGGTCGCTTCGGTTCTCTCAGCTTCTCGCCGGTTCAGTACTACCCCCAGTACCTGTCCCAGCAGGAGTACTTTGCTCTTCTGCGAGTCGCCGATGTCGGACTCATCACCACTGTGCGTGACGGCATGAACACCACGAGTCTCGAATACATTGTCTGTCAACAAAACAACCACAGCCCTCTGATTCTGTCCGAGTTCTCCGGTACCGCGGGCACTCTGCCCAGCGCCCTTCACATTAACCCCTGGGATCTGGTGGGAGTTGCGGGCGCTATTGACAAAGCCCTCAAGATGCCTGTCGACCAGCGCAAGGACCAGCATCTGAAGCTGTACAAGCATGTGATCACGAATACCATCAGCACCTGGTCGCTCATGTTCCTCCACCGCCTTCTCACCAACCTCTCCTCCTTTGACCAGTCTGTAGCCACCCCGGCTCTGGATCGTGGGAAACTGCTGAAGCAGTACCGCAAGGCGCGGAAGCGTCTGTTCATGTTCGACTACGACGGTACTCTCACCCCGATTGTGAAGGACCCCCAGGCCGCCATTCCTTCAGACCGCGTCCTGCGTACTCTGAAGACGTTGTCTGCGGATCCCCGCAACGCCGTCTGGATCATCAGTGGTCGCGATCAGGCCTTCCTGGATGAGTGGATGGGTCACTTGCCCGAACTTGGTCTAAGTGCTGAGCACGGATGCTTCATTCGCCAGCCCCGATCCGAGGACTGGGAGAACCTGGCGGAGCGAAGTGACATGGGTTGGCAAAAGGAGGTGATTGAAGTGTTCCAGCACTATACGGAGCGCACGCAGGGATCGTTTATTGAACGTAAACGGGTGGCTCTCACCTGGCACTACCGCCGAGCCGATCCGGAGTACGGTGCTTTCCAGGCTCGGGAATGTCGCAAGGCCTTGGAGGACACTGTGGCCAAGAAGTGGAACGTGGAAGTCATGGCTGGCAAGGCCAACCTGGAAGTTCGCCCTACCTTTGTCAACAAGGGCTTCATCGCCACACGGTTGGTGAATGAGTATGGATCGGAACCGGGCGATGCTCCCGAGTTTATCTTGTGCTTGGGAGATGACTTTACTGATGAAGGTATGTAACCTCATTTGAAGAGAATAGCGGTTTGAAAAAGGCCGGAAGATGTTTGACTAACCACCCCGGCTCCCTAGACATGTTCCGTGCGCTTCAAAAATTCAACCTCCCTCAAGATCACGTCTACTCGGTCACGGTGGGAGCCAGCTCCAAGCAGACGGATGCGAGCTGGCACTTGCTTGAGCCGGCTGATGTAATTGGCACTCTTCAAATGCTCAACAGCACCTCGTACCAAGATCGTTAGGACACGGTCTGGGGTCGCCATCGAATTGACCTCTCCACGGGGCTGATATCATGATCTGGCTCTGTATGTGAAAGAAGCAAGTTCGCTCTGTCAACTATTGCTCCGAATTTTTGAAAGATTTTGCTTTCTTTTTTGTGGGGCGTGTTACACTCTTGTTTTGGATGCTTCCTTTTCCCAACGTATAGCATAATGATTTTCTTCCTTTCTTCCTTTCTTCTTTATTTTCCCCTTGCTTCCAGCCATACTAGTGTTGGTTTGTATTACACCGGCTTGAATTGGATTGTTGAAATGTTTTGAGCGTCATTTGATATTAAGAGCAGTGATGTGTGTGTGTGTGTATGTGTGCGTGTCTGAATGCTAGATCTCCTACCACCGGTGTGACCCGATGTCCTGGCATTCCATGACTTCATCTTTTTTAAAAACAAAATATCGTGAACAAATTTGTTCTTCGTCCCTTTCCCACGAAGGCAAAGCTTCGCAGGAGTCCGGAGATTCTTGGTCTACAGTGAAATGAACCCGTTGTATACAGACACACCCTGACCCATTTGAACGTCTGAAACGAAGATCTAGCCCATCTTCTTCTGTCCTCGATCTCTTTGATTTCACCCTCCTCAATTTAGATCCCCGGAAACTACCTACCATATGCACCTCGAGGCGCAGGTGGAGCCGTGTATTTTCTGGTAGATGGTAGATGGTAGATGGTAGATATACGGGACTACGGGTAGCAGCTGTCGCTGTCCCTTGGGCACAAATGCGCATATACACGTAGTGACTGTGATCCAAGTCCCGTTTACGCAGTCCGTTGAGTACTTGCCCTGGCCTTGGGCATATCGAATGTAATATATGGGTGGGTCAGACAGTACACAGTATAGTACACAGTATAGTACACAGTATAGTACACAGTATAGTACACAGTATAGTACACAGTATAGTACACAGTATAGTACACAGTATAGTACACAGTATAGTACACAGTATAGTACACAGTATAGTACACAGTACAGAGTGTAGAGTGAAGAGTGTAGAGTGTAGAGTCTTGACTAGAGTTGTGTTAGTCATGATGCCGCGGGCCGCAATACCCGTTGCAGTTGGCGCTTGGCAGTGCCGCAGTGCCGCACTCCCTTTGAGGGATTGGGAGTCGAGGTGCAGGTGCAGGTGCAGGTGCAGGTGCAGGTGCAAGGTGACTTGAGATGGGGATTCGTGTAGTAGAGTAGATCACTAAGGTACAGTCAAGGAGTAACTTGGTAGAGTATTATGAAGAATGATCTTTCACTAGTATTACTACTACGATACTACCTACTACCAGTACCTGGACTAGGTAGTAGGTAGTAGGTACTGTACTCGTGGTATCAGAGTAGGATCATCAGTGATACTTGTACTGTGCTTAGGCTTTAGCTCAGGTTGTAAAGAGATTGTAAGGAGATGGTCGTGGCAGTGGTCGTGGCAGCGGTAACTGATCTGACTTTTGTTTTCGTCCATCTCGCTTCAACTCCGATGGATGACGAATAGAATACTACCGAGTCGGCGAGGACCGAGTGGTCTTTGCTTTCTACGATCATTTTAGGGTTCCTGGCTACTTTTAGATGACGATGACCTATACCCACTACCAGTACCTGGGTAGTAGTAGTAGTAGTAGTAGTAGTAGTAGTAGTAGTAGTAGTAGTAGTAGTAGTACTTCACTAGCCTACCAACTCATCACCTCAGAGTTGTCTCTTTCCCTCCGATCTCGGCCATCTCTCCGAATGTTCATCAAGACAAGTAGCCCTCTCCTACCATCAACCACCAGTAAAGTAGTCCTACTTGAGGTCCCCAAGCAAATGCCCATCGAATGTACTTCTCAAGCACGATCGGCCTTTATCCCGGACAGCCCCCCACCTCTCTCGCCTCTCACCAGTCCGATTGGCGGGTCGTGAGCGGGCTTTGGGGGTTCGGGCGTGAGAAAGCGCACGGGGGAGAAAGTGGGCTCCGGGGATGGTGTTGACTCGAAGGTGCAGCCATTCGATGACTCGCCTTTTCTCGTTGCGGAGAATATGAGGGAGTAGCTAGTCGGAGCTTACTACCTCAGGTGAGTCGTGAGTCGTGACTAATAGGAGGAGCGGCCAAGGATGTCCAATTCTGATGATCAACACACCCCGACGGAACAACCTACCATACCAACCGACCTGACTGACTGTCACTGATCCATTTCACTGACTCACCGAAACGAGTGGGAGGATCTCAATACGAACATCGCAGGAGAAGAACGGGCCGCTTTTGCCGTCTGCCATGGTTTGCAAGGAGTATAAAGGCATTTGTCATCAGGGATCAGCGGACTGTTGGGATATTTCTGGAGTCTTGAGGTGAGACGGTAGTAACACTTCAGGTCTGTACATGCTACATACTCAATACTGTATATACCACATACTGCGCTGGACCTGTGAAGAGTTTGTTCCCTCTCTGCGTTGGTCCTGTCTTCTTTCCTCGTGACTGACACTTCTTGTCTAGGATTGATTGTGGAAATTTGCTCTAGGAGCACACTTTTTTTTTGTCTTTGGGTCTTTGGCTCACTTTCTGCTCTTTCGAGAGTTTTGTCAACTTGTCGGCATTTGTTAGTAGTACTGCGATACTGATCCAGTACCCTGGTTGCTACTGCTGCTGCTATCGAGCCCAAGACAGTCATTTTCCCACGTTGGCATCCTTGATATCTCTTTGATATACCAGCTGGCCATCCGAAATCGGACCTAGGGTTCACAGTGAATGATGGAACCTTTGGAAGAAAAAACCCGTTCTCCCTACCTCGATCATCACGACCCCGGCGCTCTTGAAGCCAATCTCCCAGCACACGAGCAGCATATCTCCGGGGACGACGATGGAGATTCTTCGACGCTGGACAGCGCCGAGGTGACTTCACCCCGTCACCACACCCATCACGCCCAGAATGAAATCGCCCACATCCCCAGCAACGCTGAAAGTGTCCTGACCCGGACCCTCTCCGTGGTCCGTACACGAGAATCAGGCAAAGACCTGGGTCCTCCACCCGACGGCGGCTTCACGGCCTGGCTGCAAGCCGCCCTGGGCCACATGATCATCTTCAACACCTGGGGCTATATCAACAGCTTCGGCGTTTTCCAGACCTACTACACCGAAACGCTTCAGCGACCTCCCTCCGACATCTCCTGGGTCGGCAGTATCCAGATCTTCCTGCTCTTCTTCATCGGGACGTTTTCCGGCCGCGCCACCGATGCTGGATACTTCCGATTCACCATCACCATCGGGGCTGTCCTCGAGGTCTTTTCCATCTTCATGACCTCTCTCTGCACCCAGTACTGGCAATTATTCCTGGCGCAGGGTCTGGGCCAGGGCATCGGATGCGGACTGATGTTCGTGCCCACGCTCGCTTTGATCTCGACGTATTTCCAGAAACGGCGCGGCATCGCCATTGGCATCTGCGCGAGCGGTTCAGCCACGGGCGGCTTGGTCTTTCCCGCGGTAGTCCGACGTCTGTTACCCAGCATTGGATATGCATGGACCATGCGCACCCTGGGGTTCATCTCGCTCGCGACGCTGGTCCCGTGTCTGATTCTGCTGAAGCAGCGTCTCCCCCCGCGAACCACGGGCCCTGTTCTCGAGCTCGGCGCGTTCCGCGAACTGCCCTACCTCCTCTTTGCGGTGGGCATGTTCCTGAACTTCTGCGGCCTCTACGTCGGATTCTACTACGTCGGCAGTTTCAGCCGCGACATCATCGGCGCCACCGAGTCCATCTCCATCGACCTTCTCCTGGTGATGAACGGCGTCGGAGTCGTCGGTCGACTCGTCCCCAATCTCCTCGCCGATCAAGTCACGGGCCCGCTGAATCTTCTCATCCCATTCAGTGCGGCGACCGCCATCGTCGCCTACTGCTGGGCCGCCGTGTCGGATCTCTCGGGCCTGTGGGCGTTCGCAGCCGTCTACGGCATCTTCGCAGCGGGCATCCAGTCGCTGTTCCCCGCGACGCTGAGCACGCTGACGACCGACCTGAAGAAGATCGGCGTGCGCATGGGCATGGTGATGAGTGTGGTGGGGGTGGCGGCGCTGGTCGGGTCGCCCATTGCCGGGGCATTGGTGCAGCGTGATAAGGGGGGGTATTTGTATGCGCAGATGTTTGCGGGGAGTACCATGTTGGCGGGGATGATGACTTTGGTGGCGGCGAGATGGGTGAAGGTGGGGATGCGTGTTGTTCGTGTCTAGATCGATGGTTGAGACGGGGACAAAAATTAATAAAAATTAACGGGAAAGCGCGGGAACTTTGTAGAAGAGAAACGGCTGGTGGCCCAGATGGAGTATGTGTTGTATATCATGAATCATCCCTGCATAGCGAGATGAAACGTTTCAAATATCATGTCATGACTTGCTGATCGAGGGAATTCTACGTGGACGTGGGATCCAGATTGTTCTCTGATCCTGCAAACTCAACATCATACCCACGGCACAATAACTTATATCTACGAGCTACGAGCTACAAGCTACAAGCTACAAGCTAGTAAAACCAAACAGCCATCAACAACTTAACCCAACAGGCCCGTATCCATACTCTGGAAAAGCGTCAAAAAAGGCCGACAGGGCTCCCACGTTTGATACCTCCACTCCACCACGAGCCCGATCCATCGGCCCCTCAATCAGTCACTGGGCACTAGGTAGGTACTACTAGAGCTGGTAGGACTAGGCTGAGTAGGCTCTATGGCCATCGTATAACGCGTGGACCGTGACGAGCAACGTCTAAAACTCATGACCAGGCGTTGTCACGGACACTCCTCTCCTTGTTTGATAGTTTCTTGACGATTATAGACCTCAATCAAAAAATCTAAAATCGCAATCGTAATCGTGGGCCGGCAATTGAAAATGTCAATTCATCATATAAAATTCATCATCGTTCTTCTTGCCCCTTCCCCCTATTTCTTTCCCTTCTTGGCTTTACCCAACGCGGCCTGTCTCAACTTATCTTCTCGCTCCTTGATCAGCGCCGCCTTGGCCCTCAGCTGCTCGTCCTTCTCCTCCTTCTCCGCCAACTTTCTCAACCGCTCCGCCTCCCGCTGCTCCCGAATGACCGCCAACCGCGCCAAATCCGCCTTGGCCTCGTCCGTCTTGCCCTCTGCATGAAGCTTCAGATATCGCTCTCTCGCCTGCTGCGCCTCAATCGCCTCGCGCTCTCGACGAGACAGCTGCGACGGATCCTTGACCACCTTCTTCGCCCCCGCACCGCTAGCACCAGCACCAGCACCAGCACCAGCACCAGCACCAGACCCACTCTCAGCCGTGCTCACGGGCTTGGCAGCCTGAGATCGAGATTTCGCGCTGTGATTAGGGTTCGCAGGCAGATCGTGCTCGTCTTCTGAGGCGGACCCGTCGGAGTCGTCGCTGTCAGAGGGGGCAGGTCGCCTGGTTGCGCGGGGGCTTTGCCTCGGCGAGCGATGGCGGCTTGCTTTTTAGCCTTTGCGGCGGCGCGGCGAGCTTCGCGGCTTAAATTGTCGTTGGCGGAGTCGGTCTGCGTGGTGGAACCGGGGACACCGGCGATGGTTGTTGGGGTATTGTCGTTGTCGTTGTCGTCAGAGGAGGACTCCTCCTCAGAGTCTTCTTCCGACGAGGATTCTTCTTCGCTGGAGGAGGGGATTCCATCGTCTTTTTCCTGGATGAGGACAAAGTGTTGGACAATGTTAGTTGGGGAGGGAAATTTGAGATAATCCAAAAGTAGGTTCGTCTAGCCAGGCCTCCTGAGCGCCTCGCTCTACCGGGGTCGCAGCTTCTTCTTGTATGTTGCCTCCTCCAGGCCTTTGCAAAAGGGAACTTGGGAGAGACTGGAACGTACGCGCCAAAGACTGACGGGATTGCCATCTTTGTCCGTCGGTTGTAGATCACGACTGAACTTTTTGCCGCCTGAAGGAAACCAAGGAGAAAGTACTTGTCAGCTCGTGTCCGAATCATCTCCAAGCCCACACTGGACTCTTGGTTGCCCCCCCCCCCCCCCATCGATCAATCACATACCTCCTCGAGTCGGCTTTGAGAACTTTCCTCCACGACCGCGGGGTGCCATTTTTTTTTTGAGAGAGTATGGAGTGGAAAGAAAAAAGTAAAAAATAAAACAAGAGATAGATGGGTATTGTATGTTGCGAGTGATCAAGACAGATACAGCAGGTATCGCGCTGGGGCCGTATCCGGGTTAAACGGTGGAATCGAACAGGAAATAAGTCGGCTGCGTGCAGTTGAGCGGCAAGTTGTCTTGGTCTTGTCTGGTCTCCGAGGCTGTCACGTAGAAGAGGACAGGGTTGGGCAGTTCCAGGTGGACAATTCAATAGACGAAAGGTCGGAAAGACGCGAGTAGTGACTGTTGCCAAAACGAATACCTCCAGATTGAGTCACGATGCGAAGAGCGGAGCAAACAAACGGACTCAGGCACGCGCGATTTAACACTCGTGCCACTCGTGACTCGACACCGCAAAAGAGAAAATGGAGGGGCAAAAAGTGGGGGTGGGCTGCGATCACCATTTTAGTTCCTGAAATGGGGTCGGATTGTCAGATGCACTGCAGAGTACAGACTCAGAGTGACATCCAGAAATGGTCATGGCATTTGAAGCGTGGCGTGATGAGCAACTCTATCACTATAGGAGATCTTCAATGGAGTCATGGCCACCCAACAAATTCATGCCTTATAAATGCCTTATACCTGGTATCTGCCATTCTGGTCAAGACGGTCGCGGGGCGGTCCACAGCGCGAACTGGTCAGTTGCCCCGAGCTTGGCACGTGAGGCTGGATCGAAGGAGAGTGGACGTAGTCAACCGGGTTTACACCCAGCAGAGGCGCATCGACCAGCAGACAGATGAAGCAGGACTTGGCTGGAAAGATATACCCAACGTAACGCTTAATCAGGGCAGACAACGGACTATAAAGCAATTAGGCTCCGAGTCGAAGAACAATATCCATAGAGAGAATGTGAAAACCCAAGTAATGTTGAATCCATATACAGCCGCTACTGAGTCGCAAAAAATGCAAGCATTCATCTCGTCAAATGCAATGCCAGGTCAAAACAATGACCCGTGCCGAGAAGGATCAATGAGGATGGGGGAAAACAGATACACCAAGAAAAAAAAGATGGAAAAAAAAGGGCAAAGTCACACATAAAGTCCGGTAGAACCGAGTCCAGCCCTGCAAACCCAGTCAAGCAAAGGAGGACGAATCTGGGGAAACACATCAAGAGAAGAAAAGAGAATCGAAGGATCAGCCTTGTATGGCTTCAAGGCTTGGAGTGCGGGATACCCCAAAACAACCACTCCACACTGTGGGCTCGCATGACGACGCTCCATCCCACAATGAGACTGAGCATCCACAGGGCGGCAAAAATCGAGATGGGCAGCAACAAGAGCTCCGTGTTATGCAAGAAGGGCAATGCGTTGTATCCCAAAAAGAGGATGTAGGTGTAATAGATCAGGGCAGAGAGATAGAGCGAGTTGCCCAGAAACGTGCCCAAGAAATCACTCGGCGAGCGAGTCAGCAATGGGAGAAGGAGGAATTGCACCACATAGAGATGCAGGTAGAGGGAAAAGAATGCTCGATTGGATACGTCGAAGCAGTATCCAAATTCCAGTTGGTCCTTCTCACCCGGTTGGACAAACAGGCCCTGGGCGGCACCACGCCGACGCGCACGAAATTGGCGAACGCCCTTGAGCGAGGCAGCCGCACCATTGGGCCCGAACAGCTTCCCAATGGCAAAGTATCCGATGGTGGAGATCAGAAGCGAGGATCCGATAAAGTGGAGGAAGATGAAGTTGAATGAAAGATGCATGATGGTGCCGAAAGATGGGTAGTATGCCAGGCCCCAGGCGATGGCGGTGAGAAGGAGGAGGAAAGAGAGAAGGTATGTGAATGAGGGATCGGGGCGATGCCATGTGTTTTTCGTTTCTAGACGGAAGTGCCTGTGTTAGATCATGTCTCGGGTCTCGGGATATGAGGTCATGACAATGCGGGTGTTGCGATGCGAAGGCAGGACGAGACAGATCAAGTCAAATGCAGAGACGGAAAGAGCGCAATACTGGAGGACTCACGTTTCTAAAGATGAGGAAGTTCAAGTCAGCGTTGAGTCAGGCCAGACAAATGGGGCAAGAATCAAAATGACGGATCTTACATGGTAGTATATGGATTTGAAGACCTTCTTGGGCGCAATCACCAACGTTGTCATTTCCCAGATTGCCATTTCAAAGTCCATCTGGGGAAACTTGAAGAGTCTGGACAGTGGACACAGTATATTGTCAGCATCGCAGTTTCCGACAAGTGTATAGCATGGAAGCATCTATTTTCAGCTTCCATTCTTTCTCCCTCCCTCCCTCTCTCTCCCTCTCTCTCTCTCTCTCTCTCTCTCTCTCTCTCTCTCTCTCTCTCTCTCCCTCTCGCTGCTTACCTTTTGAAGAATCGCGGCATGCGCATGTTCGTTCCGCGGCTAGGAGTCGCCCCAAATTGGGCAGGGCCCGCATGTTGACGGGGTACAGAAATGTGTGGATTCATGCTGGGATCTTGATCCTCCTGACAGTCTAAGATCAAGATCAATCAGACTCTCAAAAGCCGGGGTATCATAAATGCTCGGGCTGGGCGTGGCTTTGGCGGCCAGATTGGAAGGGCTCCGTCCCTTCGGCGACGTGTCGGTCGGTTATGTCATCGGTCATGATCACGTGAGTAGTACAGTGGTAGTATGAGGTCGACGCTGTCGACTGCCACCTGAAGCAGCTCAGGCTTGCTATGTACTTGTGGGAGTAGTGTGTAGTGTATACTGTGTAGTGTATACTGTTCAGTAACTTCAGTGTACACATATGAAACCTTAAGAAAGAGGCAGAGAGATGGTAGATCCTATTGCATTGAGCAGAATGAGAAAGGAAGAAGTTACAACATCTCACACGACAAATGAGCTTCCCAGCTGCACGCGCTCTCAGACGATAACCAAGAAAACACGCCGGCATGACACCCTGCTCTCTGTTCAATGCGGCCAATCTCCGTTCCTGCATTTTCATTAGGGCTGATAGTCCTATTTCCTTACCTTCTTGTCACCATTCAATAGTAGGGCTTAGCTTTCCACCGTCTCAGTAGCCGCCTTTTGACTTTCCTCGGTAAAAATCCTGAGCCATGCTAGCTAGAGAAATGAATCTGCGGACGTGAAAATGACACTTGCAGACTCTGAGGAATCTATGATTCAAAGCCAAAGCAAGGCAGGTCTTGGTAACTGAGAGAGTAGATAACTCTGAATCTCGAGATGGTGTGGAGCTCGATCGTCAGTGCTAGTGGCGGGAGGACGAGTCGTGAAGCCAGTTGCCCAGGCGTACCTGAGCCTCCTCCTAAATTCCTCCCATCTTCACATTCACCGTGGGAACAACACCTGAGAGAACGAGTGCAGAGCAGGTCAGGTGGGCAGAATGTCTAATCACCTCCAAAATCGAGTCAGGGCGATAGGCAATGCCATGAGTAGTTGAGGACATGAGGAACATTATGACTCGAACGCTTCCATCTCTTGCAATTGGGGCGACTGACGATCACGAGAAATGACCAGATTAATTTTCACGGGCTCTCCACAGTCCACACCTTTGGCCATTGACCCGCCGCCAGCAGTTTGACTAGTCGATACTCAATTGACTCGATGAAGACGGTAGTGGGTAGTCGGTACAACTACTGTAGCCCTTGTCATCAAGACTGACTGATGTAGGTACAACAGCTATATAGAGAGCCGGGGCTCGAAGCAGACACGACGGTAGATGATGCATCACATTCCAGGTCCAGATGGAGATGAAAAGTACAAGATCCGTGCCACAGATGCCGACTCCCGTGTTCCGCCTAGCCATCCCCAGAGAATGGAGGATTTTACCTCAAGACCGAATTGATCCGATTGTTATCTATCAGAATACAGCAAGCGTTCAAAACTTGGTAATCTCGTGCTTTTCATCACATGATGAGTTCACCCAAGTTCCTGGTAGTTCCTGGTTCCTGCTGTTCCTCTTGGAACAACCCTCGCATAATACCAAGTTCAGCTTCAAAGTTGGGCCAGATGGGCTCCACTCCACAGGGTCCACTCAAGAAGCTCTCAACTCGCGTGGCTTTGCCTTCCTTTGCTTTCTTTTTCCTCTTCTGAACCCTCCACGAGGCCAATAAGGAGTGAAGCCATCGTCACTGAGACATGAGAGATCACAAGTCTTTCATGACCATCACGGGCGAAGATGTCAAGTATACACTAGTGATGCCCTCACAAAGATCATTCTCTGCTGCTTTCACCGTCTTCTCAACCCATGACATCAATCATGGGTGAATGGGTCTGTTATCTGCTGAACATGCGCATTGTCTCAGATCTGTAGGACCAGTCGTACGGCATATGAGCTGCATCCAAAAAATTGTCCGATTGATGTACCCTTGGACTTTGACAAATGTGCTGCATGATCAGCACCAGCAGGGATTTGCGTGTTGAGGAGGAACACACTCAGTCCACATCGACATCCAGAGATATACTGTATCTTAATTGAGTTACTATGATGCATCGAGGGTACAGGGATCATTTGCCACAGGTACCGTCCGTCTCGAGATCTACATCCCGGGATCGAAGAAATTGATCAACCTTTACGATTGATCAACTACTCCCGATCTCAACATTCATTGAGAATGACCTGCGCACACACTACACAGGTACTCAATAAGTTTACATACATTTCATCACTCCACCTTCAACACCGTATATCAAGAGACAACTCCGTACAACTACCTCCTCTCACCTCTGAAACTCCAAGCAATCAGCCGCCCCTTGTTTCAGTGTCCGCTTGGCTGCAACGACCGCCAGATTCTTCGGCTTCGGCTGGTTCATCGCTAAGCCAACGGTATATCTGCGTGTTTTCTGCAGCCACCTGCAGATGGTTCAAAAGATGAATTGGAATCCCTCGTCTACCCACCCTCGGCCCTCCATAGTTGTCCAAGCGTTTGCAATTTCGGGAATAGAGTTCCACCGTTTCCACACGTCCACAGTCCACCGTCCACAGTGACACGTCCTCGGCAGGTCAAAGCCCTCCAGTTCAGGAGTTCGTCCCGCCCCCGGGTTCCTCTGTCGGATCTCTGGTCGACTAGTCTCCTCGAGTTCGGCTTTTCTCATTCTCCACGATCCTGGCCTCCTGGCTTGAATGGTGGTGTTGCCTCCCTCGTGCTGCTGCAATTGAGTCCGATCCGGGCTTCTAATCCTTCGGCGCCCTGCTGCTCTCGGTGCGCAGTTGCTCAATCGCATTCTATGACCACGGACATGCGATGACCAACTGAGACAATACTCCCCGTCCTCCGTGCCCCATCAATTGAACGAGCGACCTTTTTCGGTGCAGGTGGCCTGGTGCTTCGCACCACGCCTCCCAGCAACACGACCCATTGGGTTGCGACTGCTTGCCAGTGACAGAGAGGTATGCATGCGACCGTGAACTGGGGATTATTTCCGCTCCTCAACCCCCTCTATATCCCTCGCGCAAATCCTCGCCAGCCGGCTCCCCTGAAGGACATCGGACATGTTGAGCCCACCGTGATCGTACCCGCTCGGAATAAACGTCGTCGAGACTGACTCTGCCTATCTCAGTGCGACCATGTCTCAGCGTGCGGTCTACCCGTCCCCCTCTCCGCCACGTACACCTCCCTCCCAAACCTCCAAGTTTCGATCCAAGCGTGCCTATCCTGCCCGTCCGTCTATCCGGGACACCTTCCCGGACGCCAGCACTCAGGGTAATGCACCCAGGGCCAGCGAGTCGGGCGACGAGCGGGACCCGCATGACTTGTCGTTGTCGCCCAAGCATGCGGCCCGGACCTCCATCGTCGATAACATGCTCTTGTCGCTAGACCAATTTGATGGACCGGGATCATCCTTCCTTGATGACTATCGACTCTTCAATTCTGCCTTCGAACCCGACTCCCAAGGTCGATATCGTGGTCACACCTTTTCCTCCTCAATGTCGTCCGACGCAGACTTGGCCCACGACGATGCCAGTAGCAGCCGTTATGCCACAGTGACCGCCGGTGGTCGGCGGAGCAACAACAGTTCCATTCATCAGACCGTGCCCAAAAGAATGGGCAGCGCCCGTGGGCCCGAGTCCATGGGCTCTAGAGGCGGCATGAGTTCTCGAGTCAATGATGTGCGGCAGGGCAGCAAGGGTAGCTTTCACTCCAATGGCGATTATTCATATCCTGTGCACAGGAGTCGTGCAGACTCGGATGGCCCATACCGACGCTCAGAAAGTTTTGACTGTGGACCGAAGAAGGCTTACAACCAATTCGCCGATCACGGTTCGGCCCAGGATTCACTGTTGTACGACGATGACGCTGCGCCCACCCCGAGCATTCCCGCTGGTCCTCGCAAACACTATGACTACAAGATCCCGAGTACCAGTACATCTCGGACCCCGGGAACATCACGACGCAACAGCATCAAATCCTCCAGTGCTGCACCAGCTCGGCGCAATCGCACTGAAAACATCGGGACAGGCTCCCTGAAGCTGAAAGACCACGACTTCTTCGGTGATCCAGATTTGGACCCTCTCTCGAGCCCCCCAGCGGTTTTGGATCCCCCAGCTCCCAGCCCAACTATCTCTTACAATAAGCCGGCATACCCTCCCTCAGAGGCCATCAATCCAAGCACGATACCAGCGTTGCCGCCAACCCAGCAAAGCCCGATCGTTCAGAAAGAAAGACCAGGATTCTTCCGTCGAGTCTTTGGGTCGTCGTCGAAAGCATTCTCACCCGCAGAAGGGCCCGTCTCCACAACGAGCGATCTGGCGCTCCGAACTGATGGCGAGGGTAGAAATCCCTCAGCCGCGACTGGGTCATCCAGGGCTTGGGGCTCCCAACAGACGCGTCCCTCACAGCAGCAGCAGCCGCCGCCACCTCCCAAAAGCGCTGTCGCAACCACTTCCACGGCGGGTGCTCGTAAAAATCCTCCACAAGTAGTCAGACAAAAGTCCTCTTTCTTTCGCCGGCGAAAGAAGTCGGTTGCTGAAAATGTGCCTCCGCCAATCAAGCTGCCTCAAGAGCTCTCCCCTAACACCCTGGATATGACGGGCCCTCAAGCAAGTCCCGTGAGTAGCTTGCGCCAGATGATGCACCAGTATCTGGATGAACCCGGTGCTTCAGCAGACACAGATCGCAAAGGATACTCTCACAATGCTGAGAATCAGCGCGTGGAGTCCGTCCCACTCGAAGCGAAGAGGCCCCCAGGAATCGTCGCGGCCTCCGGCAGTAGCTCGAAGCCCAACCTCAAAATCGAGCCCCAAAGCTCTTCTCAGGGTCCGGACTCGCGCGTGTCGACAGCGACTGGTGCCGGCGCAAGTAGCGACTCTCAAAATGCAAGTGATGTGGAGTCCTTCTGCTCCACGGATTCCCCCTTGCAGGAGAAGAACTCTAATGCCAACCCCTCGAACACGCTGTCCCCCGTCGCAGAGCATCCCTCTCGCACCATTCGTGTCTCAACCACAATGGCGCCACCAGCTGCTCCTCATCAGAACATGGCGGCGAGCAGTGGGAGATTGTTCTTGCCTGGAGACGTCACTATTCCCCAGTCACCGGCGGCCTCAGACGTGTCGCAGTATCTCACTGCATCGAACACGCCCGTCATTGAGTCTGAGGAACCTCAGATCGTTGTGAATGGTGACGAGTCAAATTCCAAGGAGGATATGACCAACGGGCCTGGCGATGCTCTGGAAGATGGGCCTACAGCGCAAGACCGCGAGCAAGCCCAGAAGTTGTTTGAGAGTCAAGAGCAAATGGTCGGCAATGTACCAGCGGCTGCTTGGCTTGGAGATCCTGATCGAGCATTGGTCCGAGAGGCATACATGCGACTCTTCAACTGGTCAAATATGAATATTCTGGCTGCGCTCCGAAGCCTGTGCCAACGCCTTATCTTGAAGGGAGAGACGCAGCAAGTCGACAGAGTGTTGGACGCATTCTCCTGCCGATGGTGTGACTGCAACCCGAGCCACGGTTTCAAAGCTACTGGTATGTGATTGCTCCCGTTCCTCAAAGTTCTGGGCACTCTTTTCTTACAATCTCAACAGATGTGGTTCACACTATTTGCTATTCACTTCTACTGCTCAACACTGATCTCCACCTGGCGGATATCGAGCAAAAGATGACCAAGACGCAGTTTGTTCGTAACACGATGCCCACGATTCATCGTGTGGCCATCGATGCGGCACCCGAGAGCTTCGAAACACTACGACCTCAGAAGGCCAGGAGCACCCCTACTGCTGAGTCGCTTCATTCAGGGACCGGCCCAAGTCGCTTATCCAATATCCCTGCAGACTCGAATCATGAATCTTCGAGTGATTACAGCCGTCGTAGTGCACCCGAGGCCGACGCGGGTCCCCTGGTCTGTTCTCCCTTCAATGGGACCATGAGAGCATGGGAGCAGCAGGTCGAAATGGTGTTGAAGGATTTTTATACTTCGATCCAGCGTGAGAGACTGCCTCTTTTCGGCGCGCCGCGTGAAAGGGAGGTGACTCGGATGGCGTCGAGTAACTTCTTGGCACCATCGGCAGGCAATCTTCGCCGTAGTCCAAGCACAATCAGTAAGAGCGGCTCGGATATCTTCCCGCGTGGACGTTCTGCAGACTCACGCCACGGTGCCGCACGCTGGTCATCCAAACCTCGCTCACGCGGAGCACGGCTCTATCCATCGTCCATGATGGGGTCTAGCCGAACCAGCTTGGACGACCAGTCCTCGGTTTGGAGTCCTGCCGCATCCAGCACCTGGAGCAAATATTCGCTTGGAAAATTCACCTCGGTGTCAGTGGATTCATTCGGCTCCGAATACCCCCGAGGCGAGTATCAGCAATCCATTGGGTTTGCCAACGCTTTGAGTCAGGCCATCATCCGAGAGGACTCTGCGACATCGGTGTACAGCTATGAGGAACCGTCGACTCCGCTCCTAGAAGATGAGACCCTGGCGTTGGCGGGTGCTCCCTGGGCCAAGGAGGGTAGTGTTAAACACAAACACCATCTGGACGCCGTTGATAAACGTGCCAAGGATCGGAACTGGAATGAGTGCTTCGCCGTTATCCAGCAGGGATGGATGCGACTTTTCTCCTTCAACAATGCATCCAAGACCATGCGCCAAAGAGCCAAACAGCGCGGAGGTGTTGTGGTTGGTGGCGGCAACTGGACTGAAAATGCCGAGGAGATCTGGAAATTCATGCTTCGTCAGACTATCGCGAGTGCGCTGCCATCACCGGGATACTCCAAGTCCCGTCCCCACGTGTGGGCTCTCAGTCTACCGACAGGCGCTGTCCATCTCTTCCAGGTGGGTACGCCGGAGATTGTCCGGGAATTTGTCTCGACTGCGAACTACTGGAGTGCTCGACTTTCGAAACAGCCTCTGGTCGGTGGGATCAGCAACATCGAGTATGGCTGGAGTGATGCCGTCATCAATAGCGCTTTGATCAACGGCGAGAGCCGCTCACCACCCACCTCGTCCGGCGCTGCACGCCAGAGTATCCAGAGTTCCATTCGAAGCTCTCTGGACCATCAGGGAGTCGTGCGGCCCAAGCTTCCGGCTGACCGTGTGCACATTAGCGACTGGAGTCCGCCGCAGCAAAGTATGGTCGCCTCGCACCAGTCAGAAGAAGAGCAACTCAAAGCGCTGCAAACGTACGTTCAGAATGTGGAGGATGACCTTCAGCGTCACAACGAGCTTCGACCTGCCATGAATCTGGCGTTCTCACCACGGCATCCAAACGCCACCAAGGCAATGGCCAACTGGGAGCGCAAGTCCTCATATCTCCTGCGGGAGATTGTCAAGTTCCGCACATATATTGATTCCCTTCGGAACGCCATTGCGAAGAAGTCTGAGATATACTCCTCGACAAACAGTTATTTCAACCCCGACCTTGACGGCACGGGTGCGGATGCGGATGCGGATACCGAGGCGCAGCGAGACTCTGATCAACCTCATTAGACTTCACTTGAAACGTCTGCTGCAGGCTGATCCTGCTATGATACTTGATTCAACTCCCCTGTTTCCCGCTCATTGTCATATGCTCTTATCGCATCCTGCTCCCCCCCTTTTTTTTCTTTCCCCTTTCCTGTCTTGACTTTACTATATTCCCCCTTCTCCTGTCTTCTTTATTATCCTCTCTCTTCTCTTGTGTCCACTTCCTTCCTTTTAATGTATATTCCTTCGCTCCGGCTTGCTGGGATGGTCTTGCCAGATGTGTTTTGCGCCCTCGTGATCCATGCGATGGGGTTTGGTTTTTCGGTTTGATGCTTAAGGCCACGACTTGAAAGATGCCATGGATACCATGATTGTTGTTTCTTTTCTCTCTCTCTTTCGCTCAGAGACCTTCCAAGTTGGTCTCACTAACCACTTGAATATACATGCCAACAAGAATCAACACGTGGTTTAACGATGATAGACGAATGTAAAGACTTTGTAGCTGTCAAATCGCCAATCCTAACTCGAAAAACACGGAAGAGACAGTTCTTTGGATCAAAATGTTGTGAACGGTGCTCGAGCTCGAGCTTTGGGGGCTTTGTCACGGTTTGACTCTAAAGTGATTGAAGTACCTCAAAACGCCTATACAGTCTACACTCTATAGTAGTATACAGTCATGCACTAGGCACTAAAGATGGTTTTTAGTAATCATATCAGCACCACAACCCAAGGTACCTACCTGACTTGCTCCTGGTTTGAAAAAAGAGTGTGTCGGCTTAAAATCAAGGTCGGTCTGGCAATAAACTGTAAGCCTGGCAATCCCCCCCGGTCGACGACGTGCCTGGCCGTGCCGATAACAGGTACTCTCCATCAAATTTTGGCGGCGGCAGTCTCGAAATTAATTAATCTTCATCCCCTGCTCACGCATTTCGAGGGAATTCTCGATCAGCCACGGTTGACATTTCACGATGGGGACCACAAACCCTTTTGACTTATTCAAAGCTCAGCAGGCTAAAAAGCGCCTTGATCAATTCTCCAGCGACTTGGAAGCGGCCATCAATAATGCGAGTTCCAGAGTCCAGACCTTATCGTACGACATCTGTAGTCGCCTTTGCACTGGGAGAATGATGACTTGGGCGGTGCGGACCTTGAGGTCAAACTCCTGAAAGCCTTCCAGTCTCTTGACGGATTTGAGACCGACATTTTTAGCATTCCTTTCATCGACCCCGAGTTGGCACTGCTGCAATATCTGACACGCTGGTCATGACAACGTTCCGGAGATGACTCGCTCCGAATTTACGTTTACGCAGGCCATGCAGATGGAGGAGCTGCAGGAACAACTGCAAGTCGCTGGGACTTGGCGTAAGTTATATCATAATATAAGGCTTGCAGGTATAGTTTATTTAACGCGAATCGATTAAAGGAGCGGCTCTTCTGATCGGAGAACAGGCAGACTTCGAGGGCCCCTACTCAGCTGGTGGTTTATCCGTGAATGTCTCGAACGTGTTCCGGGTGAGATGTGTTACATCTTTGATTGTTGCTCCGCCGGATTAGAGGCCTTGGCTACGTACGAGGGCGCGGAGTGTCTGGCAGCCACTGCCTGGGATCAGAAAGCAGCTGCGACTCTCCAATATCCCTTTACCCAGGTTGTCATCCCACGACTTTAGCTCAGCTTTTTGCCAAAATTTTCCGCGATGCACAGCAAAATCAGGTCGGGGCTGCGCCAGTTCATATCCTTAAACCGAATACACCAAGCGTGACTCTCGGTCGATGTCACTCAGGATCGGTTACAAGAAGCGTCGACCGGGAGTCCTACAAAGTCCTGCTTGGTGTCGAGGTTTATGATGTCTCTATGGATGCGGCACAGTGGAAGGCATGGCTTGCTCGGAGTGTTCCCGCCAGCGTCTTCTCTACCGAAGTCACTATCGAAGGAGCATTTCAAGGCTCTGATCTCCTTCTTTCCAGCATTCCTACAGAAATCTGGACCATGATGCCGGCTAATGATCCATCGTACACGTTCGTCGGACACGTTACGTCTAGCAATCTGCTGCTTCAGCAACCATCCCGAGTAAGTGAGCCCACGAGCGGTACGCTTCCAAGATGGTCTGTAGCTTGGTCTGAATCGCGAAATTAGCTGCCGTGTGACTAGGAGGCCCAGCCGCTGCGAACCCCTGATAGAGAGATGTTCGGTAGTCATTGAGTATCATCTATTTTACGTGCTTCTGGTTCGAGGTCACATATCCACTTTGTGATGTTTTCATTTACGGTCAGATATTACCAGATCGTACCACACTCATCTAGTTGTTTTCGCATTTTCGTGGTGCGGTGAATGGTGACAAGGCCGGCATCGAGGGCAACCGTTAAATATCCGGCAGAACTGCCTGCCGCTTCCTAATCTACTCTCGACCGCCTCAGGCGTATTTGATTACGGAGATCATACCAGTGGGTCAGAGCTACTTTGGGGGGGGTCAGATATGAACAAATACCATCTGACAGGCACTCTACTTTGTACCTGATCCTTTTATCAAAAGCTCCTGCTTTGTTGACCGACAACATGCGGTGCTTACTACTCATACTGACGCATCGTAGGAATTCTTCGCTCCACACTCCCTTCAACACAACCTCAACTTTATACTTCAAGACAACTCTCCGAGCTTCGATGAGAGCTGTCATACCAATCTGCACCGGCTGCACAACGATTCGTCATTCGGGGTGGGTTCGTGGCGGCTGTGCTTGTGGGTACCCCAAACACGCCTAGAACTGTCCGTCACCATGTCGACCAGCGCCCAAGATGCAGCGACACCTCCGGGCGCCATCCGTGACCCGCCCTCTCTGCAGATTCCCTCCTCTTCCCATGATTCGGGCCCATACTACACACCCACCGATCTTTCGACCCTGAATGCCGACGTCAGCGCGTCCGATTACTTCATGGCCGAGGAAGACGCGCGGGGCGCCGACCCCCCGAATGACATTTCCCACGATGACGCCGCAATTCATGAACATCATAACACGAGCGGCGCACAGGGTTTGACCGCATCTTCCGCCTCGACACAGGCAACGCCGAACAACGACTCTACGGCCGACGCGCCTGCGACCGGGGGGTCTGAAGCCGCGACCGAAATTGAAGCCCAGTCGACAGAGGCGCAAACAGAAGATGAGACTGGACATCGTGGTGAACCCGCGATTACGGTTGATCAATGGCATGGGGAGGACGATACGGGGTTTCTCCCGCCTTTGATGGACCACGACGATATTAGTCTCCTGCAATCGAGTGAGAACGGCGATCATGAGCGCGAGCGCGTGAATAATCAGACCTTGATGGAGGAGCATGAAATGCGCCGGAAGCTGATGGACATGGAGTCGAGCTTTCTACCTGAACCATCGACGATCAATGTCGCACCGAATACGAGAAATGCCGGCGCTGACGACACATATCTGGTCGGCATGGGCGGCTACGATGCTGATATGACCCAATCTTCTGCATTTTCTTTTATCCCGCCATCGGAGAGCTACCCGGAGACCGAGCACGAGCATGAAGGTAACGAAGAGGGGGCAGACTTCACAGAAGGCACGAATCAACCTCAACCCTCTGGGCCAGACACAACGTTCGATTCGTTTGCGTCTTCACCATCAGCGGCGGCTATGCTTAGGAGCTTACGGCGTGATCAACAGTTGCAGACTCCCGCTGAGCATGGCTTGCTTTCTCCAGACGAGGAGCCATTCCAGACGCCGTTCTCTCCCCTCGAGGGCGAATCGCAGTTGACGCCTTCAAAGCTACGCACCTCATCACGGAGTCTTTCGCCGGGCCACTCGAGGATATTTGGTGATCAGAGCACGAGCGCAACGGAAAGCCGAAAAGGTGGCAGTCGTCCAAAGTATTTGACCAGCCGCCAATCCTCTCAGCGACTCTCACGTTCCTCGATCGCCAGCGGTACCACCGACACAAGCCAGAGCGACGCGACACTGGGTGCCGATTTCGCGCTGCAAACGGGCGGTGCAGTGCCGGAACAATGGAATGGTCTGAATACCGGCCCGCGCGGAAACATGTTGCGAACGACGAGCCTCGGCAGCATGGCTTCCGGTATATCAGGTTTCAGCGAGGAGAATCTACTGGACCGACGGGCGGCTGTTGGCCCCGGTGAAGGTGGCTTGCAAACGCTCGAGGAGGAAAGCTCGCCTCGATCACCTCGACAAGCAGCAGCTTTGGATGATGCAAATGCCCCTGAGACTCCTCGAGCGAGACCGCAAGACAATCTACCTACCGACACTGTTATTACGGAACGTGTCAAGGGAATCCAAGTTCCTACATCTTTCGCTCAACGATTTCGAGATGACTTTGGTCACACAGGCCCTTCCACTGAAAAAAGACCGGGAGCTTCCACGTCTGCATTTGGACGAAGCGGCCGTACGATGACCCTCAAAGAACAAAGTAGCACGATCGACCGACTGTCGAAGGAGAACTTTGACTTGAAAATGCGCATCCATTTCCTGAATGAGGCCTTGAACAAGCGATCTGAAGAGGGCATCAAGGAAATGATTTCCGAAAATGTGGAGCTCAAGTCAGACAAGCTGAAACTGCAGAAAGACAACCAAGGGTTGAAACGGAAAGTCCGCGACCTGGAAAAGCAGCTCAAGGACCATCAGTCAGACAAGGCGTCTATGGTCAATCATGACCCCGAAGTGTCTGAGGACGATCGCGAGTCTGCGCAAGATGAAGAACTTGTCTACCTACGCGAGCGTGTTGAGACTTATGAGCTTGAGATTGAGCGTATGCGGTCCGAAAATATTGCTCGTGAGAGCGAGAAAAGACGATTAGCTGAGATGGTCAAGTCCTTGAGTGAGACTCGGAGTGGCGGTTCTGATACTGGTGCTCGAGAAGAGAGGGTAAGTGACTTCTGCCTCCTCCTAATTATGGTACTTGGGAAGCTAATGCATTGGCCTGTTTGTTTCTTTTTTCTCAGGACATGTGGAAGGACATGTTGGAGGCAGAAAGCGCTGCTCGTGAACAAGCGGAGGAGGAGAATCGTATGCTGCGAGAAGAGTCTATGCGCCTTAAGAGTGAGCTATACACGACGACTACATCCCTGAAACCGACACAGCGCGAACGCGGTGCATCAAACGTGTCGTACAACTCCATATCTGAGCGAGACGGTCTTCGCGGAGCATTGAGGAGCACTTCCAGCAGCACACTTGTCGTCGAACTGGAACTTTTAAAGCAAGAAAATGCCGAATTGCGAAAGGAAGTGAGTGCGCAAACATCGATGCTCACGTCACGCAATCGAGAGAAGGAGCGTCTCTACCAAGAAATCGAAGAGCTCAAGCTGGGTCACGGGCGTGATGGTAGCCGTTCCGTGGCTGGAGACAGCATACTTGATCGCTCGGCTTCTCGTGCCCAGATGCGTACTGGTTCTGAAGTGAGCGATGGAGCTGGTTTGCGTGACAACATGGATCGTGAAGAGCTGGAAGCTCGCAATGGCCAACTGCGCGATCACGTGTCAACTCTCAAGCTCGAGAACCAGAATCTCCGTGAACAATTGGATGAGCACATTCGAGAATTCGAAGCGCTTGACAAGGCCTACCAGGCCGATGTTGATCAAGCGGAGGAGGATATTATAAATCTCCAGAACGAGCGTGATCAGGCCATGCAAATGGCAGATGAACGAGACGCTGCATTCCAGGATCTGCGAGCAGAGGCGCAAGAGGAGCTGGATGCTCTTGGCGAAGAGCTTGATCAGAAGATCATGGAATGTCAGCGACTGGGCGAGGACTTGCGAAATCAAGATGAAAGCTTGAAGGTCCTCCAGGCTGAGATGCGCTCAGCCAGTGAGGGAATCATCCGACTGGAGGAGGATGCGCAAAATAACCTGCAGCGTTACAAAGCGGTGCATCAAGAACTGGAAGATGCCAATCAAGAGATGGACTCGCTTGAGAAGAGTCTCTTCGAAGCCAACTCGAAGGTGCAACGGCTGACGGTGCAGATTGAATCGAGTCAGAACGAAATTGCGTTCCTTCGAGAGGAACAAGATGGCGACAAGATCCGGATCGGCGATCTTGAGTCGGAGCTCAAGACGTACCAGATGAGCTTGCACAGTGAGAAAGAGAAGACTCGGGAATTGGAGCAACGTCTGGCAGAGGAGCGTCATCAGCGTGAAGTGGTCGGCAGTAAAGAAAAGCAGGAAGTACAGCGAATTATGAATGACCTGAATAGGGAAGCCTCGTCTGCCAAGGAAGAGGCCCGTCGTTTGAGAAAGAGCCTTTCTGCCCAGGAGATTGAGACGAACACCTGGCGCGAGCGCCTCACGGATCTGGAGAATAACCTGCGAGAGACTTTGGGCGACTTGAATGGCAGTCGATCAAGCCTGATCACCAACATTACGAAGTTGCAGAAAGAGCTGGAATCGACTGCACTGGAGTTGGAAAGTGTTCGGCAACAGCTCGACGAGAAGGAATCTCTGCTCCGGAATCGCGACGCCCTTCTAGAGAGTACTGGTCTGGAATCGCGCAAGCTCTCTGAACTGCTCGATCGTGAGCGACAGGCTCGCCGCGCTGATAAGCAGTCATTTGAGCAGTCTTTGAAGAATCACCAGCAGGCATCGCGAACCATTACCCAGAGCAACTCTCGCATCAGTGAACTTGAAAATGCTCGTAATGCGGACCGGAAGCGCTTCACTGCTCTTGAACAACAATTCCGGGAACAACTCAGCGAGCGCAATGCTCTGTTCCTCACGATCTGGAAGCGCCTGTCGACGATCTGTGGTCCAGATTGGGCACACTCAAATAGCCTCATCAACGGCAACCTGCCCAGTCAGGAAGTCATTGGAAATATGCTCTTCTGGCCGGGTTTTAGCCGGAATCTGGTTCTGAGCATCAAGACCGTGGAGGGAGTCATTGCGGGCTTCAAGACTCGCATCAAGAGCCTGGACCATGACTTTACCAAGCAATACCAGAATCTTGAGAATTCCTTTGCTCAGCGGGTTCGTCGGCTTGAACGCATCGAGGAAGCTGTCAAGAACCTGCGCAATGGACGAGGGTATTCCGGATCTTCGTCTGAGGCTGTCAAGCTGCGCGGTGAGAATCGTCTATTGAAGGCCGAGCTCAATCTCCTACAGTCAAACTCACGCACTCATGGATCCGGCTCCGCTGCCAATGCGGCTGCCGTCATGGCAAGCGGACCGCGTTCCCCATCTCTCGCGTCCACTGCAGATGCTGAGCGTGCATCGCTCACCCGTCATCACTCCACTCCAGCAGGTGGTGATCACTCAAGCCCCGGGCGAGCTCTCATGCGCAGCTCTACTGGGATTCCACAGCCATCGCAGTTTTCGTCCAGTAGCACATTGACAAGTAACAACAACAACAAAAACAACGCTGCTGGTGCAGTTGTACCTCGCTCACGGAGCGGAGCTGGCAGCTGGGAGGGCAGTGACGAGAAGTGGATTCTTCGCCTGCACGCGCTTGAGAAAGGGTTGAAAGCCGAGCGAGAAGCTCGACTACTCGACCGTAGTGGGGCACGCAAACGTCTTGAAGAGCGCGATGCTGAAAACCAGCGTCTGCGAGATCAGCTGCAACGTATGCGTGTGCGACAAGCCCCGTCGAGCACGAAAACAATCACGAACAACAGCAGTCGCGGTCGCGTACCTACTTCGGATGAAGGGCCAAGCTCGAGTGAAGGCGAGGGCATCATCGTTGATATTGAAGTGTGATGTTGATCATTTGAGACGCGCGCGATACCTGTTATATGCCGTGTATTCTTATTTGCTCTTCGTCTTTTTTTTTTTTTTTTGGTTTCTCGCTCTCTCTCTGTCTTCTTTTGGTCAAATTTGATCTTTTCAGCGGTGCATGTGCCCTGGGTGCTGTTTTTCTTGTTACGTGAAGATGCGGAAAAAGTTACTGATGATGTGATGACGGTGTTTGTGGGGAGTCTTTTTGCATGGTTGGCTGGTTGATTTCGATGTGTTTTGTTTGCCTTCCATTCAGATCCAATTAATAGTGCGAGATGTCCGTTATCTTCTAATTGAACCTCTGTTTTCAAACACTTGTTGAATGTCTTTTCTGTTTATGAAAGTTCGAGAGGAGTACGGTCGCTTGTTCGTGCGTATTTTGAAATTATACAAAAAGTCCTCTCCAGATCCCCCGGTTGTGTAACTGTCGGCTGTATACAAGTACATTTCCGTCTTGATATCCAAACTCCCTAACCAGTCTACCACCTCGGGAAACCCCATGACAGAGCTTTTGCAATCGCTCTCAGCGCAAGGAGACCTTTAGCGAAAAATCCACAATGCCCGTCCCCTGGTGAATCGAGCTCGTCGACAAGATATCCACTTCAGGACAAGCATACGTAGGCGCGCTCTCCTCCGTCAACCCCCCACTGACCTCGATCAAAAACGACCTCCCTGACGCCTTCCACTTCTCCTTCAACGCCCTGGCTGCCTCCCGCACCCCCTGCGCCGTGAAATTGTCCAACATGACCACATCCGCGCCCGCCTCAATCGCCGCATCCGCCTCCTCCAGACTCCTCACTTCCACCTCGACCTTGGTCGCAAAGCCCCCGGCCGCCTTGGCCGCGCGCACCGCCTTGGGGATCGCCGCCGCAATCGAGTCCGGATTCGTCCGACCGCCCATTCCGGCGCCGTTGTTGGCGCACGCCCACACATGGTTGTCCTTTAACATGGTCATGTGGCTGAGGTCGTGGCGGTGGGGGTCCGCGCCACCGACCAGGATGCCGTATTTCTCAACGACGCGGAAGCCCGGCGTGGTCTTGCGGGTTCCTGCGAGAATGCCGTTCCAGCCGGCGGCGCGCAGGGCGGCGAGGGTGGAGGCGGATTTGGAGGCAATGCCGGAGCAGCGGGCGAGGATGTTCAGGGCGACGCGTTCGCCGAGGAGGATTTGGCGGATGGGGCCGCGGACGGTGGCGCAGTGGGTTTTGGTGTTGGGGGGGATGGGTTGGCCTTCTTGGATATGCCATTCGGTTCTGGATGGAGATGTTAGACCGGAAGGTGTGAGGGAAATTGGGGATTGGGAGATGAGGTCCACGTACGTGCAACCCAATTGAGAAAAGACTTCATCGAAGAATGGGATACCGGCGATGATGCCCTATATATATGAGGTGTTAGAGCCGGGCTCACAATGACGATACGAACCAGATAGACCATCGAGTGGAGAAGAAGATGAGTCAAATGCACGCCATATAAGCGTCTGAACTCTCCTGCGTCTGTCGCAGCTCCGTTCCACCACCATATCTTGGTGTCACTTACCGCACTCTTTCCAAGCAAACGAGCCTCGCCCTCAGACTCGCCTACGACAAAACCGCCATAGTCGAGACTGGGGCAATCTTCCTCGAGCCAGTCGGCAATTTGCCGCTTGTAGTTCCCCGGAAGCAGGTGACGCAGGTCTCCGTGAGAAGCGGCCATTTTTGACGAGAGAGATATATAGCCCTTGGATCAAGATGATACCGGTATGTCGAAGGCTCGCAAGGACAGATTATCTGGCCCGCAGATTCAGTGGGAGCAGTGCGGTTGGAAGTGAAAAGAGAAGGTGGGGTGAAGTGGAAGTGAAAGTGTAGTTCCAGAAATGGGTGGGGTAGATCGGCGGAGATTGTTCACAGAAAAAGCTCCGAGTCTCCGACTTCTCCGACTGTCAAAAGGTCGGGTTCTTCCGTTTCCCCACGCGCGGGGGAGAACCCCAAAATGCCCCGGTTTCGGGTAGATTCGGACAAGTCACGTGAGATGGGAGAAGTACGGGAGTAACTTGTGAAGTTGTGAGTAGTAGTTGACTTAGGGTTATGGTAGTCCAGAAATGGGTGGTGAGCCTAGACCCGGATTGTATATAAACGGAAGTTCATTCCACGTGGAATTGATCTGTCAGTAGTGGAATGCGCTAGATAGAAGAGAGTGAGACTCATGAGTACTAAAGCGGATGGTGATCTGGCGTTGACCTGATGGGATATGGTAGAGATGAATTGATATTGATCGACTTGCGACTACTTTTCTTGGGTCGAGAGTCCCTTGTGTATGAATCATCTTTCTACCTCAAGATACAAGAGGGAGTTCTGATTATTCGAGTTGACCTACGCATGACAAATGATTGGAGAACGGCTCACTTCCATAAATAGAAGACACGAGAGTTGGGGTATCAAAATCAGTTGATCTAAAGACGACTCGATTCCCAGTAAAAAGTAAAGAGAGAAGGAAGGCGGCAAAAAAAAAGTGAGACCATGTCCAACAAAACATCAATTCACTTCAGAATTCACATCTCCGTGATCCTCCATCACCGTTCAACCCGAGAAACAATCCACGGCCACCACCAACCTTGCTCAGTGCCTGCCAGACTTCAACCTGCCATCACATCGACAATTGACCATGTCAGCTCAAATAGCTCGTGTCAACCCAGCTTGTATACCCACTCCCCAAAATACTACTGATCGACACCGCCGCCGACAACTTCTCCGCAAACGAAGCCCTCGTCCCCGAAGCTCCCGCCCCGGTATTTTCATACTCGCCAAACAGCACACCTGCTGTATTCGGCGAGCTCGACGACCAAGTATCCCACCCGGCAGCCTTGATCACCGAGCTGAGATTAGTCTTCTGGAAGACAACCCGAGCATACTCCGTCCACGGACGTCCCAAGGCATAGCTCGCCGCAGCCACGGTCTGGCCCGACGCAGCCTTGACACTGCCCCCGTTGATCACAAAATATCCGGAGCTGGAGCTGGAGGGCCGACCCTGGGCGGTGATTGTGCCGCTGGAGTAGGCGACGACGCCGATGGTGCAATCGTCAAACCAGGCGTTACCGGTTTGGCCGAAGATGAAGTCGACGGCGCCTTCGATGTAGCATTTGGCGTAGACTTGGTAGCCGGTTTCGGCGAGGACGGTATCTATCCCGGAGAGGAGCAAAATATATTAGAGTTGGATCGACGAACAAGAGATTCATGCGTTATCTTCGAGGAAAAGCCGGTGCATAGCCATGGCTCTATGTTGTTTACCTTGGAATCCGATGAACTGACAGCCATAGTACCCTTGCTGAGTGTTATAGGCACTCAGAGCGAGTGCCTGGTGGCCCTGGCCATAGGTGTTCTTCACGTTGATGTTGTAGATGCGGGATTTGGCCGCGTAGTTTCGAAGAGTCGCTAGATTTGGGGAAGGGTCGTGGAGAATTCAAGTTAGCTATTGTCATTTCTGGTTTGTTGTTTGATTATGTCCATGGCCTTTTTGATTTCAGATCATGCACTTACCTGTATGATCATCATTGCTGGCCGACGCCAAGCTAATAGCATGAGTGATGGTCACGGTGTTGGAAGAGTAGGAGGTGTCACTTAATGTAGGTTTGACGTGTTTAGTCCAGAACCTCTAGCAGATGTCATACGGCGATTCGCCGGGTCTCTTACTCTGCAGTTTGTCCGTAGACAATCAACTCTCCGGCTAGACTGGGGATATACACCTGCTCGTCGTAGGTGCCGGCCTTGATAAAGATGGTCTGAGTGGAGGTGGTGGTCGAGCTCAGAGCTGCGATGGCTTGACTGATCTGTGAACGAGTCCAAGTCAACGGTGATCTGCCAATTCGAGGCGTAACTCTGAAGAGTGTGAGCCAATTCTATCTCACCGTCGAGTATTGCCCACCCGACTTAGCCACCACAATAGCACCCGCCGGTGCTGTCGTCCGGCTTCCTGCAAGCACGGTGGCTGCCAAGGAGAGCAGAGTAAACAGCCTCATGGCTTGGGGAGTAAATGACTTGGAATTTTTGCGAGAGGGAAAGGAAGAATGACAAGAAGGCGAGATATCTTCCCCTAACGATTTGTCAAGAGTTGGGGAGTTGACGGCGGAAAAGACAGCTTCATGTGTAGTTGTATGTACACTCATATATACCGATCCCCGTTGACCCCTTCGGCATTGTCCACCAACGCAGCCTGCTTACGTTGTCTTTCGTCCATTGCGGATCTTTTCCTGGATTTCTTCACGGATCTAGAGGGCGAATAAGCTTCTCTCTAGCGTGGATAGCGTGGGAATGACAGTCCAGACTCCAGAAAACTGGTGCCATCCTGCACACGATAGAAGCAATTTCCCGTCTGCACGAGTACGGAGTGATGCAGAATGGGTTAATCCTGCCGATGGCGTAAAGACTTCATCCGGCGGATCTCTAGTTCTACTAGTACTTAACTACGTACTCTCCGACTCTGTAGAGTGTAGTCTTCTAGTAGAAATCCACTGTACCTCAAACACGGGCGGAGTCTCGGCCATGCGCCGCCTGTTGCTTAAATCTTCCGCGACAATCTTGGGGCGATCGAGGGAAGGAAAGAGAAACGGAGATCTTCCACCAGTCGCTGCTCATGTGGATTGTAGACTGTTTCACATCGCATTTCGCATTGCTTGTTCGGCAGTTCGGACTCCCTCGTCCAGAGTCATGTGTCGATGCCACAATTGTCAGTGTTTTGTCGATCCGGAGTTATCATCCATTAGGGTCGATCCTCAGAGCACTGAAATGGAAAATCTCCGGAATGAATATGAGACGTCGTTCCTTACGGGTAGATTGTCTTAAGAGTTGGTAGTGGTAGTGTTGCTGATTGATCTTCCTCCGATTCTCCGGCATACTCCAGCTGAGCAGGAGACGAAGTAGAATGATACACGGCAGAGGAAGACCTCTTCTACTAGGAGTAACCTGAAACAATCTGGATAATGTGCTGGACCAACTTGCACGACCACACTGCTTGAGCTTGAGGCCTGAATTATGAGGCATCTGCGATCTCGTCCTCGGAGCCACGGAGATAGTCACTTCTTCCCCTGGGAACTTGGGACACTGTCAGTACCGACCAATTCACCTACACGACCCTGTTGTTCCGGCCCTTCAAAAAAACAAATCATGGCCTCGATAGCCAAGGGCAATGTCCCTCTATGGAACACATCCATGCGCTCATGTCACCGCAGTTATACATCCGTGCGCCATCGTCCCCTCCCATCTCACCACCACCATCAACCATATCTCCTCTACAAATCAACCTCCTCTCCATTCTCAACCTCTGCAACACTCCACGCCCACGTCCAGGCCCAAGTTGTCTCCAAAGAACGACCGCGAGTGCGCTCCTCTACGCAACCCACCAAATCCATCACTCCCCGCGCCTCAGCACCCACCCTCGACACTCTCACCAACACTCACATCAATGCCCCCATCAGCACATTCCCAGCACACCTCGACACGCCCGACTCCTTGCCTGCGTCCGCCTCCGCCCCCGAAAAGCTAAAGCGCCTCGTCGCCGTCGGCCGCGCATACCTCACGTTCTACAAGACGGGTCTCAAGAACGTATACTACAACTATCGCGCTGCGATCCCGATCCGCCGCGAACTCGGTCTACCCAAATACTTGCCCGCGGTGCCACCACGTCGTCGCAATGGCAGCAGGCCCGCCAATTCCGGCGACAGCAACGCCGACGCCTCAATGCATCCCGAGTTCAAGCTAGGCCGCGGGCGGTTCCAGCTCGTTCGCCGCTCCGCCCGAGACGTCCAGCGGATGATCCCCTTCACGCTGATCCTGATTGTCTGCGGGGAATTCACACCCCTGGTCATTCCTCTCTTCGGCAGCGCCATCACCCCGGCTACGTGTCGTGTGCCGGGACAAGTTGCCAAGGACCGCGAGGCCGGGTCCAAGCGCAGGGCTCTCGCATTGCAGGCCTTTGCCGCAAGCACGGGGAAGACGGTGCCCATGGCGGGAAGTGATGCGGAGCGCGCGATGCTGGTCGATGTGTCGCGGGGGACGTTTGCTCGGGAGGCGAGCGCGCAGCAGGTGTTGCAGGTGTGTGCGATGTTCGGGTTGGTCAAGAAGCATGATCGGGCTTGGGGGACGGCGATGGCGGGCCTGGTGTATCGGCCACGGTTGGTGCGGTATTTGCACTACCTGGAGGTTGATGATCGGATGATCATGGATGCGGGCGTGGATGCGCTCAGTGCGGACGAGGTCCGACTTGCGGTTGAGGAGCGTGGTGGTGGTGATGTTGCGGCTATGATGAGTGGAGTGAAGGCCGAGACAAGAGAGAGGGAGTGGTTGAACAAGTGGGTGATGGAGAGGAGAGCCCTTGGCTGAGGGATCAACAGATGTTGGACCGGAGGAAGAGCATCGTACCGAAATGGGCCGATCTTGATCAGTATACGCGAAAAATGGCTGTCTCGAACCTACATATGCATCTGTACAGTACATGATAGACTTTTGTTTTAGAAGACCGTCAACTCTCATGGAGATCGCTCACGTCTGATCTCCGTTTTGCAGAAAACGCGAGGCACGTATCTCCATTATCCACTGCCTTCATGCTTGACTCTATAGAACCGTATCTGGCCTCTCGAGCTGACTGACCTATATCTCACAGGAAGACGCCACCGTGGTCTAGTAAATAGGTGTGAACCCTGACAACAAAAACAAGACAGTATAGACTATCGAGAGCTATCCCACACAGAAAACCGCATTTGCAAGGCCCAAACCGGGAAATTATCCGTTTTTCAGTCCCAAAGAGACGGGAGAAGCCCTGTCGCGCCAGATTGACTGCTATGTGATGGTGTATACAAAGAATAACGGACCGAAGTTCAAAAGAGATGTCAACCTCATCATCAAGCGGATCACCAAATACCATGTACCATGTCCAGTTCATACACAAAGATCTCACATGTAAGAAAAGGAAGAATAAATCACAAAATCCTGAATAATGGAACCCTCCTGAACCCTCTGTATTTCAGCATTTCGCGAAGACAAGTAAAAGCGTCGCCATCTTGAATATGGATGACGCAGGGTATAACTATAACCAATCAAATGAAACACCGACAAACACGCTCGCTCGCTCGCTCAGGCTCCTGCTTCGGTATATAACTAGAGCGCAAATCAAAAACCCATGGAATTTGAACTCCCTTTCCGTTTCCAGTCCAACGAGAAGAAAAACAAAACCGAGACACGCCCAATAGAACCCGGCAAAGCAAAGATATTCAATGAAGAAGAACGCATAATGACTGGCTCATATGAAAGCCGTGCCAACGACCAGCTCCCAGTCGTTTGGGCCTGGTGAGAGTGTGTGGCGAAAACAATCAAATCGAAGATCATGCCTTTGCAGCAGGGGGAGCGGTTGCGGTATTAGTCGGTGCAGCGGCCGCGGCTTTGCCCACAGCAGCCTTACCCGACGCCGCAGCTTGCGCTTTGTTGCGGACTTGCTTGGCCCAGCGAAGACCGCAGCTGTTACACAAGTCACGGTTACCGCTGGGGCCTCGGCGCCATTCAGGCGTGTTCTTGGTGCTACACATGGCACAAGATTTCTCGACACTGACGGCGCTCTGCTTGCGCTTGCGCTTCTTGCGACGGGCCAGTAGGCGTTGCAACTCATCTGCAAGTCCGCGGTTCTGCTTCTCCAACTCGCGAAGCTCAATCTGCCAACTTGATCCGCGGGTGGGATTGAGCTCTGTGAAGAACGTAGCAGGAACGTCGGAAGGAGATATACTGCGATTTCCAAGGGGAAGACCGTTCAGGCCAACAAGGTTTGAGAGGAATGGCATGCGTTGACCAAGCCCGTATTGGGCTGGCGGGTTAGGGTCCATGGTAGTAAGAGTTGTCGACTTGGATGTGCCGGGTATATTTCCCATCTCTTCGTCCTCGGCGGCAGACGCGGCAGCCGAGGAAGGAGGGAAAGCACGAGCGAATCGAATCTGAGCCACCAGGAATGATGGACGGACATTGTGGGTGTCACCAGAGTACAGTGTAGTGTGGGCGGACAACATATGACCCTTCTTGTGTCGCATCTGATGCCGGAAAGACGGGGGCTCTCCGTTTTTCTTTGAGCCACCATCGCGACCCTGTCCACTGGCTGCCGCCTCGAGGGCTTCAGTGATCGCATTTGGATCGCCGTCAAGCTCCATTAACTCGTGCATGCTCTTGCCAATGAGATCGTCGGGCGTTCGGCCCAGAACTGGCTTGACTTTGGACGTCACGAACAAGATCACACCAGAGAGGGACACCTTGACCCAGATATCATTCTCAGCAAGGGCGGCCTTGGACCCCAGCTGAGCGACCTGATCCAGCGCATATACCGGACGAGGACGGCCTGTCATAACCATGTACTTGCGTCCCTGCGTTGGATCAATGTGCCAGGAACCATGAGCCTCAAACCAAATGTAGCCCTTGTACTTTTGGCGAATACGATAAACAATGCTCACTGGCGCTGGGGTAGTGCTCGATCGTAAATCTCGCACCACTGGTCCAATGTCGCTCGGGTGACAGATAGTTGATAGTGTCTTTCCCACAAGCTCGTACGGATCGTATTCGAGAATCCGCTTACATGATGGCGACACGTAAAGGAATTCGCAGTTGAACGAGAGGACGTGGATCACATCGTCGGAGTTCTCAACCAGAATACGATCCAGATACTGGCGTGAGACACCAGAACCCGGAACACCAGCGGCGTTGAGGACCGCAGTGACCTCGTCGTGGCCGAAATGAGTGGCCAAGTCCGGCCGTTGTCTGAAGACCTCGGTAGGCGGGACCACATATTGTGGTAATTGGTCCCGCTGGTAGTTCACGCTATATGTGCCATCTGCGAAACATTTCAGGTCAGTATTGGGTTGCAAACACATTCGGAATTTCGAAGGATGACCATACCCATATTCCTCCCCTTGACGGCATCAGGCTTCTCTACTAAATCGACTTGGAAGCCAACGTAAAATCGGTAATCTTCCGAATTCCACTGAATGGGAATCATCGTGATCAGATTCATGAATGGCTGGCCACCCTTGCGGTAGTTGATAATACTAGTCTGAATCTCGCTGCGGTCGTGAATTGTTGATCGCAACCGATGCACCGTCTGCCCATCGACAAATGTTCGCTTGGCACCCGGGACAATTTGGCCATCGGGACCTTGGAGGAAACGGCAATTGCGTCCGACAATCTCGTTCTTGGTATATCCGGTCAATCGTTCGAAGGCGTCGGAGACGTACACAATGGGGTGGTCCTCTCGCTTCAGGTCGCAGAGGACAAAGGCGCAGGACAAATCGACGGCGCCAATGTTGATTTTCGGATTTGGCCTCATGGCCACACGGGACTGTTTTTTGAAAGGAAATTTGGTGAGCAAATTTTGGTCCGATCGCATGCAAGGATTGTGATGGATGAGCCACCGCAGACTTACAAGAACCCCCAGAACATCAAACCCACTGTTTGAGTAAATTCCAGTATGCTCTGTACAAACGGCGTCGGGCGTAGCCAGGCCTGGCGAAAGGTCCTCTGACACGCAGAGCGGCGTCAGCTCTTGATCGATCGATACGCACGCCCAGCAGCAGGCTACACTACATGACGGCCACTCACCTTTGACTGCAACGAGGGGCTTTTTCGGCTGGATGGCAATTGGTTGCGAGACGCGATATGAGGATAATGAGTGTTGTGTCTGCGAATAAGGGGTATAGCGTTGAGTGTCTTGGATGGACTGCTGCAGACTCAGTTGTTGCGATCGTTCACTGGCCCGTGAAAAGTCGGAATCTTCCAATGACTCAGTCGAATTGGTAGTGGTGTTGCTTCCGCGACCGTGGTAAACTTCTGACGGCGCGACCTGTTGCTGCGGCGAAAGATATTGTTCCTGCTGAGACATGGATGGATGGAAAGAAAAGGCGGAATGAAGTTGAGGGTCGTCCATGGAGGGCACCATGCCCATGGTGGTAGAAGGGTATGTGGTCGGAATGTCGTAGGCAAAGGCACCGTTCGAATCCAGGCTGAGAGGCATGGACACCCCCGTCGTCGGGGTGTCATAACTCAGCATGACTGACGATAGGCGGCCTTCGATGTCCCCCTGGGTCCTGGGAGGTTGATCGAAGGCCTGTAATGTTGGATCAAAGTCCTGAGAGAGCATCTCTGCGAACGGGTAGTTCGCGACATGGCCGTTCGTGTATCCCATTAGAGATGGATCGCTGGAAGATAGTGAAGACTGCACGACGGCGTCACTGTCGGGAGAATCATGTTCTGGAGCAGCGGCGGAGAATTCGAGTTCAAAGTTATTCATCGGGTTGGCCATGACGCTATCAGGAGGAGACGGCGGGCATCGGTCTACGTGGGGTCCAGAATGCAAAGCCCAGAGAAGTACCGCTGTGTCGGGTAGGTTTGACCAATGTCTTGGGGTTTCGACGATGGGAGTTGCCGTGATGAGACCACCGCTTTTTGAAACCCGCAGTAGATAGTCGTCAGGTCGATGGAAATTCACCGCGCAAAGACGAAGACTTGATGAAGGAAGATTGAGTCGGTCGGACTAGAGAATGTGGTGAATGGGAAGGTTAGATAGATCAATCTGATTCCCGAGCGGCGACTTGTGCGAAAAAAGGGTTTTCCCTTTCCTTCTTTTCTTTTCCCTTTTTTTTTCCTTTTCTTTTTTCCTTTTATTTCCTCTTCCACCATCCTTCCGCTCCTTTTGGGTGGGCTCTGGGGATTTGGGGGGGGGGGGGAGAAAATCTGTTTTGAGCCAGTAAGAAGATGGGTCTCACAGCCCCCCGTTTTCCCTTCCTCCTCCATCTTTTCAAAGGTACACCAGATGTCATTGTGGATCCGGCAACAGGGCCCATGGAGCCAATCAACCGGACAGACCACGAAAGACTGGACGGAGTCGGGGAAACGTTCGAGTTCCCTGGGGACGACGGACACAGCCTGGGAATGCCACAGAAGGGAATGACGCGGATCGGGATGAGGTCAGATCGTACCTCCAGTCGATCGATTAGCTTTGTGGATATCCCTCAGGATCTTGGTAGCACCTCGACTGGCTGCATAATTCCTGTTTTGAAGGGTAGTCCCTCCCATCCAGCTCCCAGGGTTGGCCGGTTCGTTGCTAGTCCACCTGCTGATAAGGCAATTATGAAGGCGTGGACTCCGTGGAGTGGACATGGGCCGTGGCAGGAATTGAACCTACGGGTTGAGCCAGTGTGGTGGCGCACCCAGTGGACAGAGTGACACGACTGGACTGTACGGTCGGAGATGATCTATCACAAAAGAGGCAACTGACAAATGACAAATCACCCCAGGGATGCGGGACCTGTGAACTTTTTGCATGGCCCAGAAAAGGGCTAGAGAGGGCCAGAGGCCGAGAGGAATGTCGACCGCTTAGTTGATCTAAATGGGCCTAGATAGAGTCAATGGGCAGCCGTGGTTCAGCAGTTCCGGTCGGTTGGCGATTGGCGCATGGACGCTCTCGCATTCGCATTGTCGAGACTTCAAAGAGACACGCCGAACCCCCCCCCCCTTCGAATGACAGGTGAGGCCGACTCGACTCCACGGTACACAGCACAAACAGGTCGAGGCTGATCCCCTTTGGGCTTGCTCCTACGTCAACGGAGCCCGTCACAGGGAGCATTAGCTCCCGTTCCGGAAGAATATCCCTGCTAGCATACTATTGATTGATCAGCTATCGTCTTGTTGCTCGCAAGCTACCCAAGTGGGTGTGCGAGGAAAGCAATGGTTCACCGTGCTTTACCGTGCGCGGCTCGCAGGAGCGTATAGTCATAGACCGGTTCCAGATTTTAAGCATTCATCTCATGCCGAGGCCTTGGGATCTAGAGGGGTGGGGAAACAGCTGCAGGCTGATGGGGGTCGCTGGTCTGATTGCACCTTGGGAGATCGAGGGCGTCTGAAGACACATTAATGGACAGTGCATGCGCATGGGATAGAGAAGATGCGCGTCCTTGATACGGATTGTGTTTGAGTGTTGTAACTTGTCACTGACTCACGGTTGTGTCTTAGAGTCCATGGTGTCCCTGAATTGGATGGCTCGCTGCCTTGCAAATGAGGCGTGGATCCATTGCACACTTAAATCATCGGATAATAGGTCCAAATCGAAACCCTGTTCGCTTTTCTGTTGATTCTCCCAATTCCAGCGGATGGGGTTGGGGGATTGTATCAATTGTCGATCGTGTCGCACAATGCAAAAGTGCCGAATGGGAAAAAATGGTTGAGACAAACATGGGAGCCAACAGATGCCCAAGGAATGACCCTCGTCACCTGATTCTGTCGTGAACAGCACGAGTCCTTTGTACCAGCAGTACCTTTTGCGAACGACTTCGACCTACGCAACTTGACAGAATCCAGATGGATTCGGCCCCGCAACCTTTCTAGTCATGCGAAGCTAGTGTACACCTGTGCGGTGCTACTGGAAGCCCGTGCGCAGTGCTCAGAAATGGTGTCCTAAGCATCGACGCGACTCGCTATGTTCTATGTACTATGTAGTAGGTCAAACGAGAACCGTTATACACCTGTCGAGGTACACCACGCCCCACGGTATCACGCTCGCGTTCCGGTCTCACCGTACTGTGAGTGTGAGATAGTGGCTGCTGAGATATGCGGGTGTCCCATTCTCACTTCGCTTCAAATATCCATGAAAATCGGCGCAGTGATCTAGATTGATCCACTAAGCAAACCTGCCCAATATGAGAGTCATATTTCGCGACTCCTGCCATGTCTCTCTCCTTTTCCGTCTCGGGTATCTAATTAGTACACACTTTTCAGTACACAACTACACAGTACACAGTACACACTACTACTAGAACTGGCTGATCTGTATATACTGTTGTACTCCGCCCTTTGAGATCATCTCCACTCTGTAGTCTGTACTCTGTACTGGCAGCCTTGCTTGAAGACACATTTTCTCTCCTGCAAATTCAAATACCCTTCGTTCACTGGTAATCTCCAAATACAAGTTTCTGCCCCTCGCTCTCGTACCTTTGCAACCCTCCTTCCTAATCCCGCTGTGCCTCGTTGCACGGTAGGACATTCTCACTGTTATTAGCCGCCCACGGCCAACGCCTTGTTTTGGCCCCGGATTTATACTAACCAAATTGCGTCATAGTTCGAGGGTACCCGCGAGAGATCAATGTCTCCAATCTACCTTGCCCGCCTTGCTTGAGGACAGCCGCAGAAGAAAAGTTTACTGTGGTCACATTTTGCATTGTGGACCACTTAACAGCCACGCGGACGGAAAAACAAGATCGCACTCAGTATTCACAATCTGTGGCGAGTGCGGCTGTGGTACGTGCCCACGATCCAGGAGCATCTTGCCGTCCCGCCCGAGATCATCTCCACGTAGTGTAATCTTATGCGGGCAGATGAGCGATAGCAAGGTCACCACGCGCGATCGAGATCTAATCTGACTATTTTGAAATGCCAGGTAACAGAGTCAGATTGCCTGCGATTGGTTCGCGGTCACTCGATTCGCGGGTATCGTTCATCCTTCCCCTGTCCACCATCGTCATCTGCATATATTAAATCTCAGGAACGATCTTGCGTTGAGTGTTGACAGCAGATCGCGTTGTTAGACTTTTGAATTACAAGAACACGATCATTTGGAAATTTGACCGTCTCCGTGAATGAGGACCAACGATAAAGTCCAGATAGTGAAATGTCCCGAAGTTTGAGAAGCGTTGCAGAAGCTGGACATCGCAGGACTCTTTATTCCTCCACATCAAAATGTTCAAAGGTGGGGTCATTTGCAACGTGCCCAGACGGTTTCCATAATGATCTCACGTCGCCGAATGCCGATGCACAGGACGAGTTTCGAAGAACCTGATGATGATCGACTGGCAAATGAGACGCGACCGTGCTTGTTTCAACATCAGGAAGCTATCGATCTGCATGTCCTCGACTCGGTGCCTACAGTGATTAAGCATAGAGCCATGGGGCGCATGTCGGGTGGCTATCCATGTTCGTTGCAAGATGATCGCATAGAACAAACATCAACACCCAGGGACAGGCCGCGTTGGCCTAAACGATGATTGCCATCGTCGCAGGGTGCCGTATCAGCGCGGCGGTCGCTTAGTCGGTCAGCTCACATCGGACTTGATCTGTCCGCACGGACGTGGACGCAAATTCATCGATACGAGCCTTCGAAAGACACCGGTGCTGCCGGGACGGGCTGCACCTTGAGGCAGGAAAGTCAACCATCAAAAAAATGAAGAAGCAAGGTTGCTGAAGCGATCTGGGCTGGCTACCACCTGACCTGGTCATGTAGTCAAAGGCCTCAGATATCGAACAGTCGTCAGGGCCATGCTTGCTGGCTCAATTGCTTTCGAATTGACAGTGTGCTTCTCGACGAGAAAGCGCGCAGCAAGTCTGATCACTCCCGTGCTCATCAAGGCGCAATATCAAGAGTGTCTCATACCAAGTTGGCACTGTCACACGGAGAAACTCTTGTCGACACGTCAACACTATCACATAAGCTGGCTTACACATGTGTGAAGGTTACATGTGATGCACCAGGCAGCTCGGTCGTTTCCTTTGTGTCTGGATCGAAGATCAATTACACACTGCCAATCGCCGAAGGGATGTTGCGTTGAAATCATATCATAATTGTGCCGCGCAGGAACAAACTCTGCACTATACAAGATAGCATCATATTGCGAGGCTGCTTGTTCCGTGAAATGCATCATTGTCGAGCGCGTGGATGAAACTTTGTTGGAATGAGAATGTTGTGCTTACTTGAGCGCATGCCCGCCATTCTCTGCTTAGTATGATCTCTTGCACCCAGAGTCTATGTTGGTCTCACAGACTATTCACATTCACGTCTCCTTCCTGTGCCTCGATAAGCAGTCACCGGGGCTTCGATTGGCTCATGAATCTCACGATGACGCCAGGTCTATCGAGAGAGCGGGTTTCTTGCACATCGATTTCATTTCGGCATACCAAATCAATCGTGGTTCCACGATGCTCCCAATGTTCTCGCACGATAGATGTGCCTCGGTCGATTCCTGCACTCGAAACGGTTATGTCAACGCAACAAGTGCCGGATTTGAAGCCGACGATAAAGAAACGGGGTAATAACAAGGCACTTTTTGTGTGCTGACTTAGACTCCAGACCCAGTCCAGCTCAAGCTGAAGCAACAACCGTGGTCAAACAAGCCTCAAAAGACACATGAAAATAAGATTGAAGCAAGCAAGTATCTGAGCTTGTCATGTACAATCTCTGGTCTTTCCAACTTGGCCCGGAAAACGAAAAGCAAATGGTGCAGCGTCTCTTCCCAATCAGCTTCCAGCATCTGACTCTTGTCGAAAATCTACACCTGCCGAAAAGGGCCGAACCAGACTAGGTAAAGGCCTGAACAGTCCTTCTGGTTTAGAAAGGTTCAAGGGGAAAAGGAAACATGGACAAGCTTCACCCACTTACTTCCATACAGAGGGACTAGGCACTACGCACTTGGTCTCGGCCGACGGGGTCGGCTCGTTCCCAAGCGAAGTCGACAGTATCAATGCATGCTCCGACGGAAGGCCTGGTCTGGCCTTTCGACCCAAATTAGGTGGAGAAGGGAGACGAGTCATCATTGAGGCCTCCGTGCTTGCCCTTGGCTTCCCTGCCTTGACACGATAAACCTCTAAATTGAATCGCCAAGGAAACGCCACCCCGATGGCTAAACGGATCGCAAGATTCGAGACTGAGAAATGACGGCATCACAAAGATTCGAGGGACGAGGGAAACCTGGCACGCGGCCTGGAACATGCATGAACGTGAACGAGGCGATTTGGATGGACTTGCTAGGCCTCGCTGTCAACGTAAGTAGAAATGTTAGGGAAAGGACTACCTGAATTGTTGGAGTTCCTGTATATTCCTCCATGCGGCCACTGTTGAAGGGCAAGAAAGTGGATTCGGAGCGTGTCTGCCACCTATCCGACATCCGATATCCGACGAAGTGGATAAAGTTTGTGCCACGACCCAAGAGCGCAACATGTTCGTCTGCGCCATTATGTCATTGTGGAAGTGCTTACCACTTTCAGATATTATTGTCCGTGTGAAGTCTGAATTCGAAAATAAACTCGTCAGGAATGAATCCAAACTGGCCTTGGTGATGGTGGATCTGGTGACGACTGACTCGCAACTGCACGCTTCTTTGAAATCGGAGTCAAGACCCTCGTTTGGCTGTAGAACGAGTTTCTTGGTGTTCCATGTTGCGGTGTTGGGCGTGGTTTACCCG